GTACAGCTTCAACCTAATTTATTAAAAATGAAAAATTAATATCGATGAAAAATCGACAGTAAATTTTTCCGGGGGAAAAAAAAAATTTCGAATCGTTCTGGAAAAATTATTTTCGGTTGTGGGGGTCAATTACAATCATTTCTTATCATTTGACATACCCCCGAAATCCTACCCACTTTCGAGAAAAAAATTCGAGAAGGTATAATGTTTTTAGACGAAATTAAAAAATTTCAAATCATATTTAAAAAAATGTATTTAGGTACAGGCGTTAATTACAAGCATTTTTGGTCAATACACATACCCCCGAAATCCTACCCACTTTCGAGAAAAAAATTCGAGTAGATACTGAAATTTTTAGACGAATTTAAAAAATTTCAAATCGTACTAAAAAAATTATATTTAATTGCAGGGTTCAATTACAAGCATTTTTGGTCAATAGACATACCCTCGAAATCCTGCGCATTTTCGAGAAAAAAATTCATAACATTTAAAACTTTAAACGTTAATAACTTTTTAACGAAGCCTCCATCAACAAATTGGTATTCTTGATTTTGGCCCTATTTTGGCCTCTATTTTCCCCAAGGATGGCCAAAACACCCTGTATGTGAGAACTAACAATGCCCATATAAGTGACCAAGGCCTATCTCGAGTTTGGTCACTTATGTGGGCACTACTGTGTTCCCCATGAAACATTCTGTTGACTTTCTTCGTCGATTCCTCTTCATTCCTTCAAACGGAGACGAAAACACGCGGTGCATTCGATATCGTATCGATAAAAGAGGATCCTCTTTTGCGTACTCGATCGCCATTTTATTGTTAAACACGACAACTAGAATTAAACGAGATATGCGAGCCTACACATATATTTCAAGAAATAACAATTCGCGAACGAGTTTAAGGAAGAGAGAAGAGAGCAAAGAAAACAATATTTTATTCTAGAGAATCGAAATTATTATATTTTAATAACGGAGACGAGAACACGAGACAAACGAGCAAAACGTATAAGATAAAAAAAAACAAATCTATAAAACGACAAAAAAAAAAAATGTGTGGATACATTGTACGAGCGAATGAAACGAAATTCGACCCTTTCGAACCGAATAGTCCGATAGGAAGATTCCCAGGACGAAACGTAGAGAGATACAAGTTGAATTTCATTTATATTTTCCTACGCGACTTTTGTATGACGATGCGGGGCATGTGTGCGAATGTTGGGCTCGATCGACGTTTGTTAAAACGAAGTAGGAAGTTCGAAGGTCTCGCTGAAACGATAAATGTCGACGACACTGCTTGAAAATGTACATAAGTAGCTTTTTTTTGTCAAGCAGAATCGTCAGGTCCACTTTTTTCCGCTAAACAGTTCAATATATATATTTATATTTGTTTCTACAATGGGCCATGAGCTACACGAATTCGCCATCGACCATCGACCAAGAATACACCGCTGTTCTCGGGCCACGCTCGAACCGAGTCGCCCCGAAGGCTCCCGAGCCTGCCCGAATCGCCCCGATGGCTCCCGAGCCAGCCCGAATCGCGCACGGACGACCGTTGCACAGCGCCTCCTTTGTTCCCAACACGTACAAACGCCGTTCTCCGCCACCTTGCACATTTCTCCTTCTACTCCATGTAATAGGATACTCGTATTTATGTTAGAGAGAGTTTAAATATACGAAGGTGTTGAGTACTTGGTAAGGATTCAGAGTTATTGCTTCGCCGACGACAGATTTACTCGAGCGAAACGGGTTGTACAGTTTTCGAGGTTCGGTTGAGCATCGAGCAAAGTCTTCGTTAGATTTTCCATACGATTACCGAGAGAGAAAGGAAATAGAAAATGGGATCGATCCATCGAACGGTGTCTGAAGCTACGAACGCGTTACTCGATTATATTCGTAATCGATCGATCGATTAATGAATTGTAATTCTGATTAACTTCAATTGACGATGGAAAAGTGAGATTTACATAAACAATAAATTCTAACTTATTAATTGTTAATTATTATTGATAGCGTGCGATTTACTTGGTCAATTTTAAATAAACACACCCTAAATAAAATATATTTACGAAGAAGTGAAGAGCAGTTAGTTTCTAATAAACTAAACTAAATCTGTAACTTTGTCATTTTTGAGAATTTTACTTTCGTTCTTAAAACTCGAAACGTTGAACAGAGATAAAGATTTCGATTTTTTCGAATCCGTCACCAGTGGGTTCCTCCTTTAATTCGCAATAATTACACGTTTCTTTTTTTATTTTGACACCAAAAAGTATCTGATAAGAGCCATTTTTTGATAAGGCGTTGATAAAACAGGAAAAATGAAAAGAGACATTGTGAGATTGATTCTTAACACTTTACCGACCGGTAACGGTTGATAAATCGGCTATCGGTCGGTAAACGTTGGCCGGTAAAGAAGTTGATTGATACGCTATCGGTCGGTAAGCGTTGGCCGGTAAAAAAGTCGATTAATAGGCTATCGGTCGGTAATGTGTTAATAATACATATCGACAAATAATCATTAATAAGGCAATTGAAGAAGATGACTCGAGCAAATTTACCTGTTAAAATAAGTGTTTTATTTACACTGTTGTTGTATTTTGTAATTTCCAAGTGTATGATATCTGTTTGGTTTGGACTTGAAAGAATGTCGAGTGAGACTTGACGAAGGTGCTCCTGAGATCAAAATTGATGTCGAATCACACTCGACATAGGAGTGCAAAGGGTTAAGATAATTTGGATTATTAACTAATCCAGACCTAACCCAGATCTAATTCAGATCTAATCCAGACCTAACCCAGACCTAACCCAGATTTAGGGTCTGGGTTAGGTGTGGGTTATGTCTCGGTTAGGTCTGGGTTAGGTCTGGATTAGATCTGGGTTAGGTCTGGGTTAGGTCTAGGTTAGGTCTGGATTAGATCTGGGTTAGGTCTGGGTTAGGTCTGGATTAGATCTGGGTTAGGTCTGGGTTAGGTCTGGATTAGATCTGGGTTAGGTCTAGGTTAGGTCTGGGTTAGGTCTGGATTAGATCTGGGTTAGGTCTGGATTAGATCTGGGTTAGGTCTGGGTTAGGTCTGGATTAGATCTGGGTTAGGTCTGGGTTAGGTCTGGATTAGATCTGGGTTAGGTCTGGGTTAGGTCTGGGTTAGGTAAGCCCAAATCGACAATTTATCATGTACTTGTATGTTATCATGTGTAAATAAAACACTTATTTTAACAGGTAAATTTCAAATAAAACACTTAAAAGCATTGTTCGTCAAGTCACATTCGACATATTTCTAACCCAGACCTAACCCAGAGCTAACTCAGATCTAATCCAGACCTAACCCAGACCTAACCCAGATCTAATCCAGACCTAACCCAGAGCTAACTCAGATCTAATCCAGACCTAACCCAGACCTAACCCAGACCTAACCCAGATCTAATCCAGACCTAACCCAGACCTAACTCAGATCTAATCCAGACCTAACCCAGACCTAACTCAGATCTAATCCAGACCTAACCCAGACCTAACTCAGATCTAATCCAGACCTAACCCAGACCTAACTCAGATCTAACTCAGATCTAATCCAGACCTAACCCAGATCTAATCCAGACCTAACCCAGACCTAACCCAGACCTAACTCAGATCTAATCCAGACCTAACCCAGAGCTAACTCAGATCTAATCCAGACCTAACCCAGACCTAATCCAGACCTAACCCAGATCTAATCCAGACCTAACCCAGAGCTAACTCAGATCTAATCCAGACCTAACCCAGACCTAACTCAGATCTAATCCAGACCTAACCCAGATCTAGGGTCTGGGTTAGGTCTGAATTAAGTCTGGGTTAGGTACGCCCAAATCGACAATTTATCATGTACTTGTATGTTATCATGTGTTGGTAATCGAAATAAAATGAAAACTGTTATTTCAATACAGAGTCGAACTGGTCATATAAGAAATTTACTCAATTCAATAATAAGAGTGATTTGATTATTTAAAATTTCCCAAGCGGTCAAAATGACTGCTTTTGACCAATATAGGTATAACACATATACCGGAAATGATGGAGGGAGGAGGTAACTACAATGATTAATAAACGCATTTGTATGTTGTACAAAAAGTCATAAAATTCTAAGAAATTGTGTCATTATATACATAATTGTTTTTCTAATCGAAATTAAAAAGCAGTCAAAATGACTTCCTTGGGCAATCTAGTGTTAACAATTGATTCATATTATTTTAACGTACTTTGCTTGTAAGAAGTCCAGATGCATCGTAAACATCTGCGTACGAAGAGCATTCAGGAAATTTATTTTTTACGGCTTCTATTTCATCTAGATTCTCAGATATGTGGCTCTAAAACGTTTTGCACATATTAAAGTAACTTATATGTGTTAAATGTATACAAAAATGTAAGATATATTCAGAAACATATTTGGGCACATAAATTATAATTACATATTAACACTTTACCGACCGGTAGCGGTTGATTAATCAGTCGGTAAGCGTTGGTCGGTAAAACAGTTGATTAATACGCTATCGGTCGGTAAGCGTTGGTCGGTAAAAAAGTCGATTAATAGGCTATCGGTCGGTAATGTGTTAAAATCCTTTTCAATTTCGAGAATTTCAATGGAAGAGACAAACATTTTTAATTTTATATTAAAAATTGACCTTGCAAAAACTGAATAAAATCGAAGTCGGATGGTTGGGGATTTTTCCTCGTCTAAAACCATTTAATTTACCACAATTTCAAACTTCCTACACGCTATACCGTGGTTCGATGTAAATGAATAAATTTTTCCCCCATTTTTCTAAGTATCTTGTTTACGTTATATGTATCAGTTTACATTAAACATTTTATTTGATATTGTAGGGAAAATAACGCGATTACACTCATCGTATCATAAACTTTCAATTTGAATTAATTCCTTCATGCTCATCGTATCATTTTTTATACACATTAATTTCAAATAAATTATACTACTAGTAGAATGGTAACTCTGTGTTTTTCTATTATATATTATTCTTTAATTTTTGTTAAAATAGATATTAACATAACCAACAAATGCAATCAATTATATTAAAGATTTTCAAATTTTGACAGTAATTTATCATTTTTTTAATAGAATTATGATATACTTTCGTTAATTAAATCTCCAACGATTTTACCCATTTCTTTGTCGTACTGTAAAACAAAACAATGATGGTAGCCACGTTTACAGAGTTCTGCGTTCACATTTGGATGCGCAAGCTTCATATTTTCGTAATGTCTCACTGGAGCCCAGCCATCGCAATTACCATAATAAAACCACAGTTTGTCAGCATGTTTCGAAAGTAATTCATCGTCTCGTTCCTTTACGATCTCCATTTCCTCGTCTGCCATTTTGATAACATTTCTCAAGCTACGAGGGTTCAATAGCTGTTGTATCGCTTTGTTATACTTTGCAGGAATGCCATTTAATAGCGAATAAATGCTAATTAGAAATGCTTGTAAAAAGTGTGGCAGACACGAGAGTGTCCAAGAGAGAAAGATTAAAATACTTGCAATACGCGATACCTAACAGGAGTGCAGATTTAATTATTTTATGCTGTAATGTTACGGCTTTGTTTATATAATAGCTCGTTGTTAAAAGTACTTACTACTCTAGTGAAAAACCATCCGTTACGGGTTTCAGCTATATTCTCTATGGTTGGAAACAGCAAGTAACATTTTGCTACTCTTCTAGAAATCAATACATCTTTCAACATGTTCAGAATTATCCAACATCCTATCGAATGGCCGATAAGATGTAACTTCGCATCCTCTGGCGCGTACTTCTTTATAAACTCTTTCTGTAATCAAATTATAACAAAAACGTAGTCAATTTTTATAAAAAAAGCTTAAGAGTTGGTATGAAAGGGAAACCTTGTGCTCCAATTGCGCGATCAAACTGTAATGTTCGTTCCAGGTCGAATCGTTCGGCATGGTAGCCAACAAATTATTCGGTGGTTGTACGTGTCCCGCGTGCCCGACTACCCAAATAAGCGTTTCGATGGAAAGTCTTGTTCGTAAAGTCTTTATAAATCCCTCGTAAAATTCTGGAATGCCTGGATTACCAGTAATGACAATCGCAATGTCCTTTATGCCGTACTGCGAAAGACCTTCCTCTACCCAGTGTCCTTCCGTGATTACATGGGTAGGAACGCCGTTCCAATTTAGCATCGCACGTTGCATTTTCCTTCCCACTGTAACAAATTGTTTAACATGACTATACAATAATTGAACCTATTCGAGACATATATATATACATGAGTGCGTTTGATTGGAATGAAATATTTATAAGAATACATTCCGTGCATAAATATTAAATTTAGTGATTACTCAATAAATATTAATTTTTAAAACAATTGAACGATTCATCATCAAATATCTATACTCGTGAATATATTTATTTTTAAAAAAACGAGTACTAGTACTAACAGCAAAATTAATGGAATTTAAGAGATATATGACGGGTACTATTGCAGCAACACGTAAACGTTGTTCCAACAATTTGCACTGGATGGTGCACCTGGAACAGGGCATCATACTGACCAGATCGAACGTAGCGGTCGAGTCGGTATGTTTGCACTTTGCAACAGCAGTGTGACCGAATTTTGCATAATTGAATACATAGACGGCGACACTAGTAATGACGAACACTCTTAGCGTCTAACTAGATGGTGGGGAAAGCCATGTTATTTCCTTTTCGATCTTGGACGGACGAAGGTTCGTCTAACCTTAATAGTTATTTTTTTAAGTTCTTTTTGACGATTCGTAATCGTTCAAAACGTGTTTCCCCCGAATAAAACACGAAGTTTAATACATGGCAGGGAAGAGGAAAGTACTTATGGTTTGTTTAGGTAAACGTCAAAATATTTGGGCGAGTTATACGTTATTCGATACATTATTGATATGCATTTCATTATCTGCGGATATTCGTTATTTTTTTGTAAACTTGTCGTTAAGTTACGGTAAAAAAGTAAGGTTAAGTATATTTTGACATGTCCACAGGTGGAAACAGGTGACTGTCGTTACTCTGTTCAAAATGCTAATTTGTTAAACATTAATGAATTTGTGAAACGTAATGAAATTGGAGAATGAAAATTGGCGTAGAAAAACAATTGCAGACAGGTTCACTGTTTGTACGCGTACCTCGCACGCCTCCTTAAAATTGTGTGAGTATTTAGGGTGGTTTACGGAAGCAAAGACGATGGTTGTTCGTTAAGTCTTTATTTTAAAACGCGTAGATGACGAGACTCTTGAGCTGTATTCTGACTGAGCGTTGCTTGATATCTGTCTAACAGTCGTATCTTTTAGCGCTTTTCGACTCTGTGAAGTTGTGGTTGGTTGCTTTCATTAGTGGAAAGGGCGAGATGGATGGCTTCTTATTGGTGGTGCTTGGGAGGATGGTGTATCAGGAATGTTCTTGAGGCGTGTCTTAAATGTTTAAATATTTTTGGAAAATGTTTGTCGTCGGGGCAGGTATGGTTTGTTGGGGGTGTTTGCACGCAAGGTGCAGCTGTCGAGGAGTCTCTGTTTATGGGGACGGTTTTAGTCACTAAAATGCTTAATTGCCTTGCTTCTATGGTCCGCTTACGGCGACCCTTTTCCAAGCTATCTGCGTTGGACGCAAATATTCGTTGTTATAAAATCCCGTTCTTAAAAATGATTTCGCTGCGCGACATTCACAGATAGAAACAAGTGACAAGTGAAGTATGTGCCGCAACAATTCCCCTCACTCAAACAGTGTTTACGGGTATAGAATATAATAAATTACTATTGTATGCATTGCGTTGGATTAACTTTTTTTTATTATTAAATTTCATTATCATCTAGGTCTGGTATATTTTGGTTTTCCGTAGAATCAAATGAAATTTCTGCAATTTCTTTTAACAGCTGGTTAAATAAATCATCCTTTCCTTGCTTGGAAAATTTGTAAAATACGTAGTGGCTTAAATACCCAATGAAATTATCCTTTTTGCTAAAACTAGAAAATTTTATGGTATTGTATGTTACAGAAAATATTAAAAAACGTGCAAAATTAGAAATACCAACCGACAATATTCAGGCAAAAAGTGTTTACCATGCCTCCACGTAGTTTCTATCGTATTTGTACGAGCGCCTGTTTCCGGGTCTTTGAAATGTAAGCTGTGATTTACGGTAAGATGTTTGTACCCCTCTTTCTCTAAGATGTTACAGGCTTTCCAACAATCTGAAATAATTGTTGTGCCAGGCAACACCCATTGTTTAATTATTGAAAGCAGGGAGTCTGTGTCTCTACTTACAACAGGCACCAGGAATATTTTTCCACTTCCTCTTTCTATTCCTCCAAAAACCCATTGTCCCTCTACACGATCACCTCTGTGATATTTTCTTCGTCCGAACTTAGATTCGTCTATTTCTACTATTAGGTCGTCCCATATGTTCGTGCCGAGTTTTCTACTGCAACTTGAAGCAATATTTTAAACGTATGATGGAATTTTATGAAAAATAGTAAACCTCTTCTCGTTCAACAACTCCTTCCCCTTCTTTTGGCAAAGCCATTGTATCGTCGCTCCAAAACTTGCTGGATATTTTATTCAAATTTAGTTTAACGCTTTTCATTAAAACGTTGACATTTTCAAATTGTTTATCCACTAATAAGCCTGGAGATTGTTATATTTTATATCTTACAAGATTCGGTTTTATTATATGCTAACAGAAATATTTACGCAACCAGGCTCTACCACGATTAAGAGAATTTTGTTCCATAAGCTAGTGTGAATTCCAAACTTCGAACTTTGACGCAATATCTATTTGTTTCAAATTTCTATGAATTGTTGATGTTACTATGTTTGAAATTTCAGAAATCACCTCAACTGACAAATTTTCTTTGTTTTTTATTAGATTACAAATTTTATCCTCATCAATTTCAGAATATTGAACGGCACGAACTTATGGGACGACCTAATATTTTGCCTGGTCCGCCAAGTACTTCGCACGAATGTTGTAGCCAATCAGTCATAACTTGTTTTACTAAATAATTCCATCGAGAAACAGTATTTTTATTCAATTGTAATTCTCGTACGATCTGATATCGATCAAAATTATGGACTAACGTGTAAGTTAATTTTAATACCATTTCATAAGAAAGCTTTGTTTTTTAAAACCACGTTCCACGTTTTACACATATTTTTACATCACAAGTTCGCTTTCGTTTGCAAGCACCAAGAGATGCTGCAATTGTTTTTCTACAACGCCAATTTTCATTGTCCAATTTCATTACGTTTCCACGCTGCGGACAATTAAGATTTTTGGCAATCAACTTTTTATCTTGCAACAATTTTAATAAAGCTTCATTATTTTGACAAAATTCGTGCAATTTAAATAAGGTCCACGCTTCTGGAACTACTAATTCGGTCATTTTTATAGCACGGTTGAACAAAATTCGCAAAGTACAAGAAACAGAAGAAAATCAGAAATGACAGTCGAAACGAATGATTACTGAGAACAATTTCTGCTTTTCTTCTGTTTCTTGTACTATCTGCAATGTGGAAATGTTATGAAAATTGGCAACGCAGGATAACTATTCCAGGATCTGTCGATCAAACTAAACGTAGAAGATATCGTAATATAAAGATATTTGCAAAGCAAAGAACGTGGTTTTCTAAAAACAAACTTGGGTATAGATGTTTTAAAATTAACATATATGCTAACATATAATTATGAGCAATGTCATATTATTATATAACTAAAATTAAATAAAAATACTGCTCAGCAATTGGAAGAGTAAAGTAGATTGTCGAGATCGATGAATCAACATTTTGTCATAGAAAATATCGCAGAGGTCGCTTGAAAATTAATCACAGCGTCAGTTTTGAAGATCCCATTACGGATGCTTGCACGAATTAAATTGAAACCACTCGGAGGCATGCTACACATTTTTTAATCCTTTTTATAACATATAATACTATCGATATTTTATATTTTTAAGAAGAGTAACTTCATCGAATGCCTGAGCCATTATGTATTTAGTAAATGTACCTAATAGAAAAATGGTGATTTATTCGATGAAATATTAGCAGAAATAGTAGAAATTTCATTCGATAAATGTTTAACAAATTAGCATTTGACTAGGTAGCATTTTGAACAGAGTAACGACAGTCACCTGTTTCCACCTATGGACTTGTCAAAATATACTTAATCTTACTTTTTTACCGTAACTTTACGACAAGTTTATAAAAAAATAATGAATTTCATCAGATAATGAAATGCATATCAATAATGTATTGAATTAGACGAATCGAATGACGTATAACTCACCCCGATCGATGAACTAGGTTTTGCTATGAATATACCCCCAACTTTTATTTCACAGGAAATATTTGTCGTTCGCCTATAGCAGAGGCTGTGTTTATTAATGAAATGAATACGTTAAATGTAAGTGATTCGTGGGAGGTAGACAGCGCAGCTCTTGCAAGTTATCATACGGGTAAAAGCCCAGATCATAGAGCTATGTCCACGCTCAGGGAAAAGGGCATTACGAATTATTCCCACAAAGCAAGGCCTGTAAGTAGATCGCTGATCAGGTAAGAACTATGAAATATAAATATCAACGTATTTGTATATTTTGTTATAGATCACCGAAGATGACTTCACCAAATTCGATTGGATATTTGGAATGGATAATGATAACATTAAAGAGCTAAATAATATGAAACCTCGCAATTCTACTGCCAAGATCGAGCTTCTTGGAAGTTACGATCCGCAAGGAGAAGTTATAATCAGAGATCCTTATTATGTACATGATTCCTATCGTCTTTACTCGAACTAAAATAATATTTTATAAAATCTATCTCCAGCGTTTAACTTAGATTCTGTACTATAAAGCAGGAACTAAATTGATAAAAAATTTTGTTCGCAGGATAGCAACAGCGTTGGATTTCATAAAGCGTACGAACAATGTGTACGAAGCGTAAAGACTTTTTTGGAGAAACGTAAGGGTATTTGATACAATTTCTAAATTGGTGGGAATTAAAATTTATTCCCATAATAAAAAATTAGTTTATTATTTTCAGATAACAAATTCTGATCAAAATGAATCCCAGAAATAAATGTTTTGAAAATTATTTAAATATCGTAGCATAATTCGAAATTTGTAAAAAATAATAAACATTCGTTACAACACTTTACAATACTTTTCTTAAAAATAATCGTTTCGTATACAGTTAATCGTTATTTCATAGATAAAAATAAATGTACTTCATCGTTTTGTTTTACAAGGTCATTTACATAACCTAAAACAATAGCATTCCTGCCTTTGGTAGGGGAAAAAAGTAGTTTTGTTTTTGAAGATCTGCGGATCTTAACATGTCTCAAAAGAAGAAAGTATTAATGGTGTGTTTAGGTATGTTAAAAACATCGATCGTTTCTTGTAAAAAGTGGTTTATATTTTATAGATTATAAATTTCAGGGAACAGTTGTCGTTCTCCAATAGCAGAAGCAGTGTTTCGCAATCAACTGGAAAAAATTGGTCTTTCTAACTTTTGGGAAGTAGATAGCGCTGCACTTCTGCGATATCGTGTAGGCAAAAGTCCAGAACCTAGAGCTATGGCCACGCTCAAACAAAATGGCATCGCGCAGTATAATCACACAGCGAGACAGGTAAGTCGATTACAAAATTAAAGAAGGAAATGAATTAGGTAATTTTCAGATTACGAAAGAAGATTTCCATGAATTTGATTGGATATTTGGAATGGACACTGGTATAGTTTACGATTTATATCAAATGCAACCGGAAAACAATCGAGCAAAAATTGAACTGCTTGGTGAATACGATCCAAATGGAGAATTGAATATACGAGACCCATTGTTTGTAAATATTACATGCATTCGTTTAGTATCGAAATAGGTTTTTCTTTGAGCCATCGCATGATGTAATTAATCTTATTTATTTGTAGGATGAGGACAGCAGCGGGTTTGATAAGGCGTTCGAACAAGCTACTAGATGTATAAAAGCATTCCTAGAACAACGTACAGGTAATTTTTTATATCGTAATGTTTAATATATGTGTAATTTAGCATTCGATAGAATTTCTTTTGATCGTATACTTCTATATTGCTTTACGAAAGAACAAGTTTTATTTACAGCTATTATGCGTACGGAATCAAAGTGAATGTAAGTACGTTACATTGTCAAAGTGATTATATTTATTTGACTTTACGCCCACTTATATACACTTCGAGTACATTGCGATCATCTCCAGAATATATGAATTTTTGAAGTTTTTCTTCCAAAGTATAATCTTGTAAATCATCTAAATGTCCGATACTTATGTTTGTATCTATAACAAGAGCATCGAATTCTTTGCCAACTACAAAATTTCCTATCTCATTATCCATCGCCAGAGCTGGAAAAAAATTAATGTTAATACGTAAAATGGAAACTTGATAAATTCATATAAATCTTACCCATTGCACCTCCTAAAGTAGCCATATGAAACACGTCTTTGTAATTAAGCGGTTCATAATTATCTTTAATCAAAGACAGGTGAGTCGATACTTCCAAAGCTGATTTCATCGCATCCAAAATGCTACAGCTATGTCCCCCCGCAACGTCTGCGAACAAATAATCACAATGACACAATCGTTGGAAAATCTACTTTTGAAAGACATTTATTTTTACCAGTGCCGAGGCCAACTTTTATTCCTTCGGATCTCAGCTTTTGAATGTCGCAAAGGCCACTCTTTAAACATGTATTCGATGAAGGACAATGAACAACCGCTACACTGCGTTTCTTTAATAGCGCAATTTCATTGTCTGTGAGATGTACTCCGTGAGCCATCACTGTCTACAAATAAATTTCTATGAACAGTCTGTAAACAGTTTGTAAACTTGAAGTATTTAACACTAGAAAGACTGAAACTAAGTATATACCTATATTGCCCAAAAGCAGTCAAAATGACTGCATCGTGAAAGAATAATTAATTTGTACCCTAGATCTGGGTTAGGTCTGGGTTAGGTCTGGATTAGATCCGAGTTAGATCTGGGTTAGGTCTGGATTAGATCTGGGTTAGGTCTGGATTAGATCTGGATTAGATCTGGGTTAGGTCTGGATTAGATCTGGATTAAATCTGGGTTAGGTCTGGGTTAGGTCTGGGTTAGGTCTGGATTAGATCTGGGTTAGGTCTGGATTAGATCTGGATTAGATCTGGGTTAGGTCTGGATTAGATCTGGATTAAATCTGGGTTAGGTCTGGGTTAGGTCTGGATTAGATCTGGGTTAGGTCTGGGTTAGGTCTGGATTAGATCTGGGTTAGGTCTGGATTAGATCTGGATTAAATCTGGGTTAGGTCTGGGTTAGGTCTGGATTAGATCTGGGTTAGGTCTGGATTAGATCTGGATTAGATCTGGATTAAATCTGGGTTAGGTCTGGGTTAGGTCTGGATTAGATCTGGGTTAGGTCTGGATTAGATCTGGATTAGATCTGGGTTAGGTCTGGATTAGATCTGGATTAAATCTGGGTTAGGTCTGGGTTAGGTCTGGATTAGATCTGAGTTAGGTCTGGGTTAGGTCTGGTTTAGGTCTGGGTTAGATCTGGGTTAGGTCTGGAGTAGATCTGAGTTAGATCTGAGTTAGGTCTGGGTTAGGTCTGGATTAGATCAGAGTAAGCTCTGGGTTAGGTCTGGATTAGATCTGAGTTAGATCTGAGTTAGGTCTGGGTTAGGTCTGGATTAGATCTGGGTTAGGTCTGGGTTAGGTCTGGATTAGATAATTTGGATTATTAACTAATCCAGACCTAACCCAGACCTAAACCAGACCTAACCCAGATCTAATTCAGATCTAATCCAGACCTAACCCAGAGCTAACTCAGATCTAATCCAGACCTAACCCAGACCTAACCCAGATCTAATCCAGATCTAATCCAGACCTAACCCAGACCTAACCCTGATCTAATTGAGATCTAATCCAGACCTAACCCAGACCTAACCCAGATCTAATCCAGACCTAACCCAGACCTAACTCAGATCTAATCCAGACCTAACCCAGATCTAAACCAGACCTAACCCAGACCTAACCCAGACCTAACTCAAATCTAATTCAGATCTAATCCAGACCTAACCCAGATCTAATTCAGATCTAATCCAGACCTAACCCAGACCTAACTCAGATCTAATCCAGACCTAACCCAGACCTAACCCAGATCTAGGGTCTGGGTTAGGTCTCGGTTAGGTTTGGGTTAGGTAAGCCCAAATCGACAATTTATCATGTACTTGTATGTTATCATGTGTTGGTAATCGAAAAAAAAATGAAAACTGTTATTTCAATACAGAGTCGAACTGGTCATATAAGAAATTTACTCAATTCAATAATAAGAGTGATTTGATTATTTAAAATTTCCCAAGCGGTCAAAATGACTGCTTTTTTTGGGCAATATAGGTATAACACATATATATATATATACCGGAAATGAAGGAGGGAGGAGGTAACTACAATTATTAATAAACGCATTTATATGTTGTACAAAAAGTCACAAAATTCTAAGAAATTGTGTCATTATATACATAATTGTTTTTCTAATTGTAATTAAAAAGCAGTCAAAATGACTTCCTTGGGCAATCTAGTGTTAACAATTGATTCATATTATTTTAACGTACTTTGCTTGTAAGAAGTCCAGATGCATCGTAAACATCTGCGTACGAAGAGCATTCAGGAAATTTATTTTTTACGGCTTCTATTTCATCTAGATTCTCAGATATGTGGCTCTAAAACGTTTTGCACATATTAAAGTAACTTATATGTGTTAAATGTATACAAAAATGTAAGATATATTCAGAAACATATTTGGGCACATAAATTATAATTACATATTAACACTTTACCGACCGGTAGCGGTTGATTAATCGGTCGGTAAGCGTTGGTCGGTAAAACAGTTGATTAATACGCTATTGGTCGGTAAGCGTTGGTCGGTAAAAAAGTCGATTAATAGGCTATCGGTCGGTAATGTGTTAATATTCATTTATCTATTTATGGCATCATTGGAAACTTCATTTTCGCCAGTACCTGTATATGGAGATCTTTCTCTTTCGCTAATTTTCCTAATTCTCTCATCAATGTCATATCGCAACTTAAGGCGAATCTTGGTGTTATAATTGGCTTTACGAGAGGATTCTGAAGTAACAGTTACACAGACTGATGTTATACGATGAAGATAACATAATAGAAATTAAAATAGAATACTTACATTCAATTCAATGATATCTTTCACGAATTTATTTACATTTATCATTGATTCTTCTGTGGTCTCGTAGTATTTGTCACTACGTTGAACATTCATACTCAGTTTTCCTATGAAAGCCCGTTGACCTATGTCCGCAGCCTTTTGCCCAAGTATTACAGATGCTTTCGCGTAAAGGGATGCAAAGTAACACGCTGTTGTTGTACCAAGCGCAATAGTTTGTTTCTACAATTCAAATATCATTTAAAATGCAAACGTAACGCAGAATATTTTGATTTCGCGAATTATCTTTGCCGAACTCACTACGACAGCATCGAATACTTGTTCGGCAAACTTCTCATCCGTATATTTCCTCTCCAAAGGGAAAGTGTAAGTTTCCAACCATTCTAAAAGCTTTTTATCGTATCCGACTCCTAAATTAGGGAGCTGGACAGCGTGAATGTGACAGTCGATGAATCCTGGTACTAAAAATTGGCTGCTGTCGAGGACAGTCACATTTTCATATTTCGTGTCAATTGATTTTGGATTTATTATTATATTGGTAATCTAGAAATTTACAAATACTTTTATATTTCTTATAAAAACTTCATTATCGTTATTTTTTTTTTATAAAAAAAAAATCTGTTATGTACCTTCCCTTCTTTAACGTAAATCGCGCCATGATCGACGGTAATTAATTTTCCATGTTCGTTAGTATGAACGAACGAGCCGACAAACACTTTGATTTTTGAGGTTACAGACATGGTGCAAAATTGTTCGTACAGTCGAAATTTACAGCATCTACAAATATTCAAATATTGGACAAATTTAATGAAAATCCAAAACGATTGTTTAGTAATAATAATCAAAATTTATGTGATATATGTTACACGTATTTACAAGTATTTGCTTGCATATCACATTATAGTTTTATAGAAATACAGTAATTGTTGTGTAGTAACGCGGAATGTATCGATTTAACATAACCTCAAACGTGAAACTCTGGTATCTTGCGAGGATGTGTTAATTGATGTTTTGATTAATTGTATATGTGTTTGTTTGTTTAATTAATAGCCATGAGTGCCAAAAGAGAACAAAAGTCAGAAAGTTCGAGGAAATCGGACAACATGGTGGATCCACATCGGGAATTTTTAGATATGGATACGGACGAGGAAGATTTTGGGCGGCAAGGTAAAATACACGTTCGAAGTTTCGCCATTTAGAAAGTAAAATTAACATGAATTTTACGATCGAAATTTGGAATATCTGCAATAATGATTTATTCTTCATTGTTTCGTGCAGAATATATTTAAACGTTCGTAAAAAATATATTATTTGACTTTCATATAACTTCGTACTTCGTGGAAGAAATGTTCTCTTGTAAAGTAAAGTAAATTAGTATTCGATTAACGTGTATATGTATTATAATTAGAAACCACCGAATGTATTTTTCAACACTCAGGACCCCCCCAACTGCAACACTAAACGCCGAAAATATAAACAAAATAATTGCTGGGATCTTGAGATATTGTATTTCTTTGATCGAGCATAGACAAAATTAACATTTAAGGTTATGGTATAGAAACACATTAATAGTGCAAATTAGTTGAGAATAATTCCTCACTTAAAGGTAGAATTTTAGCACAGGACCAAAACCCAGACCTAACCCAGACCAATTCATCGCTGATAACGGGGGTTAGGTCTGGATTAGGTTTGGGTTAGGTCTGGGTTAGGTCTGGGTTAGGTCTGAATTAAGTCTGGGTTAGGTCTGGAATAAGTCTGAATTAAGTCTGGGTTAGGTCTGGGTTAGGTCTGGGTTAGGTCTGGGTTAGGTCTGGGTTAGGTCTGGAATAAGTCTGGGTTAGGTCTGGGTTAGGTCTGGGTTAGGTCTGGGTTAGGTCTGGGTTAGGTCTGAATTAAGTCTGGGTTATGTCTGGGTTAGGTCTGGAATAAGTCTGGGTTAGGTCTGAATTAAGTCTGGGTTAGGTCTGGGTTAGGTCTGAATTAAGTCTGGGTTAGGTCTGGGTTAGGTCTGGAATAAGTCTGGGTTAGGTCTGGGTTAGGTCTGAATTAAGTCTGGGTTAGGTCTGGAATAAGTCTGAATTAAGTTCTAACCTAGACTTTAAGTCCAGACCTAACCCAGACCTAACCCAGACCTAACCCAGACTTATTCCAGACCTAACCCAGACCTAACCCAGACTTAATTCAGACCTAACCCAGACCTAACCCAGACTTAATTCAGACCTAACCCAGACCTAACCCAGACCTAACCCAGACTTAATTCAGACCTAACCCAGACCTAACCCAGACTTAATTCAGACCTAACCCAGACCTAACCCAGACTTATTCCAGACCTAACCCAGACCTAACCCAGACCTAACCCAGATTTATTCCAGACCTAACCCAGACCTAACCCAGACTTAATTCAGACCTAACCCAGACCTAACCCAGACTTAATTCAGACCTAACCCAGACCTAACCCAGACTTAATTCAGACCTAACCCAGACCTAACCCAGACCTAACCCAGACTTAATTCAGACCTAACCCAGACCTAACCCAGACTTAATTCAGACCTAACCCAGACCTAACCCAGACTTATTCCAGACCTAACCCAGACCTAACCCAGACCTAACCCAGATTTATTCCAGACCTAACCCAGACCTAACCCAGACTTAATTCAGACCTAACCCAGACCTAACCCAGACTTAATTCAGACCTAACCCAGACCTAACCCAGACCTAACCCAGACTTAATTCAGACCTAACCCAGACCTAACCCAGACTTAATTCAGACCTAACCCAGACCTAACCCAGACTTATTCCAGACCTAACCCAGACCTAACCCAGACCTAACCCAGATTTATTCCAGACCTAACCCAGACCTAACCCAGACTTAATTCAGACCTAACCCAGACCTAACCCAGACTTAATTCAGACTTATTCCAGACCTAACCCAGACCTAACCCAGACCTAACCCAGATTTATTCCAGACCTAACCCAGACCTAACCCAGACTTAATTCAGACCTAACCCAGACCTAACCCAGACCTAATCCAGACCTAACCCAGACCTAACCCAGACCTAATCCAGACCTAAGCCAAACCTAACCCGACTTCCACTACATTTATCTATGTTTTCTGCCAGCTGTTGATATAATCATAACCACAGGCCAAGCATGCTCCTATATCTCATTCGTGCCATAATCTATTCAAGGCCAAATGTGTTTGTGACGTTTCTGTATCATAACCCTAATGGTCACCATTATAATATTTAAAATAACTTAAAAACTAAACGTACACATATATGTACCAATATTCTCAAAAAGTTGAAAGCTAACAAAAATTTAAAGCAGCGCCATCTCTATTCTTATGAGTGTATTATCAATAAGTTAATGAAAGTTTCACGATGAAAATAAGTCCAACACAGAAACTTATTCGGACTATTTTTTCAAAAGTTTTACAAAAACAAACTTTATTAAACTCTCAATTATACAAAATAAAACAAATTATATTTCTGATTGTACATATTATGATATAACGATAAATTAAACTCAAACACTTTCAACTTTTCTTTTCTGTAACTGCGCGCATTTCTTTTTTTTACCAGTGTTGCCAACCCACTTTTAATAACCACCAAATTCTAACAGAATAAATTATAATTAAAAATAGTCCAAATGAGGTTTTATTTAGATTCATTTTCATCGAAAATACCTCGTCGTTCTTATAAAGACATTATGATTAATATAGTAAATTTTAATTTGTCAGTGTCGACACCATTTAATTTATTTAAAATTTTCTGTTGATTCTCGATTAAATGTAATTAATCGTTCCAATTTTAAAGCAAAGAATATGGTATATTGTTCAATTACGGCTGTGTAAAATAAATTTGCAGTATAATAGTTCGCTGTATTTCAGAATCACCTGAAATCGAAGAAGAACTTCCTCCGGAACCCGAAAAACCGATATTCACTGAGAGAGAGTTGGATACATTAGTAAGACTGTTTTTTTTATTATTCTATTATTGAAAACTGCACATGTACTAATTATAGTTTTATCGGAAGATAAATGTTGCAATAACACGGTGAATTCTAACCGTAGATAATTTTATGATTTTTTTTACGAATTATACGTTAATAGTTATACGTTCTAGCATAATGATATTAACAAAATTTAAGATAAGAAGCATAAGAAGTATATCAAGATTTGCGATTACTTACGGAAAAACATGCTCTTGAAACCAACGCAGTGTAATCGTTGAAATGATTGACAGTAAATTGACGATGAAAATTAGATGCAATTGCAAAGAATCGTTTTATCGTGTTTATCGCGTTCATCGGTTCAGAGGTCTGTTTGATAAGATCACTTCGTTATAGCGACATCTATCTAACGAATAAAGTTCATCGAGACTGTTAACACATTACCGACCGATAGCCTATTAATCAACTTCTTTACCGACCAACGCTTACCGACCGATAGCCGATTAATCAACCGCTATCGGTCGGTAAAATGTCAATTAATAGGCTACCCGGTCGGTAAAGTGTTTCACGTTTAAATATATTTGCAGGTGCAATACGTAAAAGATTTAACGATATTCCCTACTGTCGATAACAAAGATTGGAACGAGAAATGCGACGTAACGATACGCGAATATTTTGAAAATCCCGCACACGCGGTGCTGAGCATATTTCACGAAGAAAATAAGCTAACCGCCATTTTGAATGTTCCAAATTACGCGCCCAAAGGGTTCGTGTACTTTCTTCGATCACCGTGGCAAATTTATACGCCAGAAAATTTTGTGAACGCTGTTTTATTCGGAAGTATCAGCGGGAATATTGAAAATTCCGTTTTAAAATTTTTGGAAAATATTTACGCGCCTGTTACACTTCGTAGCAACGACTGTACATCGTGTATCCATTTAATATATTTATTATAGGTCCTGGGGGCCAAAATAAGACGAAAATCAAGAATATCAATTTGTTGATGGAGGCTTCGTTAAAATGTTATTAACATTTAAAGTTCAGGCTGTATTTAATTTTTTTCTCGAAAGTGGATAGGAATTCGGGGATATGTGTATTCAACAAAAATGATTGTAATTGACCCCTGTAACTGAAAATAATTTTTTTAGAACGATTTGAAAAATTTTATTTTCGATCGAAAAATTTCACAATTCTCGAATTTTTTTCTCGAAAATGGATAGGATTTCGAGGGTATGTCTAATCACCAAAAATTCTTGTAATTGACCCCTGTAACTAAATATAATTTTTTTAGTATGATTAGAAATTTCTGAATTTAATTGAATTTAATAACTTTTTAACGAAGCCTCCATCTTGATTTTCGTCTTATTTTGGCCCCCAGAATCTCCCATTAAAATTTGTATTATTTCCATCATATTCTTCATACATACACTATATTACAATTAACAATTTTCCATTTGTAATGAACCAGTCATACAAACCCATGTGTTATCAAATCTTCATGAATTTATTATATGCCTGACTGAGGAGGTTTACAAACCAATGGGTTTGACTACGTTGTACGTTCCAAAAGAGAACGTATTTAATGTATTTCCGGAGAAAATTGACTGTTTCTTGCTCGGAGAAGATACAAAAGCGATCCTTTCGGAGGAAGACGAGAGGAAAATTGAATTGGTCGATAGATTGGAAAGAGTAGTTTGGTCATGGATCAGGCAAATTCATGGGGAGAAAAGAGTAGCATCGAGTCGAACGAAGATCGAAAGCATACACGACGAAGTTAATTATTGGAACGCGAGACGTTAGTTTCCATAATTCTAAATTATACAAATAGTATTGCTCGATGCATCGTCCTTTCATGAGTACCTAGAGGGCGCAGTGTGTTTACATCCCCACTCCCGTTGCATTCCGCTGACTCACAGGATTGGTCGAGAACTGTGACGAAGCTCGACGACAGCCAATCAACGGGCAGCAGCAAGAGTGGGGATGCGAACACTTCTCGATACAAGAAATATTTTTTAGGACCTAACCCAGACCTAACCCAGACCAATTCATCGCTGATAACGGGGGTTAGGTCTGGGTTAGGTTTGGGTTAGGTCTGGATTAGGTCTGGGTTAGGTCTGGATTATGTCTGGATTAGGTCTGGGTTAGGTCTGGAATAAGTCTGGGTTAGGTCTGGGTTAGGACTGGGTTAGGTCTGGGTTAGGTCTGAGTTAGGTCTGGGTTAGGTCTGGAATAAGTCTGGGTTAGGTCTGGGTTAGGTCTGGGTTAGGTCTGGGTTAGGTCTGGGTTAGGTCTGGGTTAGGTCTGGGTTAGGTCTGGAATAAGTCTGAATTAAGTCTGGGTTAGGTCTGGGTTAGGACTGGGTTAGGGCTGGATTAGGTCTGGGTTAGGTCTGGGTTAGGTCTGGAATAAGTCTGGGTTAGGTCTGGGTTAGGTCTGGAATAAGTCTGAATTAAGTCTGGGTTAGGTCTGGATTAGGTCTGGGTTAGGTCTGGGTTAGGTCTGGAATAAGTCTGGGTTAGGTCTGGGTTAGGTCTGGAATAAGTCTGAATTAAGTCTGGGTTAGGTCTGGGTTAGGTCTGAATTAAGTCTGGGTTAGGTCTGGAATAAGTTTGAATTAAGTCCTAACCTAGACTTTAAGTCCAGACCTAACCTAGACTTAATTCAGACTTATTCCAGACCTAACCCAGACTTATTCCAAACCTAACCCAGACCTAACCCAGACTTAATTTAGACCTAACCCAGTCCTAACCCAGACCTAACCCAGACGTAATTTAGACCTAACCCAGACCTAACCCAGACTTAATTTAGACCTATCCCAGACCTAACCCAGACCTAACCCATACTTAATTCAGACCTAACCCAGACCTAACCCAGACTTAATTCAGACCTAACCCAGACCTAACCCAGACTTAATTCAGACTTATTCCAGACCTAACCCAGACCTAACCCATACTTAATTCAGACCTAACCCAGACCTAACCCAGACTTAATTCAGACCTAACCCAGACCTAACCCAGACTTATTCCAGACCTAACCCAGACCTAACCCAGACTTAATTCAGACCTAACCCAGACCTAACCCAGACCTAACCCAGACTTAATTCAGACCTAACCCAGGCCTAACCCAGTGACGAAGCTCGACGACAGCCAATCAGCGGACAGCAGCAAGAGTGGGGATGCGAACACTTCACGATACAAGAAATATTCATTTACAGATTCGAACTTAAATTACTTAAATGCTCAACTTCTCAACCCAGAAGTTCGATCGATAATAGACACGCTTAGAAATTTACGTTCTCTCAGCGTGAACAAGTTCGAGAAATTAGCCCGCCATATTCGAATCGGTTTAAAAGAAACGTCGTCGAATTTGACGTACTTGAACGTTTTACTAGATTTATGCAAACGTTTGAACATTTTTGGGGACCCTGAAAATTCGATAACGGAAGCGTTACTTCTGATATTATTTATCTGGGCCGAATCTCCATTTTATAACACCAAGTGAGAGCAATATCTTTTTCAAAACACACGTTTTAATGCAGAAGATATATTTGGAAGTATAATGTTTCAGGAATGATATAGAAATACTTTGTCGAGCGTTCAGCTCGCAAATAATACATCAATGCAGAGGTTATGTTAACATCGATGTAGCATTGGGCAGTAATCCGGAAGAGGGAATGAAAACACTGAAAAAATGCATATTCTGTTGTGATATTTACAAAATAATTTATGATAATGTATGTTCCTCGTTAGATACAATTTCTATACTAAATTCTATATTTACATAATAAAATTCTGTTTAGCTGATAACAAACGTTGTTTCGTATATCAATTCTGATAAAAAGTGGGACATAAACGAGGCGGAAGTTTTCAATAAAATTTACACTTTTGAACAGAGATGTTACGATGTATTTGAAATCTGCGAGGCTTTGGTCATATTTGGAAGGTAATAATTATTTAATAATTTTGAAAATTCCATAAATTGCCCCTAATTATTATTACGTATGTTACATTTCGTTTAACAGGTCGAATAAAATAGGAATATTCGGAAGTACCAGGGGAATCGAGTACGAAGCATATTGGCGGGAAATTCAAAATTTGTTTTACGAAGTTTCGAACGAAATTACAGTCGTTCGCGATATCATATTCGACATTACGAAATCGAACTGGCTGAAAAAGTTTAGACGGTTCAGGTATACGATTCAACAATTAGAGAACATGGTGATAAATCTGATCGACGACATATTCAAGCGTGTTAAGAACATAGAAGAAGGTGTCGAAGCAATGTACACTTTGCAAAAATTTAAAAAAAGGAACAACTTGTCGGAGATGTTGCAGAACAAGTGGATACAGGTTATATAAACTTGTGCGAACGCATTTTGTATATAAAAGAAGATTTCCAGTAATATTTAGGAAATTTTCAGATATGGGCGATTTTCAACAACGAAATAGAATATTGTTACACGAACGCGATTGATATGCCAAAAGAGACAGACGTCGACACGAATATCTTGTGCATTTCACGGTATTTAAAAACTCAGTATAACGTGATGATAAATGCAACGGATTGGATGGGAGAGTGTGCCGCTGAACAGTGAGTAACAGTTTACGAGATGAATTATTCAAACACATTTATTGAAATGTTAGATTTCCTTTATTTTTAAGTATTTTATGCTAAACATCAGTTTTATACGATTCTTCTACACTCGTATCAGCTAGGGACGTATCGTACATGTTTTTAGATGTACCTTGCAACGATATAAACACGTGTTACATGTAATTGACGAGAGAAGAAATATGTTCGATGCTTACGGTACGCGTGGAATGTAGCAACGAAGATGGTGGAGTCATTGAAATCGCAATAAAAGTTAACGGATGATAAAGGATGGCTCCCATCGCTGTATCGTCACAAAAATTCTATGTAACTTTGGACGGGGTATTCTATTCGCAACATTCATTCTTTTATATTTCATTTTTGAGTCGAAAAGAAGTACCGATACCATGGTAAATGTTAATTGATTCATTCGACGTAACGTGTGTAACGTTACGTTCTGTTTTATGGTTCGTTCGATAACAAAATTTACATTGCTTATGTTTATAATGAATTTGTGACTTACTTATAGAATTACACATCGTAATACACCTCCCGATATCAATATCCGTATAATTTTACTTTGTTTAAAACCTTATTAGCATACGTGAATCTTTTAAACATTTATATGAATTCCTTCCTTATCGATCACCCTGCCTTTATTTTTTAACAGTGCAAAAATAAAATTTTTAATACGATCGGCATAGGATGAGAGAGAAATCTTAGATGGCACTTTAAACATTGTGAGGTATTTGAATAGTAAACTAAAGTGTATATACTTTAGTAATTCGCTATATAAAAATCATTTCTTATAAATTATGTATAACTTTGAGGTACTAACAACAATAAGTATAAATTATAATCATGTCGGACCGTAAGATATTGTGAGAAATATCACATAAAATAAAAGCGTGTAATTTATAATATATTTGAAAGACTTATATCAAAATGTAAGTTTCTAATTAACTTTTAGAGAGCACGAGTGTATCTTCTGCATTAAAACTAACTTTGGGAATATTTAACATTAAAAACAATATTCCTATAAAGTCTATAACGATTATAAATTACTTATCGGCTATGTTTCAACGATAGATTTCAAATCATAAGAATAATATTAGCCGATGTTAATTCGACTGAATTTTCTGCGCTGGAATTTGCACGCCAAGAATTACCAAGCTCGCTATGTTCATTTATGTGTCGTTAAATTTGCGAAATTCCCATACTAGTTCTGAATAATTTATCCGTATTTAGGCACAGCACTCATACTTTCATTTCCTACCATGCTATTAGTACCTTTTACACACTGTGGTCCCTCAAGCGACTCCGAACTAAATAAAGTACATAATGTAACAATATTGCACGATCGTTTGGGATTCTCTGCCCTCGTTAAGATATATATTATACAGTTACGTTTCCCAAAGTTGTAGTAATTATACAGAACATCTCCATTAATAATAAAAAGAAACAAAGTTTGGAATTAGCGAATAGTTTTGGATGTAGTCTATCAACTGCGACATATAGGGTAATCTATGCTATTTTTCTGTAATACTAAATACGTAGAATATACATATAAATAAAGTACTATGCCCATGTATAGGTAGAAACTGTTTATAAAAATGCTTCTTAAACGAAATTAGATAGTATACTTTGTCTCGAATTAAGTACCGTAGAAAATATGGGAATACATGTGAATACGGTTATGTATTTCTTCATGTGCGCTGCATTCTTTGAAAAGAATACTATACGCTTCAATATTAATAACGAACTTAGTAAACCATCGCTAGCTTTTAGGAAGTATCGAGTCGATTGATAAGCGAACAGTTATCGTCCACTTTATACGATTCATTAAATTTAATAAGACGCAGCTGTTCAACGATAAAGAAACATATAAAAATAGACCCTATCAGCATCGTCGAGTACACTTTAACCATAACGCAGTAAAAATAGTAGCACCACTGTTAAGTTCGTTCAGTATTTTTTTTTATAACCGTAAGTATTTTTACGCATACGTTACATTAAGTTGTGAATTTCAACATAGATTACCCTATAGCCAGTATGTATTCGTCCGATTAGGAACTATTATAAAAATTATACATAAATATTTTATGTACATATACCTGGCGTGTGTACGTACACACAATTCCCCTAATTTTGATTATCGTAATACTGTAATCTAGAATTTGCTTAGAAGAACACTCTTTTGGCACAAGTAACTTAAACAAGAGTATTTGGTTTTCGTCCTACTTACTTCCAACGTAAGTTTTAGGTTGACGCAATTACCAGATTCTCCTGGCCAGTGGTTACGGTGAAGATTGGACTGCCTGGCGAGTCCTTGTAATCGAGTAATTCGCTGTCATCGCTGAATGAGCTACCTGACGAGCCAGCTTGTTCCAAACGTGATGATGGCAACAGAAATATCAGCGAAATAGCTATTATCATGTGCCATGCGCTGTGAACGTACTGCGAAGTAAAGAAAATTCACATATTTGCTATTTATTACAGTGATAATTTACATTGCATACGTACTTGATAATTAGCTTCCGTTTCAACCAGAGAAAAGAGTAACAGACCTACGGTGGCCAACAGTAATCCAGCGAATAGCTTAGAAATTTTGTCAGGTTTCTTCCATTTTTTCATTTGAAAACACCGGTACGCATACGTTCCCATCTAGAAATGTAGAAATATGAAGTAACGTTAGAAATAGTTTCTTAAAATTACTTACTGGAATCATAACGCCTATTCCCAGAGGTATCAATATACTGATCAAGCTTGTTTTGTTAGATTCCACCCCGAAAGCTATTATGAGGACTCCGAACATATGGTACAACGATACAAAACGTGTTGGTATCTCAGCCATTGCGACAAGTGTCACCCAAAATGATAATATGCTTGAGAAAAAGTCGCTGTATTGTAAAACCTGGAAATGTGACATATCGTTTGATAAAAACATTTATAGAAATTTAAGAAGATACATGGTACAGTTTACGTACTTCGTATTTAGCGACACAGTATGTCATGACATGTTGATCGCAAGCATGATACAGCGATGAGAATAGCATAGTTGCCATGTAGACTAATCCTTCTGTATATAAGCCACGTTTAACAGCTAAATATATGGCGGGTATAAAAAAACCGTTACTTAAAGTGAGTATCATCGTTGTCATGACCAGAGACGACTCTGGATTGGCATTGGTAGCATCGGTGCAACCCCATCCTTTGTAACCTACGCAAATACTTCGCAATGTATCCTTCGAAGTAAAAATGTGTAATTAAAATTATCTAACAAACCTTCGAAGCATTTGCACGTTGTGTAATAAAGAATGTCTCGATGAATTTCCTGGCAGATTCCATGACGGCCACATGGATAGTTACCAGAGAACACGCATTGCCTGGTTCGTATGTCCAACGATACCAAGATATCCTCCATTTCGCAATTCGCAGGATGTCTGGTTCGCAGATAATTTTCGTGTAATTTTAATGCAATTGTAATATTAATATTATCTTGTACTTTTAAGAATATTACCCGTTGAAATGGCACGTTGCGCTTAGAGCAACGTACCATGTGTCTGGCTGCGGATATGGTATTAACAAACTTGCATCGTGTTTGTCGAACGAAGACAAATTCATTAACATTCTTGAATCCTCGCATTTAATGCTACCATTTGCTCGATCTGGCACTCGACCACGTTGAACGCAAAGTGTAACTTTGACCAACTGTCTTGTTATAACCTAAAATTCATGCAAGAACTTCTGTCGATCAAAAATTACTTTGGCGATTAAAACATTCTGTTCGATTGTTATGCGTAAACGTTTTCGATATAATTTTCATTTTCATTTTGTAATTACGTATCAATGCGTACCTTGTCCATTTCTAAGTGCGCACTAATGTCAAGCGTGCCACCGATATCAACTAATGGCAAAATATTAAACTGTGTTACGACTGGATGTACATCCGTCAACATCACCCAAGAAGTTAGCCACTCTCTCCCCTGGAAAAGAGTTTTTACGTGAAACATTTACCAACTAATGGAAAAGCTACAGCGATGCCACAGATTGCATCACCGAACTCAACAAAATATTCGATACCTGTAACAAATATACGCCAGAGAATGTTTGCGAGTGCTTAATCCTAGCAAGTTGGTATCTTGGAACGCACAGCTCGTCAAAATTCTCATCCGACAAATGAAATTGACTTCTCGAATCGTCCCCGTTGTAAGACGATGCATTTTTCCTGCTTTCGTATTGGTGCGAACGATGCTTTGTTAGATCTTTCATATGTAACTGCGCTAATGCTTTGGAGAACGAAGGTGCATCCAAGTACTGTCTCACGAAAGACTTTTCTGTCACTCTGATTGGACATTCTGAGAAAATAAAACATAACGGATTCATAAAATTCAAATTAGCACAAAAATGCTAAGGCAATAACATTTACCCGAGGTGATTACTTTTATGTTCACTTCGATGATGCTATCCGAAATAATCATCAAATAGTAATAACTATCTTCGAAAGGGGAAGATTCTGTGAATGTGTGTGAATCGAATATAGTAAAGTTTCCAATTTCGCTGGGTTCGGAGTGATTGAAAACAGGTAGAGAGCGTCCTTGCAAAGCCATGCTTTTGATACAAGGTTCGTGTATGCCATGAGACGTATACACAGTGAAGTTACAACCCCAAATGTGGACACGAAAGTTCCACGTTCCTGACGTAATGTATATCCTGCGAAACAATACATTATTAACCTTCGATATTGGAATAAATTTGATTCAACGATTACGCTCTTTACTTGTAATACGAAGTTGTTTCTTTCGTTCTTAATGTTTGCTGACAGCCAATTGGTATATTCTCGATACTATTTATCTGCGTCCATATAGCCACGGAACCTATACTATAATGGCATTTGTGTCCAAGCCCCTGAAACATAGACGACAATGTTTTTCGACAAATACGGTAATTATAACAGAACGAAGAGATAATATCGATAGAAAGAGGTTCATAGAAAACATAACCGTACCTGTTGCTGAACCTTTTCGTCCCAGTGAGATAAATACGCTCCTACGAACCAGTCTCCAAATTCTGGTCCATAAACCGGTACTATCGCTGTAGTTTTTGGTTCGAACGTTGTAAGAGCGGAAACTACAATAGTCTGATTACGGTTAGGATACATGTTAATAGGAAATGTATCGTTATTTACAGACATCACCGGGTAACTGCCCCACTGCAGATATCTGAAAATTATAATATTACGTTGCGATGCGTTACAAGACGGTCGAAAACTGTATAATATAGGACTGTTTACACGTGGACTTTTCTTTCTGGACAGTCTTGCCGATCCATAAACGCGGCGAACTGCCAAGTCGCTCTGAGCACCTCTTTGGGAACTGTGTAATGAAACATAGCTATATCCGAGTAACTTTTGAACGAATGTAACAGTCCTTCTTGACTTGCTTCTGGCATGGTACATTCCTTGGCTGTAAACATAGATCATTCGTACAGAAATAAAATATCCGAACAATTTCCATCAAATTCTTTATAAATTATGAACATGAATTCCCGTTGCAAATGTTTTCAGCGTTCGATCGAATATTACGTTATCGTTAAAATGTACGTAGAATATAATGAAGTGAAAATCCCATGCAGAAGATGACACATTCTCAAATACTTTGTTTACGAATTTACCTGGAAAAAGTAGCAAAATTAGAAGAACGTGAAACTGTAGAAACATGAGATATCGCCTTGGAAAATAACATATCGGAAGCATGACAATTATTTTCAACATCACAGAAAAATTAAAGCTATTATCGATCGGATGTGCTCCATTCACTCCTCATTAATTATTGATCATCCTTACGTTGCTATGTTGATTGTACATCCTGTACGGATAATAAATAAATACGTTTAGACCGCGGTGTATGCGTGTTTAGTCTGTTCGTTTGTATGGTTTCCTTTCGATCAGCTGTAGCGAACGATATATGAATACATAGCAGAGGGTGGGAGAACGGGATGATGATTTTACCGACAGTCAGTGGGTGCCGGATCGCGCGTGCGTCAGCTCGTGGAGTTACGGAGAGTAGACAAAGGCGAACTGACGCATGCGCTCTCTCTCGATTCTCCGAAGCCGCCCGAAGTAACTTCGGGCCGTCTCGTGGGAGTCGAGAGAGAAAGGCACATTCGCCTTCTCGCTCTTGAACATCTGAGATTCGACATCGCGTCGATGGCGTACGATTCCAAGTCTCGACTGCCCAGGTATTTTTTACTTTCCGGACCTATGTATGTAGACGAACATAAGCAAGGTACTATAACGAACAAAAATTTTGTGAAATACACGTTTCAAGACCCCCCCGATCATATTTGAATTATTGAACGAAAATAAATTCTTTTTCATTATTCCTATGTCTGAGCGTACGTATGTATAACATTTCAGATATCGCTTCTGACACATCTGGCAACGTATAACCATTACTGCCGGCTACTGCCAGCCTCACGCAGCCTCTGCTGGCTTCTGCTGGCCACTGCTGACCACACCTGATACTTCCGACAACGTATAACGATTACTACTGGTTACCGCCAGCCTCTCCTGACCTCCGCCTATATTTCTGACAACGTATAACAATTACGACTGACTTCTGCCAACCTCGGTTGGCCTCAGCTGATCGTTGCCGATCTCTACATGCCTTTACTGGTGGCTAACTTGAGTTAACAAGGTAATGTCATAAAATTGTTTTACCTAGTTATACCCCTTTTTACCCGAAGTATAAGGCACGACTAAATGCACTTTTCAATTTTCCTACAGTCCTCCGCTGGCCACTGCTGACCGCTGCTGACGACTTCTGATACTTCCGACAACGTGTAACGACTACTACGGGCTACTGCTTGCCCCTGCTGGTCTCTGCATGCCTCTGCATCCCTCTGCTGGCCACTGCTGGCCTCTGCTGACAAGGTATAACGATTACTATGTGTTACTGCTTGCTCCTACTGGTCTCTACATGCCTCTAAATGCATCTAGATGCCTTTGCATCCCTCTGCTGGCCTCTGCTGACCGCTGCTGACCACTCCTGATACTTCCGACAAGGTATAACGATTACTATGTGTTACTGTTTGCTCCTGTTGGTCTCTACATGCCTCTACATGACTCTGCTGGCATATGCTGGCCTCTGCCTGCCTCCGCTTGCCTCTGCTGACCGCTGCTGACCACTCCTGATACTTCTGACAAGGTATAACGATTACTAAGTGTTACTGCTTGCTCCTACTGGTCTCTACATGCCTCTACATGCATCTAGATGCCTCTACATCCCTCTGCTGGCCTCTGCTAGCCTCTGCTGGCCCCTGCTGACCGCTGCTGACCATTCCTGATACTTCCGACAACGTATAACAATATACTATGTGTTACTGCTTGCTCCTGATGGTCTCTACATGCCTCTACATGCATCTAGATGCCTCTACATCCCTCTGCTGGCCTCTGCTAGCCTCTGCTGACCGCTGCTGACCACTCCTGATACTTCCGACAACGTATAACAATTACAATGTGTTCCTGCTTGCTCCTGCTGGTCTCTGCTTGCCTCTGCTGCCCCCTGCTGACCCCTGCTATCCCTTGCTGACCCCTGCCGACCACTGCTGACCACCCCTGACCACCCCTGATACTTCTTACATGTATAAGTATTCAAGCCTTGTATAATGTAAATCTATGGCAATAAATGATATAATTTAACAGAATTCTATGTGTTCTCATCATTTTTACCTTTCTTTTCCTCTCCAAATCATTCCCTTAGCTTTAAGAGACCGTTTCTCCGGTTAAAATTGGATACCCTAACTGTCCAGCTCTCGTACTTGCTGCCGAAATCAAAAATTAAAAGTCCTGAAACAGTTGGAAAGTCCTGAAACAGCTGGAAAGCCCTGAAACGACTTGGAATTTTAGAAATCCCGAATCAGCTGGAAAGTCCTGAAACAGCTGGAAAGCCCTGAAACGGCTTGGAATTTTAGAAATCCCGAATCAGCTGGAAAGTACTGAAACAGCCGGAAAGTCCTGGAATTTCTTGGAAACGCCGAGAATTCTCGGAAACCTTGAATTTTTAGCAAAGTTCCGAGTTTCTGGACTTCCGAGGTGTTTCAGGAGTTCCTAGTGGGTTCAGGGAGTCTTACAACAAAGGTAATGACTTGGAGAGGGAAAGAAAGGTAAAAAATGATGAGAACACATAGAATTCTTTGTAATTATATCATTTATTCAAATAGATTTACATTATACAAGGTTTAATACATACACATCATATCAGAAGTTGTCAACAAAGGTCAGCAGTGGTCAGCAGTGGTCAGCCGGGGTCAGCAGGGGCCAGTAGATGCATGTGGAGGCATTTAGAGGGATGTAGAGGCATGTAGAGGCTTGTAGAGACAAGCAGGAGCAAGCAGGGACACGTAGTAATCGTTATACGTTGCGGGAAGTATCGGGAGTGGTCAGCAGCGGTCAGCAGGGGCCAGCAGAGGCCAGCAGATGGATGTAGAGGCATGTAGAGACCAGCAGGAGCAAGCAGTAACACATAGTAATCGTTATACGTTGTCGGAAGTATCAGGAGTGGTCAGCAGCGGTCAGCAGAGGCGAGCGGAGGCAGGCAGAGGCCAGCATATGCCAGCAGAGGCATGTAGAGACCAGCAGGAGCAAGCAGTAACACATAGTAATCGTTATAAGTTGTCGGAAATATCAGGAGTGGTCAGCAGCGGTCAGCAGAGGGATGTAGAGGCATCTAGATGCATTTAGAGGCATGTAGAGACCAGCAGGAGCAAGCAGGAACACATAGTAATCGTTATACCTTGTCAGAAGTATCAGGAGTGGTCAGCAGCGGTCAGCAGAGGCGAGCGGAGGCAGGCAGAGGCCAGCAGAGGCCAGCATATGCCAGCAGAGGCATGTAGAGGCATGTAGAGACCAACAGGAGCAAGCAGGAACACATAGTAATCGTTATACCTTGTCGGAAGTATCAGGAGTGGTCAGCAGCGGTCAGCAGGGGCCAGCGGTGGCCAGCAGAGGGATGCAGAGGCATGCAGAGACCAGCAGGTGCAAGCAGTAGCCCGTAGTAGTCGTTACACGTTGTCGGAAGTATCGGAAGTCGTCAGCAGCGGTCAGCAGTGGCCAGCGGAGGACTGTAGGAAAATTGAAAAGTGCATTTAGTCGTGCCTTATACTTCGGGTAAAAAGGGGTATAACTAGGTAAAACAATTTTATGACATTACCTTGTTAACTCAAGTTAGCCACCAGTAAAGGCATGTAGAGATCGGCAACGATCAGCAGAGGCCAACCGAGGTTGGCAGAAGTCAGTCGTAATTGTTATACGTTGTCAGAAATATAGGCGGAGGTCAGGAGAGGCTGGCGGTAACCAGTAGTAATCGTAATACGTTGTCGGAAGTATCAGGTGTGGTCAGCAGTGGCCAGCAGAAGCCAGCAGAGGCTGCGTGAGGCTGGCAGTAGCCGGCAGTAATGGTTATACGTTGCCAGATGTGTCAGAAGCGATATCTGAAATGATATACATACGTACGCTCAGACATAGGAATAATGGAAAAGAATTTATTTTCGTTCAATAATTCAAATATGATCGGGGGGGTCTTGAAACGTGTATTTCACAAAATTTTTGTTCGTTATAGTACCTTGCTTATGTTCGTCTACATACATAGGTCCGGAAAGTAAAAAATACCTGGGCAGTCGAGACTTGGAATCGTACGCCATCGACGCGAGGTCGAATCTCAGTTGTTCAAGAGCGAGAAGGCGAATGTGCCTTTCTCTCTCGACTCCCACGAGACGGCCCGAAGTTACTTCGGGCAGCTTCGGAGAATCGAGAGAGAGGGCATGCGTCAGTTCGTCTTTGTCGACTCTCCGTAACTCCACGAGCTCACGTACGCGTGATCTGGCATAGCGTGAGTAGTGCACTCGGTGCTCAATCTGGCGCCACTGTCGACATTTTAAATATTTGCGGGAACAGGACCGTGTACAATGTGTTTTAGCATAAATCAAGATATTTTAATTATAAATCCACTAAAAATCTTAGTGATACCTTATTTAATTATCATACTTCATAAATAGATACACAATCTAAAGGATAATACGCAAATACACATTCTAAAACTAACGATACAATGTCTTGAAACTCTAAGTCATGGATGCAAACTTAGAATGATCACGCGCAGATATGCACGCAGTAACAAATTCTATATTTTGTACTTTCATTTATCGAACTTCTATTTATTTATTTAAATAGGAGAAAGAAAGGTCAAATCAGTGCTTTCCAACCTTTTCTACGTCACGACACATTTTTCAAATAGCGGAGATTATGTAACTATTACAAAGATATTCTACAATAATTTGTATTTCGAAAGTTTACGATCAAAATAAATCATTTAACGAAGCCTCCATCAACAAATTGGTATTCTTGATTTTCATCCTATTTTGGCCTCTAGAATCTCCCATTATTATTATAATTTTTCCCATGGTTGGCCAAACACCCCGTATATTATACACATTCATTGTACATTGACTTTAATACAGAGTGTCTCAAAATGCGTGTTAAATGTTTCATTTAATACAGTAAATAAAAACTGTAGAACAAAATTATTTCATTCTTTCGTATCTCGAGATACAAGTTTAACGCGCAATTCAATAAACCATAATAAAGCTTCTTCAGCTCGAACGATCAGTTGGCTTAAACGATCACCAGCTATGTGACATTAACACATTACCGACCGATATTAATCGACTGTTTTACCGACCAACGCTTACCGACCGATAGCGTATTGATCAACTTCTTTACCGACCAACGCTTACCGACCGATAGCCGATTAATCAACCGCTACCGGTCGGTAAAGTCGCATGTCCATTATCCACATATCTAAAGTTCAATTTAATCTTATCGTCAATATGTATCGACTGTGGTTTTACAGCAATAGTGTGACTTACATAAACGATCAGTATACAAACTATTTTACATCATCTTGCACTAGGGCGGGAACAATTGGAAATTTCTGTAGATTAAAATGCATCTTTCGAATCGATATCTCAATTTCTAGTGTCTACTAACATGTCGTATAATTGGTAAAACATAATTTGGACTATATACTCTTCAATTTGTTACGTGAAGTTTTTCATGGCACTAAAACTAATAAAATTATATTTTTGTTAATCCACCGCAGATTATAGAATCATAAAACAGAGACAACGGAGCTGAAAATACTGCATTTATACATTTAAGTCTACTTATTGTTAGACGAAGAACACATATTTACCGTTAACCAGTGCTACCAAAAAAAAAAAAGAGACGTTTTACTACAATTCGAATCGCTTCGAAGCTTAAACCTCGATTTCTTCCTCGGCGGCTGGTAAAATCACCGTCGTCATGGTGATCGGTTTCGTCCTCGATCTTTTGCACAGCAAAATCTGAACTTTTCCCGATATTCTGCTCGTCAGGGTCGCGTGCATCGCCATTGGAATGGGAATCCCGCTCGGTAATAGGGGCACGTCCATCACGCGTGGTCTCACATCCGTGTTCTCGTTCCTGCAAACGATGTAAAAGCCTGTGTCGGACAGTTCGTCCGATATGTTCGTCAACAAGATACGAATCTGATAATTCGGCCCCAGCCCCAACACGGTGGCTTCCAAAGTGATGGGATGTAGACCGGCGTCCTGGCTCTCGTTCAAAGACTCCACCGCCTTTTTCGCCACCATCAACCGCAGTCGAAGGAGACCTTGCTGAAACGTGCTGTGAATCTTCTTCGCCTCCGATCTCTCCCGTATCGTTTGCTCCACGAACAGTCGAGTCTTCTTCGGTATTTGAAACTTGGCGCCATCGTTCGGCGATGGGCACGACAACGCGTTGTGGATGCTGAAGTTGGCGGTGCGTTTCAAAATCTTCACGCAGAGGCCGCCACCGACGGTGACCATCGCCATTGTTCGTTCCTCTTGGCCCATACGGCCGTACTGTGAGAAAAATATTAATGAAAAGGAGATTTATACGTCATTCGATTCGTCTAATTCGATACATTATCGATATGCATTTCATTATCTGCGGAAATTCGTTATTTTTTTATATACTTGTCGTAAAGTTACGGTAAAAAAGTAAGGTTAAGTATATTTTGAGAAGTCCACAGGTGGAAACAGGTGACTGTCGTTACCCTGTTCAAAATGCTACCTAGTCAAATGCTAATTTGTTAAACATTTATCGAATGAAATTTCTACTATTTCTGCTAATATTTCATCGAATAAATCACCATTTTTCTATTAGGTACATTTACTAAATACATAATGGCTCGGGCATTCGATGAAGTTACTCTTCATAAAAATATAAAATATCGATAGCATTATATGTTATAAAAAAGATTAAAAAATGTGTAGCATGCCTCCGAGTGGTTTCAATTTAATTCGTGCAAGCATCGGTAATGGGATCTTAAAAACTGACGCTGTGATTAATTTTCAAGCGACCTCTGCGATATTTTCTATGACAAAATGTTGATTCATCGATCTCGACAATCTACTCTACTCTTCCAATCGCTGAGCAGTATTTTTATTTAATTTTAGTAATATAATAATATGACATTGCTCATAATTATATGTCAGTATATATGTTAATTTTAAAACATCTATAGACGAGTTTGTTTTTAGAAAACCACGTTCTTTGCTTTGCGAATATCTTTATATTACGATGTCTTTTACGTTTAGTTTGATCGACAGATCCTGGAATAGTTATCCTGCGTTGCCAATTTTCATAACATTTCCACATTGCAGATAGTACAAGAAACAGAAGAAAAGCAGAAATTGTTCTCAGTAATCATTCGTTTCGACTGTCATTTCTGATTTTCTTCTGTTTCTTGTACTTTGCGAATTTTGTTCAACCGTGCTATAAAAATGACCGAATTAGTAGTTCCAGACGTGTGGACCTTATTTAAATTGCACGAATTTTGTAAAAATAAAGAAGCTTTATTAAAATTCTTTGCAAGATTAAAAGTTGATTGCCAAAAATCTTAATTGTCCACGGCGTGGAAACGTAATGAAATTGGACAATGAAAATTGGCGTTGTAGAAAAACAATCGCAGCATCTATAGTTATATAATAATATGACATTGCTCATAATTAGACTGCGGATTTTTATGCAAATTCATATATTTATTAATAGAATTAATAAAATAAAAGCTTTGTAGAGGGTTGTTTCAACCCCTAAATACAATAATTCTTATCTTACTTGAAGTATTTGTTATATTTTTGCATATTAAATGCAGTCTATAGTTTTTTGACAATCTAAATTTCCCATAAATGCATAAATATCCGCAGTCTACTCATAATTATATGTTAGTATATATGTTAATTTTAAAACATCTACAGCCGAGTTTGTTTTTAGAAAACCACGTTCTTTGCTTTGCGAATATCTTTATATTACGATGTCTTTTACGTTTAGTTTGATCGACAGATCCTGGAATAGTTATCCTGCGTTGCCAATTTTCATAACATTTCCACATTGCAGATAGTACAAGAAACAGAAGAAAAGCAGAAATTGTTCTCAGTAATCATTCGTTTCGACTGTCATTTCTGATTTTCTTCTGTTTCTTGTACTTTGCGAATTTTGTTCAACCGTGCTATAAAAATGACCGAATTAGTAGTTCCAGACGTGTGGACCTTATTTAAATTGCACGAATTTTGTAAAAATAAAGAAGCTTTATTAAAATTCTTTGCAAGATTAAAAGTTGATTGCCAAAAATCTTAATTGTCCACGGCGTGGAAACGTAATGAAATTTGACAATGAAAATTGGCGTTGTAGAAAAACAATCGCAGCATCTATAGTTATATAATAATATGACATTGCTCATAATTAGACTGCGGATTTTTATGCAAATTCATATATTTATTAATAGAATTAATAAAATAAAAGCTTTGTAGAGGGTTGTTTCAACCCCTAAATACAATAATTCTTATCTTACTTGAAGTATTTGTTATATTTTTGCATATTAAATGCAGTCTATAGTTTTTTGACAATCTAAATTTCCCATAAATGCATAAATATCCGCAGTCTACTCATAATTATATGTTAGTATATATGTTAATTTTAAAACATCTACAGCCGAGTTTGTTTTTAGAAAACCACGTTCTTTGCTTTGCGAATATCTTTATATTACGATGTCTTTTACGTTTAGTTTGATCGACAGATCCTGGAATAGTTATCCTGCGTTGCCAATTTTCATAACATTTCCACATTGCAGATAGTACAAGAAACAGAAGAAAAGCAGAAATTGTTCTCAGTAATCATTCGTTTCGACTGTCATTTCTGATTTTCTTCTGTTTCTTGTACTTTGCGAATTTTGTTCAACCGTGCTATAAAAATGACCGAATTAGTAGTTCCAGACGTGTGGACCTTATTTAAATTGCACGAATTTTGTAAAAATAAAGAAGCTTTATTAAAATTCTTTGCAAGATTAAAAGTTGATTGCCAAAAATCTTAATTGTCCACGGCGTGGAAACGTAATGAAATTGGACAATGAAAATTGGCGTTGTAGAAAAACAATTGCAGCATCTCTTAGTGCTTGCAAACGAAAGCGAACTTGTGATGTAAAAATATGTGTAAAACGTGGAACGTGGTTTTAAAAAACAAAGCTTTCTTATGAAATGGTATTAAAATTAACTTACACGTTAGTCCATAATTTTGATCGATATCAGATCGTACAAGAATTACAATTGAATAAAAATACTGTTTCTCGATGGAATTATTTAGTAAAACAAGTTATGACTGATTGGCTACAACATTCGTGCGAAGTACTTGGCGGACCAGGCAAAATATTAGGTCGTCCCATAAGTTCGTGCCGTTCAATATTCTGAAATTGATGAGGATAAAATTTGTAATCTAATAAAAAACAAAGAAAATTTGTCAGTTGAGGTGATTTCTGAAATTTCAAACATAGTAACATCAACAATTCATAGAAATTTGAAACAAATAGATATTGCGTCAAAGTTCGAAGTTTGGAATTCACACTAGCTTATGGAACAAAATTCTCTTAATCGTGGTAGAGCCTGGTTGCGTAAATATTTCTGTTAGCATATAATAAAACCGAATCTTATAAGATACAAAATATAACAATCTCCAGGCTTATTAGTGGATAAACAATTTGAAAATGTCAACGTTTTAATGAAAAGCGTTAAACTAAATTTGAATAAAATATCCAGCAAGTTTTGGAGCGACGATACAATGGCTTTGCCAAAAGAAGGGGAAGGAGTTGTTGAACGAGAAGAGGTTTACTATTTTTCATAAAATTCCATCATACGTTTAAAATATTGCTTCAAGTTGCAGTAGAAAACTCGGCACGAACATATGGGACGACCTAATAGTAGAAATAGACGAATCTAAGTTCGGACGAAGAAAATATCACAGAGGTGATCGTGTAGAGGGACAATGGGTTTTTGGAGGAATAGAAAGAGGAAGTGGAAAAATATTCCTGGTGCCTGTTGTAAGTAGAGACACAGACTCCCTGCTTTCAATAATTAAACAATGGGTGTTGCCTGGCACAACAATTATTTCAGATTGTTGGAAAGCCTGTAACATCTTAGAGAAAGAGGGGTACAAACATCTTACCGTAAATCACAGCTTACATTTCAAAGACCCGGAAACAGGCGCTCGTACAAATACGATAGAAACTACGTGGAGGCATGGTAAACACTTTTTGCCTGAATATTGTCGGTTGGTATTTGTAATTTTGCACGTTTTTTAATATTTTCTGTAACATACAATACCATAAAATTTTCCATTTTTAGCAAAAAAGATAATTTCATTGGGTATTTAAGCCACTACGTATTTTACAAATTTTCCAAGCAAGGAAAGGATGATTTATTTAACCGGCTGTTAAAAGAAATTGCAGAAATTTCATTTGATTCTACAGAAAACCAAAATATACCAGACCTGGATGATAATGAAATTTAATAATAAAAAAAAGTTAATCCAACGCACTGCATACAATAGTAATTTATTATATTCTCTATCGGTGATCGGGCCGTTTGCTAGGAATGTCCCAAAATTTTAATGGGAGATTCTAGAGATCAAAATAAAACGAAAATCAAGAGTACCATTTGTTGATTTGAGGCTACGTTGAAAAGTTATTAACGTTTAAAGTTCCGCCTGCAGTGGTTCTCAACCAGAAAACTAAGACTGTCGATACGTCAGTAAGTAGAGTTTTTCATGCTGAACTTTAAACGTTAATAACATTTCAACGAAGCCTAAATCAACAAATTAGTATTCTTGATTTTCATCTTATTTTGGTCTCTAGAATCTCCCCTCCAAATCATCCTGTATAAATCATTAAACAATACGCCAAGCATAAGCCTTCAACGCTAAAACTTTAACTTTCATTGTAAGTGTTTATAACGTTTGATGAAACGAGTTACCTTCATCGCAGAGACTGGTTCCATGATCTTCAGCGTATCCACGTGGTGTTTGCCATCGTAAACTCGAATACCATGACCAGCGGTGCTCACTGCCAGCAACGAAAGACCAATCTGTGGCACTGGTAAGCTCGCCAAATCCAGAATCGCACCCGGGACCCGAACGTGCCACAGTTTTACGCCCTGCACAATTAATATTTCACTATTTTAAAATTGTTTGCATCCTTGAAGTTGTTTTCGACTTTTCTCAATTCAAAGTTCTATCGTTCTCATCAAAAACTCCATTACGTGAAGAATTTTTTGAAAATATTTTACAAGGAATAAGTATCACATTTTTAAAAATTTCTGAGCGATGGAATCAACAATTCACTACTTCTGTGTCTTTTATTTTTTAATCGCCATCTAATTTACAAATAAATCTAACATTCTGACTTGATTGTTCGATGCACTGAACGAAGCAAGCGTGCAAGTATCGAGGTTCTACTGTATTTGCATTTGTTTGGACCCTAACCTTTCTGGAGAGGCCAATCAGAGTGCCATCCATGATGGTTACAGCTACGCCATCGTTATTGAGAACCGAAATGGCTACTGCTGGTGACGGTAACTTTTCCCAGAGCTTTACAGGACTGCCTCTTCTTATCGCTCCTATTCTGCCGTCTCTGCCAATGATTAATATTCTGCCATCACCTGTCCACAAACCGATACAAGCGAATGCGACCGGTGGCCATTCCAGCAAGTGTTTGTCCATAACAGTGAACGTCCTGTAACGAAAACAAAATGTAATTCATAAACGAATGCATTTGAGAATCATTCGCACTTTCGAATTCATTACTTTAAGTATTTCTTATATTTCTGCATATTAAATGTATTCTGTAGTTTTTTGAGGATTAAATAAACATTAATGCATAAACATCCGCAGTCTACTAATAACCTTACAGATTTAGCCACTTATTAGAGTGAGTATTAATGAACATATGAACGTATAAATAATAAAAAAAAAAATCCTTATTTGAAAGGTAAAACAAGATCGATAGAGGGTTAATTTGCATTTGTTCGTAAGAATAAAGACTAGTTATTGTTGTTATGACGCCAAGTGTTAAATGAAGGAGTTACCGAGGATCCAGAATGAGAATTTCTCCAAATTCCGTGCCAAGCACCAAACAACCGCTGGCTGGATCTGTCCACGAGTCTCTTCTTATGACAGAAATCGCAGATAAAGCGTTGCTCCTAACAAGCGGGACCGTTTTATACTGTTCTGCGAAGCTGGATCTGAGATTCGGGTCCATGGAAAGGAATTTTAACGTACGAGGGGATATAAATCCCGCTCCAAGCTCTTTCAACAGCAGTTCCAGCTCGTCGGCCAGCGTGAGCACGTTTAACTCTTCCTCCAGGCTGGCTTTGTGCCAAATCTACGAGAATCGCTTCATATTATAATTTATTACTAGTAATTAACATAAACGATAACTCTTTGATACATAAAATTGCAACTTTGTCTGTAATTGTAATTTTTGAACCATTTGCACCGAATTAAACTTTATCACTATTGAATTATTTAACCCTTAGATGTCTATGGGCGCATTTAGTAGTCAAAAGGTTAGGTTTAAGGTACAAGTACCTTAATATTGTTTTGGAAATTAAAAGAAATAATTAAGAATAATTTTGCAATCAAAATTATAGGGTTCCGTATGAATCAATGCCTAAAAATGAATAAAATTGCATTCAGTTCGTCCATCATTCGATTGCGTTTAATTGTCTTATGACATGTCTTTGTATCTGTAATCGATATAATGTTTTAACATAACATAACATAATATTTATCTCTGATAAATACCTCTCGCTCTTTAGGATGCACGTCGATCGTTGGCAAGCAGTATTTAAAGTAGGGTCTCATATTCTTAAAGATGTAGACGCTCGAACCGGCGCCCACAGCCAACACAGACGACCGGGGTTCCCCATTTTCCGTGTAAAAGCCAACCAATCCGCAGGGCAGATCCACCATATTGTGTTCCGTTATTTGGTCCCCTCCTTTATAGACTCGTATCTAATAATTAGAACACAACGAGAAAAAATAAAGGCGACCAATTAAATACAGATCAAGAACATCAAGAATACCAATTTCTTGACTGAGGCTTCGTTAAAAAAATATTTAAAAATTAAATTGAAAAATTTCAAATCGTTCTGGAAAAATTATTGTTCGTTGCAGGGGTCAATTACAATTATTTTATGTCAATACACATACCTTCGAAATTCTACGCACTTTCGAGAAAAAAATTCTTTACCGAAAATCTAATTGTGAGGACAAAAAATGCTTTCCTGAAATTACATGTGAATTTTTAAAAAATCATAACTCCCGAACGGATCGGAGGATTTCAATGTTTCGAAAGGCAAACGACGCGTATTTTAGCGAAGAATATGTAGAAATTCTAACAATATTGAAAAAGTTGCACTTTGACACCGTAAAGTGAAAAAAACACCATAGAAATGGTCCAATCTTCAAACGTCCATACCATCAACAGTAGTGAATCTATCTCAATGAAATTTAGTATGGGAGTAGAGCTGATGAATATCTACAAAAAAGTGCTGAACAAAATTCCCGTAGGACGTCGAACAAATTTATTAAAAATAAACAACAAATTTCTAAGAAAAATCGACCTGCTGAAATTTCGACAAAATTAAAAAATACCAAATCATTCTGGAAAAATTATTTTCGGTTGCGAGGGTCAATTACAATTATTTTTGGTCAATACACATACCCTCGAAATTCTACGCACTTTCGAGAAAAAAATTGTAGAAAATACTGAAATTTTTCGAGGGAAAAAAAAAATTTCAAATCGTTCTAAAAAAATTATTCTTGATTACAGGGGTCAATTACAATTAATTTTTGTCAATACACATACCTTCGAAATTCTACGCACTTTCGAGAAAAAAATTCTTTACCGAAAATCTAATTGTGAGGACAAAAAATGCTTTCCTGAAATTACATGTGAATTTTTAAAAAATCATAACTCCCGAACGGATCGGAGGATTTCAATGTTTCGAAAGGCAAACGACGCGTATTTTAGCGAAGAATATGTAGAAATTCTAACAATATTGAAAAAGTTGCACTTTGACACCGTAAAGTGAGAAAAACACCATAGAAATGGTCCAATCTTCAAACGTCCATACCATCAACAGTAGTGAATCTATCTCAATGAAATTTAGTATGGGAGTAGAGCTGATGAATATCTACAAAAAAGTGCTGAACAAAATTCCCGTAGGACGTCGAACAAATTTATTAAAAATAAACAACAAATTTCTAAGAAAAATCGACCTGCTGAAATTTCGACAAAATTAAAAAATACCAAATCATTCTGGAAAAATTATTTTCGGTTGCGAGGGTCAATTACAATTATTTTTGGTCAATACACATACCCTCGAAATTCTACGCACTTTCGAGAAAAAAATTGTAGAAAATACTGAAATTTTTCGAGGGAAAAAAAAAATTTCAAATCGTTCTAAAAAAATTATTCTTGATTACAGGGGTCAATTACAATTAATTTTTGTCAATACACATACCTTCGAAATTCTACGCACTTTCGAGAAAAAAATTCTTTTACCGAAAATCTAATTGTGAGGACAAAAAATGCTTTCCTGAAATTACATGTGAATTTTTAAAAAATCATAACTCCCGAACGGATTGGAGGATTTCAATGTTTCGAAAGGCAAACGACGCGTATTTTAGCGAAGAATATGTAGAAATTCTAACAATATTGAAAAAGTTGCACTTTGACACCGTAAAGTGAGAAAAACACCATAGAAATGGTCCAATCTTCAAACGTCCATACCATCAACAGTAGTGAATCTATCTCAATGAAATTTAGTATGGGAGTAGAGCTGATGAATATCTACAAAAAAGTGCTGAACAAAATTCCCGTAGGACGTCGAACAAATTTATGAAAAATAAACAACAAATTTCTAAGAAAAATCGACCTGCTGAAATTTCGACAAAATTAAAAAATTCCAAATCATTCTGGAAAAATTATTTTCGGTTGCGAGGGTCAATTACAATTATTTTTGGTCAATACACATACCCTCGAAATTCTACGCACTTTCGAGAAAAAAATTGTAGAAAATACTGAAATTTTTCGAGGGAAAAAAAAAATTTCAAATCGTTCTAAAAAAATTATTCTTGATTACAGGGGTCAATTACAATTAATTTTTGTCAATACACATACCTTCGAAATTCTACGCACTTTCGAGAAAAAAATTCTTTACCGAAAATCTAATTGTGAGGACAAAAAATGCTTTCCTGAAATTACATGTGAATTTTTAAAAAATCATAACTCCCGAACGGATTGGAGGATTTCAATGTTTCGAAAGGCAAACGACGCGTATTTTAGCGAAGAATACGTAGAAATTCTAACAATATTGAAAAAGTTGCACTTTGACACCGTAAAGTGAGAAAAACACCATAGAAATGGTCCAATCTTCAAACGTCCATACCATCAACAGTAGTGAACCTATCTCAATGAAATTTAGTATGGGAGTAGAGCTGATGAATATCTACAAAAAAGTGCTGAACAAAATTCCCGTAGGACGTCGAACAAATTTATTAAAAATAAACAACAAATTTCTAAGAAAAATCGACCTGCTGAAATTTCGACAAAATTAAAAAATTCCAAATCATTCTAGAAAAATTATTTTCGGTTGCGGGGGTCAATTACAATTATTTTTGGTCAATACACATACCCTCGAAATTCTACGCACTTTCGAGAAAAAAATTGTAGAAAATACTGAAATTTTTCGAGGGAAAAAAAAAATTTCAAATCGTTCTAAAAAAATTATTCTTGATTACAGGGGTCAATTACAATTAATTTTTGTCAATACACATACCTTCGAAATTCTACGCACTTTCGAGAAAAAAATTCTTTACCGAAAATCTAATTGTGAGGACAAAAAATGCTTTCCTGAAATTACATGTGAATTTTTAAAAAATCATAACTCCCGAACGGATTGGAGGATTTCAATGTTTCGAAAGGCAAACGACGCGTATTTTAGCGAAGAATACGTAGAAATTCTAACAATATTGAAAAAGTTGCACTTTGACACCGTAAAGTGAGAAAAACACCATAGAAATGGTCCAATCTTCAAACGTCCATACCATCAACAGTAGTGAACCTATCTCAATGAAATTTAGTATGGGAGTAGAGCTGATGAATATCTACAAAAAAGTGCTGAACAAAATTCCCGTAGGACGTCGAACAAATTTATTAAAAATAAACAACAAATTTCTAAGAAAAATCGACCTGCTGAAATTTCGACAAAATTAAAAAATTCCAAATCATTCTAGAAAAATTATTTTCGGTTGCGGGGGTCAATTACAATTATTTTTGGTCAATACACATACCCTCGAAATTCTACGCACTTTCGAGAAAAAAATTGTAGAAAATACTGAAATTTTTCGAGGGAAAAAAAAAATTTCAAATCGTTCTAAAAAAATTATTCTTGATTACAGGGGTCAATTACAATTAATTTTTGTCAATACACATACCTTCGAAATTCTACGCACTTTCGAGAAAAAAATTCTTTACCGAAAATCTAATTGTGAGGACCAAAAATGTTTTCCTGAAATTACATGTGAATTTTTAAAAAATCATAACTCCCGAACGGATCGGAGGATTTCAATGTTTCGAAAGGCAAACGACGCGTATTTTAGCGAAGAATATGTAGAAATTCTAACAATATTGAAAAAGTTGCACTTTGACACCGTAAAGTGAGAAAAACACCATAGAAATGGTCCAATCTTCAAACGTCCATACCATCAACAGTAGTGAATCTATCTCAATGAAATTTAGTATGGGAGTAGAGCTGATGAATATCTACAAAAAAGTGCTGAACAAAATTCCCGTAGGACGTCGAACAAATTTATTAAAAATAAACAACAAATTTCTAAGAAAAATCGACCTGCTGAAATTTCGACAAAATTAAAAAATTCCAAATCATTCTAGAAAAATTATTTTCGGTTGCGGGGGTCAATTACAATTATTTTTGGTCATTAGACATACCCTCGAAATCCTACCCATTTTCTAGAAAAAAATTCGAGAATGGGTGGAACTTTAAACGTTAATAACTTTTTAACAAAGCCTCCATCAACAAATTGGTATTCTTGATTTTCATCCTATTTTGGCCTCTAGAATCTCTCAATACAATTTTTCCCAGGGGTGGCCGAACACCCTGTATATTAAGCGATTATGTATCATTTTGTACGCTCAAACGTGAAAATCTATGATAAATCGAAGAATGGAAATTCTTCTACTCCAGAATCTAACAATGACCAAATAAAGTAAAAATTTCACTTCTGGTACATTTTTAATATTATTAATATTCCAAGCATCCCTTAAAACGTATTTACTCCCTCCTAATTAACACTTTACCGACCGATAGCCTATTAATCGACTGTTTTACCGACCAACACTTACCGACCGATAGCGTATTAGTAAACTTCTTTACCGACCAACGCTTACCGACCGATAGCCGATTAATCAACCGCTACCGGTCGGTAAAGTGTTAACATTCAAAATCTTTTCGCGGCAATCCTGCTTAAAAACAAATTTAAGCAGTTTTAAATGGTTTGGCGGTTGAATGGACCTTGTTACCTTCGTCGTATTGGCACCGAGTGCCCCCAAATCGGCACAGATGAGCCTGGCGTCTCCATCGCCGGTCACATCGAGCATATCGAGGTTGTTCGGTAAGGTGTACAATCGGGCTCCTGGTTCCCAAAGCGCCTCCAACCATCGGCTCGTACCGAGGCCGACAATATTATGCTCGGCTCTAAAACATCATGTCTTCTATTTTATAATTTTTCTTTTAAACGAGATGTACTACGAAATTGATTATTGATTGTTGATCGAGGCTTCGTTAAAAAGTTATTCACGTTTAAAGTTCCGACTGTAGAACGTTCAGTGGTTCTCAATCAGAAAACAGTATGGCTGTCGGTAAGTCGGTAAAGCAGAGTTCCTCGTGCTGAGTGAGAACCACTAGCGCCTGCACGCAGCTGTATGCAGGTTGCGGAACTTTAAACGCGAATAACTTTTATTTCGACCACCAGAATCTCCCATTAAAATTTCTCCCTGTATAATCTTCGTATTTTTGAAACTATTTAAGAATGTATTTTTTCGCCTTGTTGCACGTGTACTTTCTTAAACACTCAGCTCTGCGAAATAAATTCATCGAACGACGTATTAATTCTCGACAGAAACAAATACGAGTTCGAGTAATCGTAGAAACACGTGGAATGGATTCGAAAAATGAACAGGAATTTTGTCGTTTCTCACCTCAGTCCGTGCATGTTTGAAGCTTCGGTTTAGCGATCGAACGTAAATATTATATCAGCTCGTAACGCATAATCGCCTCCCTTGTTCGAAGGCTCCTCGTCAGACTGTGCTGTGATACAGCGCGACGGATCGTCATATCGTTAACAACACGGCGTCCCTCTTGAGAGGATTCCTTCTCCGAATATGATCGGTGAGACACTGAACGAATTGCAATTTCACGACGCGATGGACGTCGATCATATCGGAAGATCTGTTTCGAAAATTCGTCGAACGATGTAATAGTATCAGAGATTCGCGATTTTGTTGTGGACACTCGTATCCATAGAAATGTTTGTGTGTCAATGCCAATGGCCGCGCGCAGGCGGTTCACGCGCCAATGAAAATGCATTTAGGCTGTTGAACGTGTGGCGTCGCCTCTGATGCTCGCCACCAGAGGGCGATCGCTCGATTGCTATACAGGGTGTTCTATTACCTCGGGGAAAAATTTTAATGGAAGGTTCTGGAGGCCAAAATAAGACGAAAATCAAGAATACTAATATATTAATGTTAAAAACTTCGTTAAAAAGTTATTAACGTTTAAAGTTCCACCCATTCTCGAATTTTTTTCTAGAAAATGGGTAGGATTTCGAGGTTATGTGTATTCACCAAAAATAATTGCAATTGACCCTTGCAACCGAAAATAATTTTTCTAGAATGATTTGGAATTTTTTAATTTTGTCGAAAAATTTCATAACTTCTCGAATTTTTTTCTCGTAAATGCGTAGGAATTCAAGGGTATGTCTAATGACCAAAAATGATTGTAATTGACCCCCGCAACCGAAAATAATTTTTCTGGAATGATTTGAAATTTTTTAATATTGTCGAAAAATTTCATACCTTCTCGATTTTTTTTCTCGAAAGTGCGTAGAATTTCGAGGGTATGTCTAATGACAAAAAATGATTGTAATTGACTCCTGTAATCGAAAATAATTTTTCTAGAATTATTTGAAATTTTTAAATTTTGTCGAAAAATTTCATACCTTCTCGAATTTTTTTCTCGAAAGTGCATAGGAATTCAAGGGTATGTCTAATGACCAAAAATGATTGTAATTGACCCCCGCAACCGAAAATAATTTTTCTGGAATGATTTGGAATTTTTTAATTTTGTCGAAATTTCAGCAGGTCGATTTTTCTTAGAAATTTGTTGTTTATTTTTAATAAATTTGTTCGACGTCCTACGGGAATTTTGTTCAGCACTTTTTTGTAGATATTCATCAGCTCTACTCCTATACTAAATTTCATTGAGATAGGTTCACTACTGTTGATGGTATGGACGTTTGAAGATTGGACCATTTCTATGGTGTTTTTCTCACTTTACGGTGTCAAAGTGCAACTTTTTCAATATTGTTAGAATTTCTACATATTCTTCGCTAAAATACGCGTCGTTTGCCTTTCGAAACATTGAAATCCTCCGATCCGTTCGGGAGTTATGATTTTTTAAAAATTCACATGTAATTTCAGGAAAGCATTTTTTGTCCTCACAATTAGATTTTCGGTAAAGAATTTTTTTCTCGAAAGTGCGTAGAATTTCGAAGGTATGTGTATTGACAAAAATTAATTGTAATTGACCCCTGTAATCAAGAATAATTTTTTTAGAACGATTTGAAATTTTTTTTTTCGCTCGAAAAATTTCAGTATTTTCTACAATTTTTTTCTCGAAAGTGCGTAGAATTTCGAGGGTATGTCTAATGATCAAAAATGATTATAATTGTCTCCTATAATCGAAAATAATTTTTCTAGAATTATTTGAAATTTTTTAATTTTGTCGAGAAATTTCATACCTTCTCAAATTTTTTTCTCGTAAATGCGTAGGAATTCAAGAGTATGTCTAATGACCAAAAATGATTGTAATTGACTCCTGTAATCGAAAATAATTTTTTTAGAATTATTTGAAATTTTTTAATTTTGTCGAAAAATTTCATACCTTCTCGAATTTTTTTTTCGAAAATGCGTAGGATTTCAAGGGTATGTCTAATGATAAAAAATGATTATAATTGACTCCTGTAATCGAAAATAATTTTTCTAGAATTATTTGAAATTTTTTAATTTTGTCGAAAAATTTCATACCTTCTCGAATTTTTTTCTCGATTATGCGTAGAATTTCGAGGGTATGTCTAATGATCAAAAATGATTGTAATTGATGCTTCTAGCTAAAAATAATTTTTTCAAAATGATTTGAAATGTTATTTCCGCCGAATTTAAGCACCCTGTCGATTTTTCTTAAAAATTCGTTTTTCATTTTTAATAAATTTGACTGGCGCTGTACAAAAAAGTTGTTTAATACTTTTTTGTAGGTATCCATGAACTCTAGTTCCCCTAAAAATTTCAATGAAATCGAAATGATGGAAATGATTAAATATAACAAAACGAGATAACAAGTCGCTTCAGAAAATTCTATTATTTTATTATTTTATTTATTTTAACGTGCTTCAATCCACCGCGCTTGGATTAAATAAACCGTAGTTTGTAATTTTTAAATCAGAGCCAAATAATTCTTTTATCTGTCACGATAGTTCGATTACAAAAACTACAAACAATCGTTTACAATTTGTCAATCAGCGTCATTGCTCTCATCATTGTTATTACGTGTCTCGTTCACCGTAAATATCAAGAGTTTGACCTGTCCCACCTGTAAACACACGGAGCCAACGTTGCCAAAATATTCAAAACAGTGTGAAGTGAAACGACGCCCAACAACAGTTGATTTCAGTTACAAATTTCGCGAATCATTGGATTCTGATACTCGAAAGAACGATCTTATATTTTTAACTATTTAATTAACCGTTTAAAATAGCAATGTCCCCTAAATTATCGATGTTGAACGAACATTCGACAACGCCGTTATCATCCGTGAATAATTTGAAACCATCGTCGCGGAAGTTGTTGCTAGAAAATGTTCTCAAGCCTAATTGCAGTGACAATAATTGGAAAAAGCATAGAAATTCGAGGGAGGACAAATGGGACGTGATCGATGCTCCCCAATTTATCGATTTTGCCAACGTCCCTCTCATGAGAGACTCTTTCTTTGGTAAGTAAACATTTTTAATTAAAAACCGTAAAGAATTTAACGAATAAATAAACGAAACTAATTTATCTATGAATTACTTTTGTTAGCCAACACTACTGTGATCGTGAGCACGCCTCTCCCAAACTCCACAAATGCAAACTTCCCTAACTCGTCCAAAGAAGACGATATGATCGCGTAAGAATCATCATTGTGAATTTATTCGAAGAAGAAAACTTGTCAAAAGTTTCCTTTTATTTTATTTTATTTTATTTTATTTTATTTTATTTTATTTTAGGTCTTTTAATAATATCCGTTTGTCTGCCATAAACAGCGACAACAAAAACGAAGAGAATAAAGAGGAATTCATTGTCCACTATACCAACCACGATATAGTATCTAACCGTAATTCACAAGAAAGCAAAAAGAAATTTCGAAAACAAGACAGTTCCAAAAGAAAGATTAAGAAACCCGAGGTAACTGAATCGACAAAATTTGTTTACTGTTTGATGACCAAACTTGACCAAATAACGTTCGTTCAACTATTATAATTCATGGTTTTAACACTTTACCGACCGATAGCCTATTAATCGACTGTTTTACCGACCAACGCTTACCGACTGATAGCCTATTAATCGACTGTTTTACCGACCAACGCTTACCGACCGATAGCCGATTAATCAACTGTTTTATCGGTCGGTAAAGTGTTAAGATCTTGAACACGAACTATGCAAAATGATATGAAATCAAATTTCTGGTATACCAACGAGTAATAGATAAACAATTGTTTATTTACATTGTTGAGAAATATTAATTACCGACATTAGCGTCAATACAACTCTTAATCGTGTGATCATTTGCTGGACTCAACAAATTCTATTTAACGAGTAATAGATAAACAATTGTTTATTGACATTGTTTAGAAATATTTCTAATCTTAAAACTTTTCAAGTAAAACAAACTGACGTGTTTCTTCGTCGAATAAATCAGTTCGTTTTGCAACACACTTTTACTAATTAAAGGTTACGTTACATCGTGACCACGTAAAAGTGATTATGTTTTCTTTGTACAGGCTCAAAAGAAACCTGTAACGAAACCTTGTCCATTGAGAAAGAGTTTAGTGCCAAAAGCACCGTCCCTCCAGACAGCGATAAGATCATTGCAAAGGAAACGCTACGACGATAGGTTGAAAGCGAAGAGAAAAGAGAGGGAACAGATGGCGCTAATGGTAACTCGCAATACATGAATTGTAATTTCGTGTATAATATCAAACAATACTAATAATAATATCTTCATTACATATAATAAAAATATATTGTTAGACAATAATATAGAATAAAAAAAAATAGGAATCCATCGCCAAAGAAATGCGAGAAAAGGAAGAGATTGCGCAGCTGAGGAAGCAGATGACCCACAAGGCGCAACCAGTGCGCAAGTACAAATTGGGTTTGCCACAAATTCAGAAACGCCCGTTGACCGAACCCGTGAGCCCGAGAATGTTGAAACGGCGTCGCATAGACACTCAAAATACAATTTAACGCTAGATTTACGGGCACTGATCCGCACGTATATTTATTGATACCTTTCGTGTTGACGATTATCTTACAATACGATTTTTCTTTTCAATCAGAATATATATTCGTGCCATTGCATCGATCAAATTCAACATAGGTTGTCAAAAAATAATATTTACACGTTCTGCAATCCGTAAATTTAGTGTTAAAAACATCACGTTGACGCATTACGAGTCCAATCGTACGTATTCGTTAAATCTAAGATACATTTACTATTTGTTAAAAAACTAATACAATTCCTTAACTCTTTTATAAAAAATGAACATTATGAAAATACAAAAATACAAAAATAACATTGATAAATAATAAGTAATCTGGTTTCTTCTTCTATGTGAAAATGAACCTAACGCAAACGATTTTACGAAATCGGTTTGTATACTAAAAATATAAATGCATAGATATGTAAGTGCAAGTCTGACGATGTAATACCAGTTTAGTTACCACAATAAAGTTATGTTTATAAACGTTGGAGAATTGCAAACATTTCGAAAATATTACGAAACACAGAAGAACTATGAAGAGTTATTCGTATCACACGGACACAGTGTATACGTATACGCGTAACTGATATAGGAAGCCCAATGAACGTTAACGATACACAGACGTACAAATAACTGCCTTAAGACTATTTTAAACACAGCCAATGACACATACACACAATCATAGCTCTATGTAGGACGTAAGTCACGCACAAGTAACTTCGTTGATTGAAAATCTAGAAGAGCACGTGTCGTAATTATTTTTCACCGTTTAATACAACAAAAAATATCACTATCTCAATGAAGTAATGCAGATGACGGTGATGGAGGTAGGGATGGTGATGGCGGTGGCCTCGTAAAAATTTCTATTTCGTTACAGTGAAATTGACACACTGTACTGGATGTACTTAAAGTAGATTCCGACCACATTCCTCGTCCTTTAGCTTTCCTTCTAATTCTACTATTATCTGTAGTTGTTTCAGGCACATTTCTAGGCTTGTTTTTTCGAAGGTATTTCCACAATACGTTTAATCTGCAATCGTTTCAAAACCACATTAATTACATTTGACCGAAACTAAAAAATATTATTAACACATTATTAGGTCTGGGTTAGGTCTGGAATAAGTCTGGGTTAGGTCTGGGTTAGGTCTGGATTAGATCTGGGTTAGGTCTGGGTTAGGTCTGAATTAAGTCTGGGTTAGGTCTGGGTTAGGTCTGAATTAAGTCTGGGTTAGGTCTGGGTTAGGTCTGAATTAAGTCTGGGTTAGGTCTGGGTTAGGTCTGAATTAAGTCTGGGTTAGGTCTGGGTTAGGTCTGGATTAGATCTGGGTTAGGTCTGGGTTAGGTCTGGATTAGATCTGGGTTAGGTCTGGGTTAGGTCTGAATTAAGTCTGGGTTAGGTCTGGGTTAGGTCTGAATTAAGTCTGGGTTAGGTCTGGGTTAGGTCTGAATTAAGTCTGGGTTAGGTCTGAATTAAGTCTGGGTTAGGTCTGGGTTAGGTCTGAATTAAGTCTGGGTTAGGTCTGGGTTAGGTCTGGATTAGATCTGGGTTAGGTCTGGGTTAGGTCTGGATTAGATCTGGGTTAGGTCTGGGTTAGGTCTGAATTAAGTCTGGGTTAGGTCTGGGTTAGGTCTGAATTAAGTCTGGGTTAGGTCTGGGTTAGGTCTGGATTTATAGATAACCTTATTCCCCCAGGGAATATATTTATTTTGTTTTAAATAGATTTAACCCAGACGTAACCCAGACCTAACCCAGACTTAATTCAAACTTAACCCAGACCTAACCCAGATCTAACCCAGATCTAATCCAGACCTAACCCAGACCTAACCCAAATCTAATCCAGACCTAACCCAGACCTAACCCAGACCTAACCCAGACCTAACCCAGATCTAATCCAGACCTAACCCAGACCTAACCCAGATCTAATCCAGACCTAACCCAGACCTAACCCAGATCTAATCCAGACCTAACCCAGATCTAATCCAGACCTAACCCAGACCTAACCCAGATCTAATCCAGACCTAACCCAGACCTAACCCAGACCTAACCCAGATCTAATCCAGACCTAACCCAGACCTAATCTAGATCTAATCCAGACCTAACCCAAACCTAACCCAGACCTAACCCCCGTTATCAGCGATGAATTGGTCTGGGTTAGGTCTTTTACCGACCGATAGCCTATTAATCGACTGTTTTGCCGGCCAACACTTACCGACCGATAGCCGATTAATCAACCGCTACCGGTCGGTGAAGTGTTAAGATGCTTACTTTGGATAGTGAAATTGGGCAAAGTGTGTCGACGGTCCAACAATAGCTAGCACAGGACACAAAAAGAACGTAGCGTATATCCAACTTATGCCCATTACGAGCAATAAAAATGTACCGATTTGAATATACGCCATTACGCAAGACGGTAACATGAACGCTCCAGCGGCGCCACTTGTCAGGGAGGCCATTAAAGTTGGGCCCCCCATTCGCGCAAGCGCAGTTTTCACTCTCTCCTTCCTTTCTTTCGAAGTGCATGCTTTATAACTTACTACGTAATGTAAACTGAAATCTATAGTCAAACCTAAAAATAATATATATATATCTATATACGCTTTTTTAAAATTTTTTTTATAAAGAAAGTTAATATGGCCTTGAATACCTATAGCTGTCGACACAGCAACATTTTCTAAAACATCCAGCTTCCATCCAAAAAGTATCAGACCAGCAACTGTTACTATAATTGCTGCAGCAATTGTTACAATTGCGTATAGACTGATAATAGGATTAAGCGTCGCGAAAGCCAATACTGTAAGCGCCAAGATCAATGAAAGTCCCATTGCCCAAAGTGTACCTTCGTACAACGTTCGCTGTAATTCATAAAACTCTAATTTACTAACGAACCAACCACCTTGCATACCCAGTGGCGCATTCTTCAATTGATCCTGCATCCAAGTTTCCACCTATAAATATTTTCATTATTATAGTCGATTATGCAATGAAATACTTTCATTTTTTTTTTTAATACGTACCTGATGAAAGAATTGATCCATACTCGAGAAGGAAAGGCTGTAGTTATATATACTATCATATTCAACGATTAAAACTTTAATCTTAGGTACCGGCGCCATTATTGAATTAGTTTCGTTCGACGCTTGTACTTGGGTGAGATTAGCTTCGTTCAAAAACTTTAGACCAGCGGAAACACCGTTACGAGCCCACAGGTACGAGGGTGTACGATATAGTTCCACGTTTGCTTCGGCTGCACATTGTTGCAACACGGTGGAATTGTATGGAAATGTGCTTTTCTCGCAACATGGCGTATAGTTGATGTTCGAATCCACCGGATCCTCGCAACGCCTTTTCATCCAATTGTGCAACGACTCGATGAAACAATTAGTCAGCAAAGGTCCCAAAGTATCGTGATAGAAAGGCTGGGTTCGCAGGTCCTGGCAAAATCGTTCCAACCATAATTGCGATTCTGGTTGCGACACGTCGAAAGATTCGTCCCACTCTGGTGTACCCTTTAGATCAGGATCCAGATAATTGCCGTTATCGATTGGCTTTATTCCCCATACAAATCTCAACGGTAACAGATCTCCATTATCAATCTAAAATTACAAAATTCTTGATTAATTCTTTAAAAAATTTAATGAAAATTTCATAAAAATTTTTGCTTTACCGTTTCATGTTTTTCGAACCAGAATTTCCGGGAATATATAAAATCGTATCGTTCGAACGTATGAGAGCTATCGAACAATTGAAAATCAGCGGTGTCTGGTAATTGTAAACCCGGGTAATGGAAAACAATGACGGAACATATGGCTGCCATGGCGCCCAAACTGAACATCCAACACCACCGGAAATTGATTACTATCTTCGTCAAGAAGGTATTAAAGCCTATCGACAGTTTGTGTCCAAACAGTCGCAAAGGTCGAATAATTTTTCGCACTATATAGTTTGCAGGCGATAAAACGTTCAGATTAAATTGTTCCGACAGCACCACGCATGCTGGTAACCAGGTAACCATCAGAAAGAAGTTTGCGATGACAGTCATTCCTGAAAATAAGCTGAAGGTTTGCGTTATTAGTAAAATATAATTCTTATTACGGTTACAGAAGCAAACGTATACCTGAAACAATTGATGGCGGTAACATTGCTAACAACCGATGCAAAAAAAGCAACTGCAGTGGTTAAAGATGTCACGAACATAGATGGAACAGCATGTTTCATCGTCTCTTGCACCAGCCTGACCAATCCATCGTTCGATGTTTTTTGTTCCTTTCCTTTTTCCCAAATTTTGCAATATATAAATGCATCGTCTGCCCCTATCCCTTAAAAATTAATAATCGTATTATTTTTATGTATTCTGTTGTTATATTTTACTCGTATACTCACCCACAGCAACCACGATTGCCAAAACATTGATGAACGGAAAGAATTTAATGTGCAAAACTAGAGTGTACAATGCGTACGAAATGCCAAGGCTAAAAATTACTGCGATGATCGTTGTCACAGTTAGCAGCAGAGAGCCGGTGTATGCCCATATGCAAACTGTTACGAAGACAAAACCAATCACCAATAAAATCGAATCTGATACCAACAGTCTGTCGAACAATGTACTTTTCAAACCTAATTGCATCCCTTTTATACAAAACTTTCCATAAAATAGACCGTCATTGTTTAACTCTTTATAAAAGTCCAAAGTAGCTGAGCTTACGGCAATTGGTAAAAATATCATAACATATTTCAGCGTCGAATTAAATTTGGTTTGAGAATGTTGTTTCTATAAGAAAAACATTAAGAATTATATTGAGAAATATTTTAATGATATTTCTCACGTAACGACTAAGTTTCTTACATGATCCGATATAAAATCTGTATCTAACAAATAGTGCAGCAAATGATAAGCAGCATTATGGGTGTAACATTCGCTTGGAACGTGTCTTTGACAATTTAAATCCTCTGCGCAGTTTGATGTTAAGCGAAGATTTCTATAGAAGTAAACACATCTTTGTAAAAGGGTTTCTACACGACTGAGATCATTTTCTGTCACACCCAGGCAAGAACTACGATTGGATAAAAGTGCAACGTAATTTGCTGGCGACCAACTTCTGCAACACTTTTGTCTTCCGCCGTTATGTTCCATTTGCATCTGACATAAAGAGGGAAAGTGAGGATTCGATCGAAGCTCTGCGTCGATATGACACTGTGCCAACACGCCCTCCATTGACCACAAGTTCGTATTCTCAGAGTCTCTACCTATAACTACACGTGCATAAGCAGAAGACGGTAAATTACAAAAGAAACTTTCGCTCTCGACGTGGTCTTCGTTCTTATAATCCTCTGCTATATTCAATTCATTTCTGTTCGTCAACTGTATTAACTTTTTCCATTTATCTTTACCATCGATTTGATCTATTTCTGACGTTCTGTTAGTTATTTCTTTTTGATACTTCTTTCCTCCTTTCTTTTTATTTTTGGGTTTCTTTCTGACGATACCTTGATTGATCCAGCTGTGATTTTGTGCATTGACAGAATTCTGTAGATTCTAAAACACATTGCAACGGTAGTTATTGATTTAGTATGGCGATCGAGGTGAGTGATACGTCATTCGATTCGTCTAATTCAATACATTATTGAGATGCATTTCATTATCTGCGGAAATTCGTTATTATTTTATAAACTTGTAAAGATACAGTAAAAAATGTAAGGTTTGGTACATTTTTTGACAGGTTCACAGATAGAAACAAGTGACAAGTGAAGTATGTGAACAATTTCTCCCCCCATATAACCCAGACCAACTCAGACAGTACTTGTAGGTAGACAGTGTACGCAGCAAGAGCAAAAAATGTTGCCCCCCCCCCAAACAGTGTTTACGGGTAGAGAATATAATAAATTACTATTGTATGCAGTGCGTTGGATTAACTTTTTTTTACTATTAAATTTCATTATCATCTAGGTTTGGTATATTTTGGTTTTCCGTAGAATCGAATGAAATTTCTGCAATTTCTTTTAACAGCCGGTTAAATAAATCATCCTTTCCTTGCTTGGAAAATTTGTAAAATACGTAGTGGCTTAAATACCCAATGAAATTATCCTTTTTGCTAAAAATAGAAAATTTTATGGTATTGTATGTTACAGAAAATATTAAAAAACGTGCAAAATTACAAATACCAACCGACAATATTCAGGCAAAAAGTGTTTACTATGCCTCCACGTAGTTTCTATCGTATTTGTACGAGCGCCTGTTTCTGGGTCTTTGAAATGTAAGCTGTGATTTACGGTAAGATGTTTGTACCCCTCTTTCTCTAAGATGTTACAGGCTTTCCAACAATCTGAAATAATTGTTGTGCCAGGCAACACCCATTGTTTAATTATTGAAAGCAGGGACTCTGTGTCCCTACTTTCAACAGGCACCAGGAATATTTTTCCACTTCCTCTTTCTATTCCTCCAAAAACCCATTGTCCCTCTACACGATCACCTCTGTGATATTTTCTTCGTCCGAATTTAGATTCGTCTATTTCTACTATTAAGTCGTCCCATATGTTCGTGCCGAGTTTTCTACTGCAACTTGAAGTAATATTTTAAACATATGATGGAATTTTATGAAAAATAGTAAACCTCTTCTCGTTCAACAACTCCTTCCCCTTCTTTTGGCAAAGCCATTGTATCGTCGCTCCAAAACTTGCTGGATATTTTATTCAAATTTAGTTTAACGCTTTTCATTAAAACGTTGACATTTTCAAATTGTTTATCCACTAATAAGCCTGGAGATTGTTATATTTTGTATCTTATAAGATTCGGTTTTATTATATGCTAACAGAAATATTTACGCAACCAGGCTCTACCACGATTAAGAGAATTTTGTTCCATAAGCTAGTGTGAATTCCAAACTTCGAACTTTGACGCAATATCTATTTGTTTCAAATTTCTATGAATTGTTGATGTTACTATGTTTGAAATTTCAGAAATCACCTCAACTGACAAATTTTCTTTGTTTTTTATTAGATTACAAATTTTATCCTCATCAATTTCAGAATATTGAACGGCACGAACTTATGGGACGACCTAATATTTTGCCTGGTCCGCCAAGTACTTCGCACGAATGTTGTAGCCAATCAGTCATAACTTGTTTTACAAAATAATTCCATCGAGAAACAGTATTTTTATTCAATTGTAATTCTCGTACAATCTGATATCGATCAAAATTATGGACTAACGTGTAAGTTAATTTTAATACCATTTCATAAGAAAGCTTTGTTTTTGAAAACCACGTTCCACGTTTTACACATACTTTTACATCACAAGTTCGCTTTCGTTTGCAAGCACCAAGAGATGCTGCAATTGTTTTTCTACAACGCCAATTTTCATTGTCCAATTTCATTACGTTTCCACGCCGTGGACAATTAAGATTTTTGGCAATCAACTTTTAATCTTGCAAAGAATTTTAATAAAGCTTCTTTATTTTTACAAAATTCGTGCAATTTAAATAAGGTCCACACGTCTGGAACTACTAATTCGGTCATTTTTATAGCACGGTTGAACAAAATTCGCAAAGTACAAGAAACTGAAGAAAATCAGAAATGACAGTCGAAACGAATGATTACTGAGAACAATTTCTGCTTTTCTTCTGTTTCTTGTACTATCTGCAATGTGGAAATGTTATGAAAATTGGCGACGCGGGATAACTATTCCAGGATCTGTCGATCAAACTAAACGTAAAAGACATGGTAATATAAAGATATTTGCAAAGCAAAGAACGTGGTTTTCTAAAAACAAACTCGGCTATAGATGTTTTAAAATTAACATATATACTAACATATAATTACGAGCAATGTCGTACTATTATATAACTAAAATTAAATAAAAATACTGCTCAGCAATTGGAAGAGTAGAGTAGATTGTCGAGATCGATGAATCAACATTTTGTCATAGAAAATATCGCAGAGGTCGCTTGAAAATTAATCACAGCGTCAGTTTTGAAGATCCCATTACCGATGCTTGCACGAATTAATTTGAAACCACTCGGAGGCATGCTACACATTTTTTAATCTTTTTTATAACATATAATGCTATCGATATTTTATATTTTTAAGAAGAGTAACTTCATCGAATGCCTGAGCCGTTATGTATTTAGTAAATGTACCTAATAGAAAAATGGTGATTTATTCGATGAAATATTAGCAGAAATAGTAGAAATTTCATTCGATAAATGTTTAACAAATTAGCATTTGACTAGCTAGCATTTTGAACAGAGTAACGACAGTCACCTGTTTCCACCTGTGGATTTGTCAAAATATACTTAACCTTACTTTTTTACCGTAACTTTACGACAAGTTTATAAAAAAATAACGAATTTCCGCAGATAATGAAATGCGTATCAATAATGTATTGAATTAGACGAATCGAATGACGTATAACTCACCCCGATCGGTGAACGGGCCGTTTGCTAGGAATATACCTGAACTACCTGTTGATTTGATTGGCGCAAATAATTATAATATTCTAAAGGATTGTCAGTGAGCTGTCCTCTCGGCTTGTTTGTTTCCATCAAATTTTTCCAAGCAATGAGTCGTTGTGCTAACATCGTGCCTCTTGCTTGAAAGCCCTTAACAAATATGAAATAGATAAGTAAAGTATATACAAATATATCAAATGTTACCGATTCATGTATACTCACTAATTGAGGATCAGAGAAATCTGGAAACGTTTTGACAGCTAAAGGAACGATCAAGCACGTCGAAGAGAATATGAGTATTACCATTACAACGGTATAAGGATGATGAGCTATCACACGAGAAAACCACCACACTTCCATTTTGATAATTACAATCTATTCTTTCTTAAAACTTAAGTTGCACTTTCTTGTAAATTATAGTAATACAAAATAGATAATACGGAAGCAATATCGTCGTGATTGTGTTCCAACTCACAAATTATCATAGCATCGTGTATTAAACTGTTCTCAAACTCGTCAGACTTACATTAAGATACTTTTCGTGCGTACGATTCGAATAAAAATCACCCAGTAAAGGATAGAACGCGAACATTTTTCGTCTAACGTTTCGTACCATTTTTTCCTTTCCTTACACTAGCCTCCATCAAATTATTATTCCCGTGTATCAGTTTCAAATTTGTATAAAACATAAATGCAACAAAAGTCAAAATTCTTCACTCGATGTCTTACAAATATTATTCTTTATGCTAAACGCCCTCAATAATTCCTTAATTCAAAAAGCAACATGGACTTCCCGTTTAAAGGGGTGGTATACACGTGTTTACATCGGTAGTAACAAATGGGACGATCCACGGACCTAAGAATATATAATGAAGCACAGATGCAACGTAAACAAAGATTTTCAAATTATTAAATTGGCAAATTATATTTTTAATTTTCTTTAAAAGTGATAGATATCACAATTTTGATAATAGTATGATATTAAAATATAATGGAAAGGTGTACGATGAAAAAACATTTGATAATTTTTGTACAAATCAACTTCGATCGACGTTTTATAATATTACTTTGGTAAAAGTCGAATTTCATGAATAATAAATCATCATTTTTTACGTTTGAATAAAGAAGTACATATTTATGATTCGACAATGTTGTCTAGTAACATTTTAGTAACTAGTAACTAGTTACTAGTAACTACTAGTGACTAGTAACTTACACGTGATGAATGCTCATTCGTGTTTCACGTTTACGCGATCCACGTATAACATATATGCACTCAACACGTGTCTACTGACAAGCAGTTTAGTTTAGAACGTTTGATTAGAGCTCCGTTAATTTGTAATCAAATATTATTTACAATGTAAGAACAGTCTCGAAGTTTGTATCATCGCCTTTTACGCGTCACTTTTAACATAATTAATTAACAGATTTTTATTGCAGATGAAAACCTTAATTCTACTTTCCATTCTATTTCTAAGCACTTATGTTCAATCTGTCGAGATCGATAACAAATTTTTAAAATGTTTAGGTGAGCAACTTATTGTCTAACAATCTTCGATACGGAGTAATAATAAACTAATATTAATAATATATAGTTTGCAGATCGACCGTGAACGAAATCGAAGGAGAACTGGGAAAAATTGATCCCTCGAAGAAAATTGAAATAGGTAATTACAGATTAGATGCAGAGGGGAATATTCATCAAAAGAAGGTGATTATCGATATTAGTAATATTTTTATATCGTAAGTTGTGTAATTTTGAATATATTATTTTGTTTAAAGATACCTCTTGCTCAATCTGAAATACACATATCCGATGTATTGGACAGTATTTGTGACAAAATGTCGGACTATGTAAGAGCAACGTATAAATCAAATGGTCAGTTGACGATCCTAAATCTGATGGGTCCGTCTGGCGGTATGAATCCTGAAATGTCCAAAGTCGATATCATTCAGGACGGCGACATGAATAAAAGTTTAAAATATAATGTAAGTGCTTCAACGTAATTACACGCTATTAATCTAACAAGCATGATAACTTATCTTTAATTTGTACAAAAAATGATACATACTATGATCTGTGTAAAGCTGTTCGTTCTTCCGATGTATTTCAGTGCGAGGGATTAGTAGAAGAGTATGAAGATTCTATAATTTCATTGTTCATGCGTAAGGAAAATAATATCAGACATCGGTTGTGTACGGGCATTACAAGGTCGTGTAATCCTGCAGATTTTGCTCACGAAGACAAAGACGACGATGATGTTTATAATAATATTATTTTTGACGAGTACTAATATATTTTTGATATTAAAAAAATAAATGCAATGTGTTATTTAAATAATACTATATGTTTCAAAATGGTACAAAGTACAAAAACATAAAATGTAAAGTATATTTAAGATAAATAAATGTAGATAGACTATGGTATAGGTTTCATTGTACATTGGAAATGTAAAATTTGTTTTGAAGTTATTTCACTTTAATTTTAAAAAAACTAAGGAGAATTATGTATCAATTGATTTATAAAAGAGAATTTTTGCCATTCTGCCGTATCTGAATTTCAGAAGTTTGATTTGTGTTGTGTGTCGGGCGAAACAGAATTGAATTGCTTTTTATTTTTAATATCAAATCAAATAAATTTACCTTATATGCAGAAAACAGTGCAACTCAAAATTCATGTTATATGTAAGCTATCGGGATGAGTTCTACGTCATTCGATTCGTCTAATTCAATACATTATTGATACGCATTTCATTATCTGCGGAAATTCGTTATTTTTTTATAAACTTGTCGTAAAGTTACGGTAAAAAAGTAAGGTTAAGTATATTTTGACAAATCCACAGGTGGAAACAGGTGACTGTCGTTACTCTGTTCAAAATGCTACCTAGTCAAATGCTAATTTGTTAAACATTTATCGAATGAAATTTCTACTATTTCTGCTAATATTTCATCGAATAAATCCACCATTTTTCTATTAGGTACATTTACTAAATACATAATGGCTCAGGCATTCGATGAAGTTACTCTTCTTAAAAATATAAAATATCGATAGTATTATATGTTATAAAAAGGATTAAAAAATGTGTAGCATGCCTCCGAGTGGTTTCAATTTAATTCCTGTAAGCATCGGTAATGGGATCTTCAAAACTGACGCTGTGATTAATTTTCAAGCGACCTCTGCGATATTTTCTATGACAAAATGTTGATTCATCGATCTCGACAATCAACTCTACTCTTCCAATTGCTGAGCAGTATCTTTATTTAATTTTAGTTATATAATAATATGACATTGCTCGTAATTATGTGTTAGTATATATGTTAATTTCAAAACATCTATAGCCGAGTTTGTTTTTAGAAAACCACGTTCTTTGCTTTGCAAATATCTTTATATTACCATGTCTTTTACGTTTAGTTTGATCGACAGATCCTGGAATAGTTATCCTGCATCGCCAATTTTCATAACATTTCCACATTGCAGATAGTACAAGAAACAGAAGAAAAGCAGAAATTGTTCTCAGTAATCATTCGTTTCGACTGTCATTTCTGATTTTCTTCAGTTTCTTGTACTTTGCGAATTTTGTTCAACCGTGCTATAAAAATGACCGAATTAGTAGTTCCAGAAGCGTGGACCTTATTTAAATTGCACGAATTTTGTAAAAATAAAGAAGCTTTATTAAAATTTTTGCAAGATAAAAAGTTGATTGCCAAAAATCTTAATTGTCCACGGCGTGGAAACGTAATGAAATTAGACAATGAAAATTGGCGTTGTAGAAAAACAATTGCAGCATCTCTTGGTGCTTGCAAACGAAAGCGAACTTGTGATGTAAAAATATGTGTAAAACGTGGAACGTGGTTTTCAAAAACAAAGCTTTCTTATGAAATGGTATTAAAATTAACTTACACGTTAGTCCATAATTTTGATCGATATCAGATTGTACGAGAATTACAATTGAATAAAAATACTGTTTCTCGATGGAATTATTTAGTAAAACAAGTTATGACTGATTGGCTACAACATTCGTGCGAAGTACTTGGCGGACCAGGCAAAATATTAGGTCGTCCCATAAGTTCGTGCCGTTCAATATTCTGAAATTGATGAGGATAAAATTTGTAATCTAATAAAAAACAAAGAAAATTTGTCAGTTGAGGTGATTTCTGAAATTTCAAACATAGTAACATCAACAATTCATAGAAATTTGAAACAAATAGATATTGCGTCAAAGTTCGAAGTTTGGAATTCACACTAGCTTATGGAACAAAATTCTCTTAATCGTGGTAGAGCCTGGTTGCGTAAATATTTCTGTTAGCATATAATAAAACCGAATCTTATAAGATACAAAATATAACAATCTCCAGGCTTATTAGTGGATAAACAATTTGAAAATGTCAACGTTTTAATGAAAAGCGTTAAACTAAATTTGAATAAAATATCCAGCAAGTTTTGAAGCGACGATACAATGGCTTTGCCAAAAGAAGGGGAAGGAGTTGTTGAACGAGAAGAGGTTTACTATTTTTCATAAAATTCCATCGTATGTTTAAAATATTACTTCAAGTTGCAGTAGAAAACTCGGCATGAACATATGGGACGACCTAATAGTAGAAATAGACGAATCTAAGTTCGGACGAAGAAAATATCACAGAGGTGATCGTGTAGAGGGACAATGGGTTTTTGGAGGAATAGAAATAGGAAGTGGAAAAATATTCCTGGTGCCTGTTGAAAGTAGGGGCACAGAGTCCCTGCTTTCAATAATTAAACAATGGGTGTTGCCTGGCACAACAATTATTTCAGATTGTTGGAAAGCCTGTAACATCTTAGAGAAAGAGGGGTACAAACATCTTACCGTAAATCACAGCTTACATTTCAAAGACCCAGAAACAGGCGCTCGTACAAATACGATAGAAACTACGTGGAGGCATAGTAAACACTTTTTGCCTGAATATTGTCGGTTGGTATTTCTAATTTTGCACGTTTTTTAATATTTTCTGTAACATACAATACCATAAAATTTTCTATTTTTAGCAAAAAGGATAATTTCATTGGGTATTTAAGCCACTACGTATTTTACAAATTTTCCAAGCAAGGAAAGGATGATTTATTTAACCAGCTGTTAAAAGAAATTGCAGAAATTTCATTTGATTCTACGGAAAACCAAAATATACCAGACCTGGATGATAATGAAATTTAATAATAAAAAAAAGTTAATCCAACGCACTGCATACAATAGTAATTTATTATATTCTCTACCCGTAAACACTGTTTGGGGGGGGGGCAACATTTTTTACTCTTGCTGCGTACACTGTCTACCTACAAGTACTGTCTGAGTTGGTCTGGGTTATATGGGGGGAGGAATTGTTGCGGCACATACTGTCTACATGACCGACTCGTGCAAAGTCTATCCGTAACAAAATGATTTCTATGCATACGCATTCTACAAATTCCCGTTTGGCAATGTAGCATTATCAAATTAGATCAATCATTTATATTTGTAACATGAACATAGCAACGATAGTCACTTCTATCTGTGATCCTGTCAAAAAATGTACCTAACCTTACTTTTTTTACTGTAACTTTACAATTTATAAAAAAATAACGAATTTCCGCAGTTAATGAAATGCATATCAATAATGTATTGAATTAGACGAATCGAATGACGTATAACTCACCCCGTTTGCTAGAAATGTTCCAAATTTACCTTATATGCAGAGAACAGTGCAACTCAAAATTCATGTTATATGTAAACTATATCGAAGTATTTTATAAAAATTAATTAAGTCTAGATTAACAATTGTGATTGCAGACAGCAAATACATAATTTGTTGCGATTTAATTTTGTTCTTAATCGCGATATTGCGACCGCTGTGATGAAAAGCTGAGAGCCAATAGAAAATCAACGAAAATCGATCGCTACTCGGTAGCCCTCTAGCGGCGAGTACCGGAGGCCTCGTCGTAAACGTACAGTATAGCGCAGAATTTGTATATCCGTGATATGTTTACGTGACCAACGGTCTTTCTACCCAGGTTCCCGTGCGCGCTTGTTTCGTCTTCGTTTCGCCGCCATCATTACGAAGACGAAAGAGGTTGGTTTTGCTGATTTCCGCGTGATAGTGTCGTTGTACGTAACCCAGCACAAATGAAGATGGTGGATAAAATAGAGATGAGCCTCGACGATATTATCAAGCAAAATAAAGGGACCAGACCGCGCGGCGGTGGCGGTAGACGTGGAAGAGGTGCCGGTAATTCACCTCGCAGAGGTGCACGCAGAACTCAAAGAGTTGGCGGTGGCGTCATGCGGGGACGCAGCCGTGGTGGCATTACACGGAGTTCTCTACCGTACACAAGGGTAACGAATCACGTTTGTTTTTATTTTTAACAGAATTTTTACGCGGTTGATGATTTGTACACAATTCGTCACGTGTCCCGTATATCGAAACCTACGGCATTATTTCCGCCCCAAATTGTTAAGAGCATGAAATACTTTAAACCCGAGGACAAATTTTACGACTGTATTTCGGAGTAAAACAGTTCTCCCGAATAGAAGTATAATTCATAGTTGTTTATTTAGTTTTAGAGGTCTTTCAGAATTATCGTTCGAACATCGTGTTGTCGATTTTGAGGTCGATCATGTGTATCGTTTTTTATTAGTTTGCTTGATTGGATTATTGACATAAACGTGTTGGAGTTTCGTCCGTTATAGAAAGAAACAATTTAAAACCATTGATGTGTTAACGTGATTTGAATGTTTAATTTCAATTTATTGGAGTAAGATAATAAACATCGATGAATGTAACTTGCGTGTATAGGGAGACGTAAACAGTGCGTGGAAACATGATATGTTCGACGGGGTTAAAAAGGTTGGCCGAAGTGCAATAGGTAGCGCAGGAACGACCAAGCTCCTCGTATCTAACCTGGACTTTGGCGTATCGGATTCTGACATTCAGGTATTATTACCGAATAATTTTTAATACTTTACATTAAGGTAATAAATGAAAATTTAGCCTTAAAATCATTACGGTTTGACACAATAATTAACGAGTGTTTATAAAATATTTTGAGAGGATTTAACGCTAGAAGTTTAAGCGTAATAAAAATGTACAATAATTATGCGCCTGTTTGTGTGTTTCTAGGAATTATTTAGTGAATTTGGTCCCTTGAAGTCGGCAGCGGTGCATTATGATAGGTCAGGCCGATCATTAGGATCAGCGGATGTTATATTTGAAAGAAGAGCGGACGCTATTAAAGCGATGAAACAGTATAACGGCGTACCATTAGACGGTGTGTAATTAAATTTACGTTTGCTCTTTAATTTTCCTTTGAACGTCTCTTTTTAATTATAAAATTCCGCCTATATTTAGGGTTTCAGTAACACTAATTAATCTGGTCACCCGGTTTGTACCTAGCGACCATACAGTTTGAGCATTATTCTCTTTTATTCTTCCAATAAACGATCCGGCATGGGATGAAATTAAAGAAAAACAAAATTTCAAAGAAGTTATTGTGAATTATCATTTGCACAGCTATTCACGTCTATTATTGCAATGTGTGATATACGTCGGCAGGTCGTGAAATGAACATACAAGTTGCTACCTCTGAAATACCAGTCACGTCTATCCGTGGAGGTCCGAGACTTACCGGCAGTAATTATACACAGAGACCTCAGCCCCGCTTTAGAGGCAATCGTGGAACAGGATCCATTAGGGGTATGTAATTTAATTATTCTTAACACTTTACCGACCGATAGCCTGTTAATCGACTGTTTTACCGGCCACATTCCTCGTCTTTTAGCTTTCCTTCTAATTCTACTGTTATCTGTAGTTGTTTCAGGCACATTTATAGGCTTGTTTTTTTCGAAGGTATTTCCACAATACGTTTAATCTGCAATCGTTTCAAAACCACGTTAATTACATTTGGCCGAAACTAAAAAACATTATTAACACATTATTAGGTCTGGATTAAGTCTGGGTTAGGTCTGGGTTAGGTCTGAATTAAGTCTGAGTTAGGTCTGGGTTAGGTCTGAACTAAATCTGGGTTAGGTCTGGGTTAGGTCTGAACTAAATCTGGGTTAGGTCTGGGTTAGGTCTGGAATAAGTCTGAATTAAGTCTGGGTTAGGTCTGGGTTAGGTCTGAACTAAATCTGGGTTAGGTCTGGGTTAGGTCTGGAATAAGTCTGGGTTAGGTCTGGGTTAGGTCTGAACTAAATCTGGGTTAGGTCTGGGTTAGGTCTGAACTAAATCTGGGTTAGGTCTGGGTTAGGTCTGGGTTAGGTCTGAATTAAGTCTGGGTTAGGTCTGGGTTAGGTCTGAACTAAATCTGGGTTAGGTCTGAATTAAGTCTGGGTTAGGTCTGAACTAAGTCTAGGTTAGGTCTGGATTTATAGATAACCTTATTCCCCCAGGGAATAGATTTATTTTGTTTTAAATAGGTTTAACCCAGACCTAATCCAGACCTAACCCAGACTTAATCTAGACCTAATCCAGACCTAACCCAGACCTAACCCAGATCTAATCCAGACCTAACCCAGATCTAACCCAGATCTAATCCAGACCTAACCCAGATCTAATCCAGACCTAACCCAGACCTAACCCAGATCTAATCCAGACCTAACCCAGATCTAATCCAGACCTAACCCAGACCTAACCCAGATCTAATCCAGACCTAACCCAGACCTAATCCAGATCTAATCCAGACCTAACCCAGATCTAATCCAGACCTAACCCAGACCTAACCCAGATTTAATCCAGACCTAACCCAGATCTAACCCTGATCTAATCCAGACCTAATCCAAACCTAACCCAGACCTAACCCGGACCTAACCCAGACCTAACCCAGACCTAACCCAGACCTAACCCAGATCTAACCCAGACCTAACCCAGACCTAACCCAGATTTAATCCAGACCTAACCCAGATCTAACCCTGATCTAATCCAGACCTAATCCAAACCTAACCCAGACCTAACCCAGATTTAATCCAGACCTAACCCAGATCTAACCCTGATCTAATCCAGACCTAATCCAAACCTAACCCAGACCTAACCCGGACCTAACCCAGATCTAATCCAGACCTAACCCAGATCTAATCCAGACCTAACCCAGATTTAATCCAGACCTAACCCAGACCTAACCCAGATCTAATCCAGACCTAATCCAAACCTATCCCAGACCTAACCCCCGTTATCAGCGATGAATAGGTCTGGGTTAGGTCTTTTACCGACCGATAGCCTATTGATCGACTTTTTTACCGGTCAACACTTACCGACCGATAGCGTATTAATAAACTTCTTTACCGACCGATAGCCGATTAATCAACTGTTTTACCGGCCGGTAAAGTGTCAAGTAAATAAAAAATAAGTTATCGAATTATATATATGATATTTATGTTCTTTATTTAAAGGACGTGGAACTGGTCGACGTGGTGGCAGAGGAGGCAGCCGGCAAGCAACAAAAACTCCCACTGCCGAAGAGCTAGACGCCGAATTGGAAGCTTATGTGAAAGAAGTAAAGTAACAACGTCACAAAACCTTCACACTTTTAAGATTTTGTTCTGATCTGACTTAACATGATAAAATGTGTTTCTCTAATTTCCCATGAGAATATATAAAAATTAAGTATAACTGTATCACTAGCAAAGTGTTATAAGAAATTCCTTTTAAACGAGTCTTTTTTTTTTTTTATTTTTGACTTTTTCTCTGGAAATTGGCATAGAAAATTTTACAGATTCGTAAGAAAAGATGATTTATAGGGGTTCATAAATTTTTTTATGATAATCGTAACAAAAATATGAAAAAAGTTATAATGTAAAGACTGTATAGATTTGTATGTACTATCGTGCGTGTGTGGTTATCAGATGAAAAATACAGTAAAAAAGTTCATCTTTAAAAGTTGTTGTTTATCAAAGTACAGAATGTGCTTCTAGCCCTCTAATCTAATTAATTTTTTCATTCATAATCGAAACTTTTCAAGTATCCACTTTTTTTTGACAAATTTAGTTTACAACCTTGTAGAACATCCTGTTATATACTATGTGTCAATTACTATATGTACTGGTAATCGTACCTTTGTAAATTACGTTTACTCGATTGTTTTTTTACTACGAGTAATTGAAAACTACCCTCTTGTGCGTAGTTTATAGCTCGTAGTGGAATAAGGCTGTGACATACTGTTATCTAGTCAAAACTACTAATGAAATATTTTACTGCGCAGTAAATGGGCTTGTAAGACAATGTATACGCTTTTATTCATGCAGCGTATGAATGGCAATGCAGTGGTACAAGACTGAAGCAAAGAAACTGACGAGTCATTATCTAATAAATAACAATATTCTTGAGAATCAAAATAATTTTTATTTACCACCTTGATCGATGATCAAATTTCCACTTTTTTTTTGACAATTTATTTTCATTCGGTTTTTCTTAAATACGGTTTCAAGAGCCCATAGAGTCCATCCCTGGTAATTACGCATACATAAAACACAAATGCTTTCATTCGAAGAACATTCTTTATTTAAATAATCACACGAGGTACCATTTTGTACATTTGTAAAAATATCCGCTAACAGATACAGCAGAGTGGGCTAAAATTACTTTCCATATCCGATCGTAAAGTAGATCGCTAGAGTGTTGTACTTGTTTTGTATCTTTAAGGAAGTCATTTCTCGTAATGCTTCTGGAATCGTTAACTTTTCTAAATACTTAATAATAAGATCAGTCGTGTTTAGATAATAAATTTTTACTATGCAATAATTTGTGTACAATAGAGGCAACATTACCACACCGGTGTTTCTTAAATTATAAAAGATAGATCGAACGACGTCACATCTCTTCACAATCTTTTCAGCGTCCTCTTTTTGTCTTTTAACAGTTTTTTCTTCTCCGCTGATAGTTTTTTATCCCCCGCGTGTTTTTTTGGGAGTGGCCCTCCGACTTCAGAGGAGGCGCAACTTTCCAGACCCGCTTTGCTGCCCTTTCCACCTCCCTAAGTTACAACGCACATTGTTTATCATTGGATACGCGAGCGAAACAATATAAACCTTTAACGTGATATTACCTGCGCATGTATCTCTGTCATCATTTTTGCCCTCTCCGAGTAATCGTCGTACCTTTGTAGAAGCAATTTACCAGCTTCTTCGTTCAAAGCTGACTCCGCGTTTGGCACTATTAAGAGACACTTCACAGTCTGAAAGAAGACATTTGTGAGTATCGGTGATATCGTGAACTTTCTGACATTAATCGTACCAGTAGTATGTGTTTTATTCCGAGATCTGATTTCCAATCCTTCTTTAAAGTATTCACGCATATTTCACCGTTCTTCGCGACGTTCGGATGAAAGATCTTTGTTAAGAAGAACGCCTTCGGCGGTCCTTGAGGGAAGTCTTTGCCCAGGGCTAGTTTCACTCTGAAGAAACCACCGGCGTACGGTGTTCCCGCTGGGCGTTGGGGAAAAAGGTGACATTTTTAATTTACCGATACTGTAATCATCTTTACAAGTTTGCGTAGAACTCGATAAATCAAATTATAGAAATTAATATGTAAACGGACACGACATTCACATTTTTAACAATAGTGATTTAAAAAGGAAGTTTTCTGTATTTAAGAAATTTAATCGGCTTGAAATTCCGGAGATAATTTTTGAATTTCTTTTGAGAAATTTTATTAAACGAGTGTAATGTGTAATTGACACGTGAATAGGTTATGATTCGATAATCGGTGATTTCTGTGATTAGCAATAAGTTATTTGATTTAAATTTGAAGGGGATAGTAATTACGTGAGGTTTAATCTTACAAGGTCCTTCTATAGTAGCCTGAATGTCAGTAACATCTTCTTCGTTCAAAATAACACGAATGCCCTCGGGTGGTTGCGTCGCTAATTCGCTCATTTCTTTGGCTACCCGTCGAATAATTTGCGGCGAAAGGTTTTCGACGTTTGATATCTGCAAAACGTAAATAACGATACGGTAGCGCGATATACGAAGAGCCGTGATATCATCGCGAGAGGAGACCCTTAACCAGAAGATAAACAAGAAGCACCGACGTGAAAATTCGAAGCTACGAAATAATAATTGTCGTCGTGTACTCACGGAACTCACTGCGGCCATATTCAGCAAATTTTTAAACAGAATTTCGATTGAAACGCGTTCACGGAAACGCGATTGTTCGGTCGAGCACTGTTGGTGAAATCTTTAACGTCACAACATCAGCACAGCATCGCCAGCGATAACCAACATTTTGAACTGACAGCCAATCGCGTGCGAGTTAGCGATAATCTCGAATCCGTGGGTCGATCACTCGTCATTTCGTGTGTGTGTTTTCAACCAAAAAAAGTTTCCCGGCGTCTCTGACTTTTCGTCGAATTTACGTCGTAATAGTTTGATCAAAGTACCGAGAAATGATCGAATCGAAGGCGATATAATGCGAACGAATTTTAATCGCGTTCGACTGTGACTTTTACGTATCGTGTTACGGAATACTTGTACCCTACGGTCGTAACAAATTTGTATACTTCGTTACGTATCAGACAAGATGAGCGATAGCGCAGGAATTGAGCGGGTAAGATTTTATTCATGTTGTTTCTATTTGTACAAAGAAACGTTTGAACGCGTTTCATTTAACGTTCGAGTAGTCCTGTGCACTGATTATACGGAGTTACCGTAATGGAAAAATCAATGACAGTGACACTCATTCGTAAGTAGACACTCTCTGATAATGTAATCTTATTACAGGAGAAGCACATGAAACAATTAAAGCGTTTAATGGAATGGTGCCGTGAAGCAATACTTTTATTGAATTCCATCCTATTATGGGAACGGTCTTGGTACCCCGGTCTTATAGTTGGAACTACGAGTACGATATTCTTGTGAGTGAAAACGTTGTATGTAAATGCATGTGTTTTCTCGTTGCGGATTATAAAATAAATTTCTGTCGTGAATGTTTTATTTACACTCGTCGCGTTTTATTTAAGAGGAACATTCCTAGCAAACGGCCCGTTCACCGATCGTGGTGAGTTATACGTCATTCGATTCGTCTAATTCGATACATTATTGATATGCATTTCATTATCTATTGTATATAATATTTTTCCACTTCCTCTTTCTATTCCTCCAAAAACCCATTGTCCCTCTAGACGATCACCTCTGTGATATTTTCTTCGTCCGAACTTAGATTCGTCTATTTCTACTATTAGGTCGTCCCATATGTTCGTGCCGAGTTTTCTACTGCAACTTGAAGTAATATTTCAAACGTACGATGGAATTTTATGAAAAATAGTAAACCTCTTCTCGTTCAACAACTCCTTCCCCTTCTTTTGGCAAAGCCATTGTATCGTCGCTCCAAAACTTGCTGGATATTTTATTCAAATTTAGTTTAACGCTTTTCATTAAAACGTTGACATTTTCAAATTGTTTATCCACTAATAAGCCTGGAGATTGTTATATTTTGTATCTTATAAGATTCGGTTTTATTATATGCTAACAGAAATATTTACGCAACCAGGCTCTACCACGATTAAGAGAATTTTGTTCCATAAGCTAGTGTGAATTCCAAACTTCGAACTTTGACGCAATATCTATTTGTTTCAAATTTCTATGAATTGTTGATGTTACTGTGTTTGAAATTTCAGAAATCACCTCAACTGACAAATTTTCTTTGTTTTTTATTAGATTACAAATTTTATCCTCATCAATTTCAGAATATTGAACGGCACGAACTTATGGGACGACCTAATATTTTGCCTGGTCCGCCAAGTACTTCGCACGAATGTTGTAGCCAATCAGTCATAACTTGTTTTACAAGATAATTCCATCGAGAAACAGTATTTTTATTCAATTGTAATTCTCGTACAATCTGATATCGATCAAAATTATGGACTAACGTGTAAGTTAATTTTAATACCATTTCATAAGAAAGCCTTGTTTTTGAAAACCACGTTCCACGTTTTACACATATTTTTACATCACAAGTTCGCTTTCGTTTGCGAGCACTAAGAGATGCTGCAATTGTTTTTCTACAACGCCAATTTTCATTGTCTAATTTCATTAAGTTTCCACGCTGCGGACAATTAAGATTTTTGGCAATCAACTTTTAATCTTGCAAAAATTTTAATAAAGCTTCTTTATTTTGACAAAATTCGTGCAATTTAAATAAGGTCCACGCTTCTGGAACTACTAATTCGGTCATTTTTATAGCACGGTTGAACAAAATTCGCAAAGTACAAGAAACAGAAGAAAATCAGAAATGACAGTCGAAACGAATGATTACTGAGAACAATTTCTGCTTTTCTTCTGTTTCTTGTACTATCTGCAATGTGGAAATGTTATGAAAATTGGCAACGCGGGATAACTATTCCAGGATCTGTCGATCAAACTAAACGTAAAAGACATGGTAATATAAAGATATTTGCAAAGCAAAGAACGTGGTTTTCTAAAAACAAACTCGGCTATAGATGTTTTGAAATTAACATATATACTGACATATAATTATGAGCAATGTCGTATTATTATATAACTATAGATGCTGCGATTGTTTTTCTACAACGCCAATTTTCATTGTCTAATTTCATTAAGTTTCCACGCTGTGGACAATTAAGATTTTTGGCAATCAACTTTTAATCTTGCAAAAATTTTAATAAAGCTTCTTTATTTTGACAAAATTCGTGCAATTTAAATAAGGTCCACGCTTCTGGAACTACTAATTCGGTCATTTTTATAGCACGGTTGAACAAAATTCGCAAAGTACAAGAAACAGAAGAAAATCAGAAATGACAGTCGAAACGAATGATTACTGAGAACAATTTCTGCTTTTCTTCTGTTTCTTGTACTATCTGCAACGTGGAAATGTTATGAAAATTGGCAACGCAGGATAACTATTCCAGGATCTGTCGATCAAACTAAACGTAAAAGACATCGTGATATAAAGATATTTGCAAAGCAAAGAACGTGGTTTTCTAAAAACAAACTCGGCTATAGATGTTTTGAAATTAACATATATACTAACATATAATTACGAGCAATGTCATATTATTATATAACTAAAATTGAATAAAAATACTGCTCAGCAATTGGAAGAGTAGAGTAGATTGTCGAGATCGATGAATCAACATTTTGTCATAGAAAATATCGCAGAGGTCGCTTGAAAATTAATCACAGCGTCAGTTTTGAAGATCCCATTACCGATGCTTACACGAATTGAATTGAAACCACTCGGAGGCATGCTACACATTTTTTAATCTTTTTTATAACATATAATACTATCGATATTTTATATTTTTAAGAAGAGTAACTTCATCGAATGCCTGAGCCGTTATGTATTTAGTAAATGTACCTAATAGAAAAATGGTGATTTATTCGATGAAATATTAGCAGAAATAGTAGAAATTTCATTCGATAAATGTTTAACAAATTAGCATTTGACTAGCTAGCATTTTGAACAGAGTAACGACAGTCACCTGTTTCCACCTGTGGACTTGTCAAAATATACTTAACCTTACTTTTTTACCGTAACTTTACGACAAGTTTATAAAAAAATAACGAATTTCCGCAGATAATGAAATGCATATCAATAATGTATTGAATTAGACGAATCGAATGACGTATAATTCACCCTGATCGGTGAACGGGCCGTTTGCTAGGAATATACCATTTAAGAATAGTTTTTCAATAGATTTAGTTTACATAATTATTATTAAACATTCGTATCATCGAACTAACGAAGCTTCAGTTTTGGGTTGTTACATAAAAGAGCGCTTCCAAACGCTTCGTATTTCTTAATTTATCTGTTACTCGTAACCACAGAAAATAAATTTTCATTTTTCTTAAAGAATAATATGATTCGTGTAAATAATCTTATCATCCTCCAGTTTTATTTGTAACTTAATATCTGTCAATTTTTTACACAATATAAGTACATATATTTATGATTAATGTTTGTGTATACGCAATTTTTATCTAATATTATTTTCGTAGCTCTTAAAATCGACGGTTGTAGGATGGTGTTTTTACTTGTATTTGTTTGGTCACGATTTTAATATTTGAGCATTGAAATTTTTATAGATTTCGTTCGTTCCACGATTTTTAGGTTCGCATGCCTGGGGAAATAGCTAGTAAGTCTGATAAAAGAATAATAGGAGAATAAATATATGTTTATAATAATAATATTTACATTTTATACACTTCAACAGTATTATTTTCAGGTTTCAATCAAATTAGGTCTGTCTCTAGATTTAGTAACATATATATACATACGATACACTTTGCGTTTTAAAATATATTGTCAACGCTCGTAAAATTCTTTTCTTTGCAGTCTGATATGGGTATTGGAGCCTGCTCTGCTTACGATAATATCCGTATCGCTTCTTGTATTGGCATTGGTCGATTATCTCGTATCGCCTTTGACTGCCCTTCTGTGTAGCAGTTGGACGGGCCAAAAGGAGCGAAAGTTGAATGAAATTTGTCAGAATTTATCCGTAACACTTTTACAGTTACAAAATCTGTGGAGATCTATGTTGCAAGTACGAAACGATCGTCCCAACCTTGTAAGTTAAGAAAGAAATTAAACTGTGAAACAACGATAGAATATTTAAGAATTCCTTTTAAATCGTCTTCCTTTTTATGTTCCAGTATTACGTAGGACTAATAGTTTGCCTCACTATATGTATATGGGTTGGTAATGCAATCAACAATTTACTTTTATTTTATATCGCAGGTAAATGATTCTAAATTATATTTCGAACGTTACTATATTTCATTACGTACGTATGTTAAAGTATGTTCTAAATGTTACAGTGAACGCCATTTTACTTATGCCAGGACTTAGACGCAAAGGACGCGCGATGTTGTCCATATCGTTCGTTCGCGATTACGTGTCCCACGCTGAAAAGACATAATCATAGTTTGTATGTATTCACTTATCTTTATTATCTACGAGCGTTTAATCACTTCTTTATTTATTAATTGAAAACTAAGGATGTACGGGCTTTACGCATTTAAAAACGTATAATTATATGATAAATCACGCCCATTCCTTAGTTTTATCGTTTCATGTGATATCATCGAACATTACGAATCGTTTTCATTGTACTTTTGTACTTGAAATATATTTCCATGTTTCTTCACTCGACGATTTTAATAAAGCTATTTCATATTTTATCGGTATATTTATTGCAAAGTTTATACAAAAGTTTATACAAAAATAATAGTGCCCATATGGTTTATTCATGATATATTTTAATTACTCAAAGTTTGTTTTCATTACGTTATATTTCAAAAAGCGCGGGTTTATAAATCGAAAGATGGTGGCGCTGTAAGCGCAAAATGGACGTTCTATCGTTATCGTACGCGCACCTTGACCAAACCAGTTTCGTTCCGAGATAAATTACGCGGAATGACAAGAAACTTTTAATTAAGCTATGAACAGTCACGTATACAATGTGTTCCGACAGCCATAAGCGGAGAGATTTCTTTTGTGCGCCGATACAATTCGATCACGTTACATTTTCGTTTAAATATCATTTAAGTTAATTCCACGTCGATTACGGTTGTAAACAAACATTACGTCGATTGAAACAAACTTCGAACTGTTTTTTTTATTTTCTGTTACTGAATAATATATTACATAGAAGCACCATGGATATAATGGTTAAGTTGAATGAACAGACTGTGGGCAGGGACAAAATTATCAGGTATGTGTATTTTCATTTACTCTTTGAACCATTTTTGTGTGTATCAAACGTTCAGTTTTTTGGCTAACGTAAAGTTAAAATTTTACTAAATTTGATAACCATGATTTTAATTGTTTCATGTAGTAGCTAATGAACGTTATATTTTAAATGCTACGTCAATCCACAGAGAGCGACGCTGAACTTTTTGTTCGGGCGTCTTGCATTTTCAACTAGAAATAAACAGAAAGTTTTAGTTTAAAAATTGATAGTAATACTATTAGTTTTTGAAACGATTGTTTGTTAATAATTTACAGATTGCTGCAGTACGGGAGTAGAGCGTATTGGTATTACGCTCAGAATAGCCGTATCACGCAACATTCGGCAGAAATTCTGCGAAGTTTGGAATACACTTTCAGTTCCTTTAGAAAATGTACATTCTCGATGATATTTCAGATCCTAGAACGATCGGCGCGGTTGTTAACAAAATTTTCCATTTTATTTTAGTATTGCGCCTTGGAAGGTGTCTGGACAGTTTGTATTCCGCTTTGAAACTGATGAAATATCCCGATGTAGGCATAAGGGTTACCTTGACGCTATCCAGAATCGCCAATGCTCTGTTTTTGCTAGCGGATCATATAATTTGGATCGGTCGTGTAGGATTGTTGCGCGTTAACATAGAAAAGTGGAGCAAAATAGCTAATAAATATTGGTTGATGAATATCATTATGAATCTTACCAGAGATTTCATTGAAATTATTAAAATTTTGGAGCGCGAGGGAAAAGATATATTAATGAAAACGCCAAAATTCTCTTCGAATACTTGGGAACGATACGAAATGCTGTTTCATTTGCGAAACCACAAAGAAGTCGTAATGGATACGATTAAAAATGGATGCGATTTATTCATTCCATTGACAGCGTTAGGTTTCACAAAATTTTCACCCGGAACCATAGGTTTATTCGGTGTCGTTTCATCGATCGTAGGTCTTTACACATTGATTCATCCGTTATGTAAATTAACGCCACCTTAAAACCTCTGTATATAATGTATATAATGTATGATATATACAGAACCTTCTAATTAATAGTAAAATAATTATAAGTATTTTTATATGGGTCTCATGGTGTTTTATGCATTTTTGACATTTAATATAGTATTACGGTATATAAGTAATTGTGATTTCTGATTTATCTTTAGAAAAATTAAAAAAAAAGGCACTTTTCTAAACATGAAGTATTTAATGCGTAGGAGCAGATAGTTATTTTATTCTAGCTGTATTGTTTATTTTGATGATAGTTTTTTTCAATCGTTTAAGAGTTAGGATGAAAACTGCTGGGGTATGTTTATACGGAGGGAGACACGAACCAGTTTCCATGATTTTTCAGTCCCTTTCGATGATCTGATAAAAGAATATTTCCTATCGAAGTCGATCAGTATTTAATCGATCAGAAATTGCAGTTTTCAATAAAAAATCACTGTTATATTTTTAAATGGACTTAATTCTGCTACGCTATTACCTTCAGATGACGTTTAAACAAAAATTAACACTACGGCCTCGCATTTGAACTAAACAAATCAACGTAAACACTACGAATGCTTATTTGTTCAATTTCAGAACTTAACGCACAAAATGAAAGGAAAATTTGTGCAAAATGTGTGGAAATGTACAAAGAGGTTATCGAAGGTACACGTAAGACTTTATTACAAAGAATAGAGCTTCGCAGAAGGTGGAATGCAGTTCATTTAATTTAATTACTAATTTACATGCGCCTTTCTAACATGCGTGTTTTCAATTTGGTTTTCTGTAAACTTTTCTGTTGTTTCTATTGTGCGTTAGGTCTTGGAAGGTTAATAAATGTTATCCATTTGTTAATTTGTGTAATTTTGAATATTGTGGCGGTCGATTCGTGGCAATTTCTTTCAATGTGATCCGAAAGTCACAGCGTAGCAGTTCATTGATCGTCGAAAGGGATTTAAAGATCGTAAAGACTAGTTCGTGCCTCGCTCCAGTATTTAGGTAAAAATTGTATATTTTTATAAAAATATATTTTAGTTACGAATAAAATTTTACTTTGCAATATTAAATATCTCAAAATATGTATAAAAATTTGTTGCGTCTAACAATGTGAGATTAAGCGCTGCTTTCCGTTAGTATGGGTGCAGAACCTTCTCCGATCAACGATTGATACTTATGAGAATAGTACATTAAGAGAATACCCCATTTGCCGCAAATCATAGACCAAACAGCCGATATGCCTGTGCTTTGGGAAACCGGCTCCAGAGCTGAAACATTGAAAGTGCGCTATTTTTTTAAAAAAATTCTTTGTACGAAATAAACACCGTAAACCGATATACTTACGTATCTTGTAGTAGAACGTGAGAAAGAGGTACCAAATTAGCCCAGTGATACCAGCGACTGCGCTTATAAAGCCAACGATGTTTAGATTGTTCAGCGTCGCTCTAGTGTGCCATCGTTCTAAACTTTCGTTTCTTTTGACCCAGTGCAAGTGAAAACAAACAGCAGCTAGAATCGCTGTGTGCCACGCGCAATCAAACATTTTACACTTAAAGACCTCTTGCTCGATTTACAATATTCTAATTATCATGTTTTTGTTACTACGATAGTGCAAGTCATATTTAGCGACAACAATAGAAGTATATACAATGTTATAGTTTAACATATGTTCCAAGAGTAAAAAAAAAAAAAAAAGTCAGTATTTTTCCGGTGTTGATAAATACAAAATTATTTGTTTGTTCAAATAGTAATTTTATGTATGGTAAGAGAATTAGGTGATTTACAAGTAACATGTTCGTATGTTCGTATGTTGAGCAATTGTTGCAACATTATTGCAATCGGTAAAAGATATTATTTAGTGTTGAATAAGGAATGCTAACCTGACAAGATCGACCAAAATCCAACGTCGTGATTTTTGTAAATGACGAAAAATACGATGCACGCGGATACACCCACGATCACACCGATCCCACTCATTATCAAATGTGGTACGACGTTTCGCGACATTTTCGAACGTTCGTCGTTGCTTTAAAGTGATTGAGCCGGTCGAACCGTGTCACAGGGAAGTCCGTTTCCGAACGGAATGGTGGCATATTAAAAAATTACGATTAAGCCAACGATGATTAAAACAGCTGCGAATAAATGTGAATTCGAAGTTATCTGAAATACATGAAACAATCGCGATGTTACAAAACGTACAAAATACGCAGATTTTTCTTGGAAAAAGTGCAATCGGTTTTTACGTATTTCGATTAACGATAAAACATTATCGTCTCGCGAACCCGTAAGATTGCATACATATTTACTGTTCTATTGTGCGTATTACAAAACTTGTGCAATACAATTTTAAATCGTTCGATTGTTGAAATTCTTCGCGACACCGACGCGCCATCTGGCGGAGCAAAAACGAAACTTTTTTCCAATTTTCTTGCGATGCGGTGACAAGAAATAATACCGTTTATTTCTTTTAAATGCATTATCGTGAATAATATTGTCGTCGATATGTTTACGCCAGCGAAGTTCGTTACGTGTTTCTATGCAAGATTCGCGCCATTTCGAACGGATTTTGTTTCAAGTTGCGACTACCGGAGTGAAATCGAGGTAGGATAGCACGACACATGCATTTTTATGGTTCTGAGGCGTTTATGTAATGTGCGTTTGATACGCAGAATCGCGCGGGCGATAACTATACTGGTAGGGGTTATGTTGTTCAAAAAAATTCCTGTGAAAGTACAACGCTATCTTTGGCGCGTTCGTAAATGTTTTTTTGTCGCGATGTATTGCAAAAAGAATTTTTATTTTAATTCAAGGTACAATTAAGGTAAATTAAATATCACTGAATTACGTATAAACGATAATGTATTTGAATTAATTCGATTGTCATTTTCGGACAGCACACGGATCGTTTCTTTTGATCCTCGATTCCGCCATTTTTGTTTCGTACGAAGTTGTTGTCAGTTTTTTGTCGCTGTTACCGTGAAAGACCGAAATTGGAGAATGTCAACTTTCACCGGTGAATGTCAACAGATACCAAATACGTCGGTGAAAGATCGAATATTTCATTACATTGTTGTACATTCGGACCCTCTCCGGTGTGTGTCGACAATCACAGATATGCTCTGGTGGAGGTCCAAAACAGAAGAGTCAAAAAACAAGCGACTGGCTCTGTCCCGCCAAATCCTTCGTTCTGCTCGGAGTCAATCAGCTTTGTCAGTCTTATGCAAGCTTTGATAACGCGAGCAACGTTTTCTTCATTTTTTTTCCGATACCCTAATTTATACTAAATGGATACTGCAGTAAATCGTGATCTTTTTCTAACCCAGACCTAACCCAGACCTAACCCAGACTTAATTCAGACTTATTCCAGACCTAACCCAGACCTAACCCAGACCTAACCCCCGTTATCAGCGATGAATTGGTCTGGGTTAGGTCTGGAATAAGTCTGGGTTAGGTCTGGGTTAGGTCTGAATTAAGTCTGGGTTAGGTCTGGGTTAGGTCTGAATTAAGTCTGGGTTAGGTCTGGGTTAGGTCTGCATTAAGTCTGGGTTAGGTCTGGGTTAGGTCTGAATTAAGTCTGGGTTAGGTCTGGGTTAGGTCTGAATTAAGTCTGGGTTAGGTCTGGGTTAGGTCTGGGTTAGGTCTGAATTAAGTCTGGGTTAGGTCTGAGTTAGGTCTGGAATAAGTCTGGGTTAGGTCTGGGTTAGGTCTGGAATAAGTCTGGGTTACGTCTGAATTAAGTCTGGGTTAGGTCTGGATTAGGTCTGAATTAAGTCTGGGTTAGGTCTGGGTTAGGTCTGAATTAAGTCTGGGTTAGGTCTGGGTTAGGTCTGGGTTAGGTCTGAATTAAGTCTGGGTTAGGTCTGGGTTAGGTCTGCAAGAAAAATTAGATTTTCTAATTAGCAAACTCGTCTTTTTAAGAGTAAATTAAGACCTAACCCAGACCTAACCCAGACATAATTCAGACTTATTCCAGACCTAACCCAGACCTAACCCAGACATAATTCAGACTTATTCCAGACCTAACCCAGACCTAAACCAGACTTATTCCAGACCTAACCCAGACCTAACCCAGACTTAATTCAGACTTATTCCAGACCTAACCCAGACCTAACTCAGATCTAATCCAGACCTAACCCAGACCTAACTCAAATCTAATCCAGACCTAACCCAGACCTAACTCAGATCTAATCCAGACCTAACCCAGACCTAACTCAAATCTAATCCAGACCTAACCCAGACCTAACTCAAATCTAATCCAGACCTAACCCAGACCTAACTCAAATCTAATCCAGACCTAACCCAGACCTAACTCAAATCTAATCCAGACCTAACCCAGACCTAACTCAAATCTAATCCAGACCTAACCCAGACCTAACTCAAATCTAATCCAGACCTAACCCAGACCTAACTCAAATCTAATCCAGACCTAACCCAGACCTAACTCAAATCTAATCCAGACCTAACCCAGACCTAACTCAGATCTAATCCAGACCTAACCCAGACCTAACCCAAATCTAGGGTCTGGGTCAGGTCTGGGTTAGGTCTGGATTAGATTTCGGTTAGGTCTGGGTTAGGTCTGGATTATATCTGGGTTAGGTCTGGATTAGATCTCGGTTAGGTCTGGGTTAGGTCTGGGTTAGATCTGGATTAGATCTGGGTTGGGTCTGGATTAGATCTGAGTTAGATCTGAGTTAGGTCTGGGTTAGGTCTGGGTTAGGTCTGGGTTAGATCCTTTCAGAAAGAGAGGCGAAAAAGTTACGTCACCCTTGTGACGTTTTATAGCGACAGAATTACGGGGAAGAAAATATAAATCTCCATCATGTTCAACACTCACCATCAGTGCATGGTGAATGTCAACATTTACCGGTGTAAGTCAGAAATAAGGGTGTTTAGCAAATATTTCGGACATACACTAAGCGACTATGTGAATGTTGACATTCACCGGTGAAAGTCGACATTCTCCAGATTTCGGTGTTTCACTGTAACATCGCGACGTATTACAAAAAGAATTTTTATTTTAATTCGAGGTACAATTGACGTATAATAAAACGTAAGGTAAATTAAATATCACTGAATTACGTATAAACGATAATGTATTTGAATCAATTCAATTGTCATTTTCGGACAGCGCACGGATCGTTTCTTTTGATCTTCGATTCCGCCATTTTTGTTTCGTTCGAAGTTGTTAGTATTTTGTCGCGTTCTTGCAACATTACTGTTGCTCCTGTACGGCCAAAAGTGTTTTGGTACATCGAAAGACTTCCGTGCAATAGTTTCGGTCTTATGTATCCAAATACTGGATACGTTTCATGTAATAATGTTTATATTAGTGAAAATATCAAAAGAAATATTAATTTGTTTTTAGAATCAGAATGATATGAGACATATAACGAATTAATTACGTTATTTGGTGAATCAGAGCAATACATACGTATTCAAATTTCTTTGGGTGCAGATTTATAGGGTGTAATTATCTTTTTAACGAAGCTTTAATCAACAAATTGGTATTAATGATTTTCATTTTATTTTGGACTCTAGAATCTTCATTTTTCCCTGGGAAAATTTTAATGGGAGATTCTAGAGGCCAAAATAAGATGAAAATCAAGAATATCAATTTGTTGATCGAGGCTTCGTTAAAAAGTTATTAATGTTTAAAGTTTCACCCTTCTCGAATTTTTTTCTCGAAAATGGATAGGATTTTGGGGGTATGTCTATCCACCAAAAATGCTTATAATTGACCCCCGCAACCAGAAATAATTTTTTCAGAACAATTTGAAACTTTTCAATTTCACCGAAAAATCACCCTTATCGATTTTACTTAAAAATTCGTTTCTGATTTTTAGTAATTTTGTTTGACGTCCTACGGAAAAGTTTGTCTAATACTTTTTTGTAGGTACCCATGAGCACTACTTTAGAAAAAAGTTTCATTGACATATGTTCACTATTGTAGGAGTTATGGTCGTTTGAAAATTGGACCATTTTTTGGGGGGTTAAAACGTATGTGTCGTTGTTTGTTTAAACTCTGTAACCTCTGCTACAGCTTACTTCGTTTTGTCGTTGCCGGAGGAGCGAGGATTTTTTCTTCGTGAGGATCGTGATACAAATCTTGAATGTACGTCATTAATTCGCTTTCGAAGTCTTTTCCTTTAGTTTCCGCCTCCGACTTGTCCTTTTCTGTTTCGTCTTTACCGCGTGGAGTCCCTATATTTCGAAGAAAACAGTTCACATTGTATATCAATAGGGTGTTCCATTTAAACCAAACCACCCAAACATATTCTCCAAAAATAGTAGTGCAAAAAAAATTTTATAACTAAATATAAAATTTGAGGCTTCGTTAAAAAGTTATTAACATTTAAAGTTCGAAAAAAATTCAGGAAAATGGACAAAGTTGACAAAACTAAAAAATTTTCAAATCGTTCCAGAAAAATTATGTTTGCCTGAGAGGGTGAATTACAATCATTTTTGGTCAATACACATACCGTCGAAATCCTAACCATTTTCGAGAAAAAAAATTCAGAAAGTTTGACAAAGTTGACAAAATTAAAAAATTTCAAATCGTTTTGAAAAAATTATGATTGCCTGAGGGGATGAATTACAATTATTTTTGGTCAATACACATACCCCTGAAATCCTTCGCGTTTTCGAGAAAAAAATTCAGGAAGGTGGACAAAATTGACAAAATTAAAAAATTTCAAATCTTTTTGAAAAAATTATGTTCGGCTGCGGGCTTCAATTACAATCATTTTTGGTCAATACACATACCGTCGAATTCCTAACCATTTTCGAGAAAAAAAATTCAGAAAGTTTGACAAAGTTGACAAAATTAAAAAATTTCAAATCGTTTTGAAAAAATTATGATTGCCTGAGAGGGTGAATTACAATTATTTTTGGTCAATACACATACCCCTGAAATCCTTCGCGTTTTCGAGAAAAAAATTCAGGAAGGTGGACAAAATTGACAAAATTAAAAAATTTCAAATCTTTTTGAAAAAATTATGTTCGGCTGCGGGCTTCAATTACAATCATTTTTGGTCAATACACATACCGTCGAAATCCTAACCATTTTCGAGAAAAAAATTCAGGAATTTGGACAAAATTGACAAAATTAAAAAATTTCAAATCGTTTTGAAAAAATTATGATTGCCTGATAGGGTGAATTACAATCATTTTTGGTCAATACACATACCCCTGAAATCCTTCGCGTTTTCGAGAAAAAAATTCAGGAAGGTGGACAAAATTGACAAAATTAAAAAATTTCAAATCTTTTTGAAAAAATTATGTTCGGCTGCGGGCTTCAATTACAATCATTTTTGGTCAATACACATACCGTCGAAATCCTAACCATTTTCGAGAAAAAAATTCAGAAAGTTTGACAAAGTTGACAAAATTAAAAAATTTCAAATCGTTTTGAAAAAATTATGATTGCCTGAGAGGGTGAATTACAATCATTTTTGGTCAATACACATACCCCTGAAATCCTTCGCGTTTTCGAGAAAAAAATTCAGGAAGGTGGACAAAATTGACAAAATTAAAAAATTTCGAATCGTTTTGAAAAAATTATGTTCGGCTGCGGGCTTCAATTACAATCATTTTTGGTCAATACACATACCGTCGAAATCCTAACCATTTTCGAGAAAAAAATTCAGAAAGTTTGACAAAGTTGACAAAATTAAAAAATTTCAAATCGTTTTGAAAAAATTATGTTCGGCTGCGGGCTTCAATTACAATCATTTTTGGTCAATACACATACCGTCGAAATCCTTCGCATTTTCGAGAAAAAAATTCTTTACCGAAAATATACCGGGTGGCTCAAAAAGTTTCTATAACTTTTTAACGAAGCCTCAATCAACAAATTGCTATTCTTGCTTTTCGTCTTATTTTGGCCCCTGGAATCTCCCATTAAAATTTCTCCTAGAGTTTGCAGAACACCCTGTATAAGTATATTATAAATTCAGATATGTATTAAAAAACATTATCTCGTGATCTCACAATGATTCTTGTAGCTGACTTGGTAAACAGATCGCTGGTAGTCAAGAAAGTGTTTGTAAACTAATTGTTCCGCGTCCTCGTCGAGTTTAGTTGGTATCGATGCCACTAGAGGGTCGATTTCACCTTCTTCTATGCGTTCAGCAAAGTAATCTGTTGGAATACAACTAAAAAAAAGGGTGGCTTAAACATTACCTTGCATAGACCATACAATCTTCACTATTCAGATTTAATTTCGTCGATCGTAGCATATTTTTGGAAATTATTTCATATTTTATCCCTGGAATTACTATGATGGGGACCCCCGTTTATACTTATTATAAAATGCGTTTATTATCAATAGATCGTCAAGTAGAAAACTGTTTAAGAGTCATTCGATACAAAGTTAATAATTTTACAGTAATAAAAAACGAATCTTTCCAATTATTCAAGGCTGACTTTCAACGAAATTACGTGTAGCTCTTTTATCGCAGGTTTAATATCACCTATTGCTTAATTAACCTTTCTATGCAATGTAATTTACCTTTCTGTCGGTGTTAATTTCCTTTTAATGTAATTACGACTGTATTCTGTGCCGAACAATCGACAAGAATTCATTTTTCAGTATTCTCGTTACCCGTCGTCGAAGAAAAATAGGGGAAAATAAAATATCGCGAGATTTCGATGCTTCAAATTTAATTGGTTATCAAAAATAATAAATAGAAGCGTTTATGTCATTAATATGTATGTATGTGTTGGAACAAAGGAGCGCTGTGCAACTGCACGTCTTCCGCGCGCGATTCGGGTAGACTCGGGTGCGTTCGGGGCGATTCGGGTAGGCTCGGGAGCCTTCGCGGCGAGTCGGTTGCCCGGAGAACAAAGGCAGTGGCGTTTGGTCGCTGGTCGAGTGAACACGCGTGGCCACACGGTCCATTGCAGAAACAAATATAAATATAGATATTAATTAAAATTAATTTAACAATGACTCACCGACCCATTGATTATCTTTGTTTGAATACCTTCTCGTATCAACGAATATTTTCAAGCGAAAACGAATAAAACTTTCCTTACGACTCCGCGTTTCCATTTCACATGAATTTTCTTTTCATATGCAATAATTATTTCAATAGATGGGATTTGTGTTTAATTATAAATATTGCTTCGAGGCGCCGTATTGTTATATAGTATATGCAGCGGCAATTAAGGCGATAAAACTTTCAATTGTTCGTCGTGTAATTAGTTTTATTTCGATCGAATGTGTTTTACAACGATAGATCGGTTTTTAAAAATTGATATTTTACACAAGAATTCGAATTCACAGTTTACAGTCGCCGAATCTTCTTCTTGACGAGGGCAACGGTTCCAGATACTGTTGTCGATTTTTCATGTTACTTAAACCCATCTTGCTGATGGTGTCCATGTATTCCGATCGACCGGTAAAAGGTTCCTCCCACAAAGAGAAAGTTCCTGGAACTGAATACATATTTCTAAGTTATCAGAACCACGTTTCTAAATCTACAACTTTGGTAGCAACGAGAACGCTTAGAAATTCGTTTCTGAGTGGTGTATATTGAAAACAGAGTCAATAAATATTCGTCTAAAAGTTTGTTTTTATTCGTAAAAAGTTGGTCTTCCACCTCGAAAAGTGAGAAAAGCCCCACAAAAATGGTCCAACTTTCAGACAACCATAACTCCTACAATAGTGAATATATTTCAATGAAACTTTTTTCTGAAATCGAGCTCCTGGGTACCTACAAAAAAGTATTAGACAACTTTTCCGTAGGACATCAAACAAAATTACTAAAAATCAGAAACGAATTTTTAAGTCGATATTGAAAAATTTCAAATCACTCTGGAAAAATTATTTTCGATTGCAGGAGCTAATTGCAATCATTTTTGGTTATGAGGCATACCCTCGAAATCCTAACCGTTTTCGAGAAAAAAATTCGACGAGGTGCCTAAATTTTACGACGAAATTGAAAAGTTTCGAATCGTTTTGAAAAAATTATTTTCGGCCCTGGGGTTCAATTACGATCATTTTTGGCCAATACACATACCCTCGAAATCCTTCGCATTTTCGAGAAAAAAATTCAGGAAGGTGGACAAAGTTGACAAAATTAAAAAATTTCAATTCGTTTTGAAAAAATTATTTCCGGCCACGGGGTTCAATTACGATCATTTTTGGTCATTACACATACCCTCGAAATCCTAACCATTTTCGAGAAAAAAATTCGTTTGCGTTCGTAGATCGCCGTTCTACACCCGAAACTTTAAACGTTAATAACTTTTTAACGAAGCCTCAACCAACAAATTAGTATTCTTTATTTTCGTCTTATTTTGGTCTCCAGAATCTCCCATTAAAATTTTTCGACTCTGCGTTCAAAAAGTATTCGTGGCTCACGGACGAATTAGAAATTTAATTTTGATATTTATAACAAGAAACGAAGAATATTTACCTTCGTGCAGATTGATAGATTTGGCTGGTTGAATGTGTGGCCTCTCGATGGCCGAATATCGGAATCTAGTGGGATCCCTGTAGCCATCTTTCAATTCCGTAACTTCCGGTTTGAGTGGCGAACAATATGGCGAGTCAACCGCCGCCATTAACTGTCTGTACTCGTTGATCGGTAAACCTGAATTTAAACAAATTGTTCCAGTCACATTCTCGCTTTATCGACGCCATTTTGTACCTCTTTTCGAATAATCCGTCTTATAAACGGTCATCATTGTCTCGTCTATGGGCGCGCAATCGTTGTCTATCATAGCTGACGCCAGATTGGTCATTTCTCGATTAACCTTCGCCAATTGGCTGTGAATTTGTTGCTCCTTCTCGGCTAGATACTTGTATCTAGAAATATTTTTTAACACATTACCGACCGATAGCCTATTAATCGACTGTTTTACCGACCAACGCTTACCGACCGATACCGGTCGGTAAAGTGTTAATATTTTCTATCAATTTTCACATATAATTACAATAATGAGGATTTACAATAATTATTGTTGAAATATTGTTCAAGACTGGTAGGATAAATAGAACATAGAATATTTTTTATTTTATTTAGCCCTAAATCGATGATAGTGAACATATAGAGGACCATTTCATAGGTTAGGTTTGATTGCTTCCTAGTTGATTTGAAAAGTGTTTTGTACAGTCTGAAAATTTGTCAACCTTTTTTTTGAAGTGTTCTGCGTGTCTGAAATACAGATTTAACGAGTTGCATACCTATTTTTGTTGCTATCGTGGCCATGAACGTCGCATGGACAGTCCTCAGGAGCGATTCTCTGTGTGTACAAGCGAATTCCGGTACTCATCGGCGGTTGTGCCGGTTTTGAGACGAGAGGCACCGGATACGGCCATTTGTATTCGTCGCTGGTGATCGTGACGAAATTTTGCAACGCGGTGGTCATCGTGCACCAACAATTTGATTGCTTTTAGAGCCGAACACCAAAATTTACATGCACCTTTGTCGGAGAGAGTATTTAATTATTTAATTGGCAGGCTTTTTGCAATATCGAAACATCTTTATTGATTTATTTATCATACTTTTGCAGTTGAGGTAGAGAACAGTATTTATAAATAAAAAATATACAGGGTGCTCAGTCATCCCTGGGTAAAATTTTAATGGAAGATTCTAGGGACCAAAATAAGACGAAAATCAAGAATAGCAATTTGTTGGTTGAGGCTTCGTTAAAAAGTTATTAACGTTTAAAGTTGCGGGTGTAGAACGGCGATCTACGAACACAAACGAATTTTTTTCTCGAAAATGGTTAGGAATTCGAGGGTATGTGTAATGACCAAAAATGATTGTAATTGATCCCCGTGGCCGAAAATAATTTTTTCAAAACGATTTGAAATTTTTTAATTTTGTCAACTTTGTCCACATTCCTGAATTTTTTTCTCGAAAATGGTTAGGATTTCGAGGGTATGTCTATCCACCAAAAATACTTATAATTGACCCCCGCAACCAAACATAATTTTTTTTAAACGGTTTGAAGCTTTTCAATTTCGTCGAGAAATTTAGGAACCTTGTCGAATTTTTTTCTCGAAAACGGTTAGGATTTCGAGGGTATGCCTCATAACCAAAAATGATTGCAATTGGCTCCTGCGATCGAAAATAATTTTTTCGAGACTGACTTGAAACTTTTCAATTTCGACTTAAAAATTCGTTTCTGATTTTTAGTAATTTTGTTTGACGCTCTACAGAAAAGTTGTCTAATACTTTATTGTAGGCATCCGTGTGCTCTATAGCAGAAAAAAGTTTCATCGAAATATATTTACTATTGTAGGAATTATGCTTGTCTGAAAGTTGGACCATTTTTATGGGGTTTTTCTCATTTTGCGGTGTCAAGGATCAACTTTTCGAATATTTTTGCAATTCCTACATATTCCTCATCTAAATACGCGTTGTTTGCCTTTTTAAACATTAAAATCGTCCAATCCGTTCAGAAGTTATGACGTTTTAAAGATTCGCATGAAATTATTGAAGTGACATTCGCATGGAATTTTTTTCTCGAAAATGGTAGGAATTTCGGGTGTATGTCTGTTCACCAAAAATGATTATAATTGTACCTCGTAACTGAAAATAATTTTTTCAGAACGATTTGAAATTTTTTTTTACGAAAAATTTAACCACCTACTTCTTGTCGATTTTTCCCACAAATTAGTTTTTCATTTTTAATAAATTTGTTTGACGCTGTATGGAAATATTGTCTAATGCTTTTTTGTAAGTACCCATGAGCTCTATGTCAGAAAAAAGTTTCATCGAAATATATTCACTATTGTAGGAATTATGGTTGTCTGAAAATTCGGACCATTTTTATGGGGGTTTTCTCATTTTGCGGGGTCAAGGATCAACTTTTCGAATATTTTTGCAATTTCTACATATTCCTCATCTAAATACGCGTTGTTTACCGTTTTAAACATTAAAATCGTCCAATTCTTTCAGGAGTTATGACATTTTAAAGATTCGCATGAAATTTCATGGAAGCCTCACATTAGATTTTCAGTAAAGAATTTTTTTCCGCGAAAGTGCGTAGGATTTCGGGGTTATATCTATCCACCAAAAATTCTTGCAATTAACTTCTGCAACTGAATATAATTTTTTTAGTATCGTTTTAAATTTTTTAATTTCGTCTAAAAATTTCAGTACCTTCAGGAATTTTTTTCTCGAAAATGGATAGGATTTTGGGGGTATGTCTATCCACCAAAAATGCTTATAATTGACCCTCGCAAACAAAAATAATTTTTTCAGAACGATTTGAAATTTTTTAATTTCGTCGAAAACTTGTTTTTTGAAAAACTGTCGTTTTTACTTAAAAGTTAGTTTCTGATTTTTAGTAATTTTGTTTGACGACCTACGGAAAAGTTGTCTAATACTTTTTTGTAGGTACCAGTGAGCTCGACTTCAGAAAAAAGTTTCATTGAAATATATTTACTATTGTAGGAATTATGGTTGTCTGAAAGTTGGACCATTTTTATAGAGTTTTTCTCATTTTGCGGGGTCAAAGAATAACTTTTTCAATATTTTTAGAATTTATACATATTCTTCGTTAAAATACGCGTTGTTTGCATTTTGAAACATTGAAATCGTCCAATCCGTTCAGAAGTTATGGCGTTTTAAAGATTCGCATAAAATTTTGAAGTGATATACAATATATTTTCAGTAAGGAATTTTTTTCTCGAAAATGGTTAGGATTTCGAGGGTATGTCTAATGACCAAAAATGATTATAATTGACTTCTGTAACCAAATATAATTTTTTTAGTATCATTTGAAATTTTTTAATTTCCTCTAAAAATTTCAGTTCCTTCTCGAATTTTTTTCTCGAAAATGGGTAGGATTTCAGGGGTACGTCTATTCACAAGAAATGATTGTAATCGACCATTGCAATTAAAAATAATTTTTCCAGCTTGATTTGAAATTTTCTAATTTAATTTTTTAATAACTTTTTAACGAAGCCTCAATCAAGAAATTCATATTCTTGATTTTCGTCTTATTTTGGCCTTTAGAATCTCCCACTACAATTTTTCCCAGGCGATATTACGCATAGAACAAAATAGAATCGATATCGAGGCTCATAATTTAATTACAAATTGTAAACCTGATTTAACTTCGACGTAACCTGCATCTAAATAGCGAAATGAACTTTTGAACTCCCATTTTGGTCCCATTTTGACAAGAATTTGAATTTTACTATTTCCCATTTCAACACAAGGATTTCGATTTAATTTACACGTGAAAACTTTCGATTAATTATTTATTTACAAAATTCATTACAGATTTAACTATTTTCCAACCCCAACTTAATTATTATCGTTAATCTGACAAATTTACGTGGTAGCATTTAAAATCGAGGGTCAAAATGGACCCAGGATTATACCTAAAAAAAAAATTAAATAAAATGTTTCCAATAATATCGTTGTTGGGCGATTAATGCAATAATTTATTGAAAAATATTGAGTTAACACGACTTACCCAGAATTTTGTTGCAAAAAAACAGCGACTAAACGTCACATGGCAAGGAAGACCGAATCTTTTCGTTGCTAGAGACCCAACCGAGTTTCGTCACCTTGAGAAAAGACCAGAGTAGTGTTTCTTTGACCAGCATGATCGCGACAACGACAATTTTGTAAACCGCGTAGAACAATATGGCGTTCAGAAACGTAATACCGGTATTCACGACGATAGAATCGGTCGTCAGTGTCGAATCGTTCATCTTTCGAGTCCCAAAGGTGTATTTTCCTAGCTTATAGCGACATTTTTAGCACCCAGAGTAATTTAGTCAGTTACATCAAAATGTTCGACTTGAAGTTTGCACAGTGTTCGTTGGATAATTTCGCGTTAAAGCTTTTCAGAAATGCTCAGTAATTAAAAAAAGAGTTGTCTTTGCGTAAGAAGTGATATTTTAATAGTTTTGCTAGTATTAACACGTTGATTGGCATACCAAAACCAAAAAAACAACAATTTTCTACGAGATCGAAACCTCGTTATTATATAAAGAGAGAAGATATTTTATGTTCGCGCAAAACTCAAGATCTATTGAACCTATCTTCCTCTAATTTTGACACGTTATTCCTGCATACTCTAGGACGGACATAGGCTATGTAGCATGTCTCAGAAGCGCGTTATTAACGTGTAATTTATGTGCAAAGATTTCATGTGCACGACCGTTTGGCGGACCACGCGGCCCCTGTATACGACAGTCTACTTGCGCGCGCATACGCGTTAACGGCCCGCGCGATACCTCGCCCGTAGCGGTACCGCGATGTCACCGCCAGGTGGCGTAGCTTCTCGAGCGCTTTCTCGCGAGAGAATTGCATCATCGCGGATATATATGTCAGGACGATCGGCTGGTCATAAATTGGTTTTGCAATGAGCTGCATGGAAAATGTGTTCGAGGGTCGCGTGTGGCCACGTATTTACGATTTCAAGGAAGAATCGGTCTTCAGAACGAAGAACTGAGAATCCAGTTTACTCAGTTTACTAAGTCCAATTACTTCTGGTGAATAGACATTCCCCCGAAATCCTACTCACTTCGCAGAAAAAAATTCGAGAAGTTATGAAATTTTTCGAGAAAATTAAAAAATTTCAAATCATTCTAAAAAAATTATTTTCAATTACGAGGGTTGATTACAATTACTTTTGGCGAATAGACATGCCCCCGAAATCCTACTCACTTCGCAGAAAAAAATTCGAGAAGTTATGAAATTTTTCGACAAAATTGAAAAGCTTCAAATCATTCTAAAAAAATTATGTTTAGTTACAAGGGTCAATTACAAGAATTTTTGGTGCATAGATATACACCCGAAATCCTACGCACTTTTGGGAAAAAAATTCTTTACCGAAAATCTAATGCGAGGCTTCCCTGAAATTTCATGCGAATCTTCAAAGTGTCATAACTCCTGAACGGATTGGACGATTTTAATTTTTCAAAATGCAAACGACGCGTATTTTGGTGGAGAGTGTGTAGAAATTCCATAAATATTCGAAAAGTTATTCCTTGACACCGTAAAATGAGAAAACCCCCATAAAAATGGTCCAATTTTCAAACAGCCATAACTCCTACAATAGTGAATACATTTCAATGAAACTTTTTTTTGAAGTAGTGCTCACGGGTACCTACAAAAAAGTATTAGACAACTTTTCCGTAGGGTGTCAAACAAAATTACTAAAAATTAGAAACGAACTTTTAAGTAAAATCGACAAGGTGCCTAAATTCGACGAAATTGAAAAGTTTCAAATTGTTCTGAAAAAATTATTTTTGGTCGCGGGGGGCAATTATAAGCATTTTTGGTGGATAGACATATCCCCAAAATCCTATCCATTTTCGAGAAAAAAATTCGAGTAGGTACAGAAATTTTTGGACGAAATTAAAAAATTTCAAACGATACTAAAAAAATTATATTCAGTTGCAGATGTCATTTACAAGAATTTTTGGTGGATAGATATACCCCCGAAATCCTACGCACTTTCGGGAAAAAAATTCTTTACCGAAAATCTAATGCGAGGCTTCCCTGAAATTTCATGCGAATCTTCAAAATGTCATAACTCCTGAACGGATTGGACGATTTTAATGTTTAAAAAGGTAAACAACGCGTACTTAGATGAGGAATATGTAGAAATTGCAAAAACATTCGAAAAGTTGATCCTTGACCCCGCAAAATGAGAAAAACTCCATAAAAATGGTCCAACTTTCAGACAAGCATAATTCCTACAATAGTAAATATATTTCGATGAAACTTTTTTCTGACATAGAGCTCATGGGTACTTACAAAAAAGCATTAGACAGTATTTCCATACAGCGTCAAACAAATTTATTAAAAATGAAAAACTAATTTGTGGGAAAAATCGACAAGAAGTAGGTGGTTAAATTTTTCGTAAAAAAAAAATTTCAAATCGTTCTGAAAAAATTATTTCCAGTTACGAGGTACAATTATAATCATTTTTGGTGAACAGACATACCCCCGAGATTCCTACCATTTTCGAGAAAAAAATTCCTTGCGGATGTCACTTCAATAATTTCATGCGAATCTTTAAAACGTCATAACTTCTGAACGGATTGAAGGATGTTAATGTTTCAAAAGCCAAATAACGCGTAATTAGATGAGGAATATGTAGATATTGCAAAAACATTCGAAAAGTTGATCCTTGACCCCGCAAAATGAGAAAAACTCCATAAAAATGGTCCAACTTTCAGACAAGCATAATTCCTACAATAGTAAATATATTTCGATGAAACTTTTTTCTGACATAGAGCTCATGGGTACTTACAAAAAAGCATTAGACAGTATTTCCATACAGCGTCAAACAAATTTATTAAAAATGAAAAACTAATTTGTGGGAAAAATCGACAAGAAGTAGGTGGTTAAATTTTTCGTAAAAAAAAAATTTCAAATCGTTCTGAAAAAATTATTTCCAGTTACGAGGTACAATTATAATCATTTTTGGTGAACAGACATACCCCCGAAATTCCTACCATTTTCGAGAAAAAAATTCCTTGCGGATGTCACTTCAATAATTTCATGCGAATCTTTAAAACGTCATAACTTCTGAACGGATTGAAGGATGTTAATGTTTCAAAAGCCAAATAACGCGTAATTAGATGAGGAATATGTAGATATTGCAAAAATATTCGAAAAGTTGATCCTTGACACCGCAAGATGAGAAAAACTCCATAAAAATGGTCCAACTTTCAGACAAGCATAATTCCTACAATAGTGAATATATTTCAATGAAACTTTTTTCCGAAGTCGAGCTCACGAGTGCCTACAATAAAGTATTAGACAACTTTTCTGTAGGATATCAAACAAAATAACTAAAAATCAGAAACGAATTTTTAAGTCGAAATTGAAAAGTTTCGAGCCAGTCTCGAAAAATAATTTTCGATCGCAGGAGCCAATTGCAATCATTTTTGGTTATGAGGCATACCCTCGAAATCCTAACCATTTTCGAGAAAAAAATTCGACAAGCCTAAAAATGGCAGTCTAGACAGAAATACTTGCTCAAAATTGCGTTAAAAATTCTTTGATATCTGTTTTTTATTCTAAATTGCAATCTCGATGATCTCAATTAAAATGGGGGACACAAAGACAGTTTATTACTATCGACAGCAGGCGTACAACAATATAAAATGCAAATACAAGTCGTTTTCTCAGTTGGTGGTCGTGGAGGTGTTGCTAAATTTTTCACGAGGCGACGGGCTCCTCGACACGCGATCCGGAATCTCCGTTTCCTCCGCGTCGATTCGTTTCTCCTCCATTTCGAAGCTCTGATCGCCATCTGGCGGAGTTTTCGCGAACGTTCGCGCGTCCAAATAGTGCTTCTTCGATTTACCCTTTTGTCTGTTCCTCCGTTGCTCCAAAGGCGATGTCAGATGCTCTTGGAGGTTCGACGAGATCAGTTTCAAAATTTGCTCCTCGTCCTCCACCTGGCTGCAGACTCTCTTCTGCACGCGACCCTTGGATGTCGTGAAAATCGGCCTAGTCGTCTCTTGAATACACCCACAATTCAGTCTCGTGATCGTCGTCATTGTCCCACATGGTTCCAAGCTCTGGAAAAGTGTTTATCGATTATTTGGCTGGATTGGTACACAGCCAGATCAACGTTCCACTGCATTTAACTACGATAAACTGTCTAAGAAACAGTTTTGTTCGGGTCGGAAATAAAATTTCAAGAAGAAGATCGTTTGCTTTTAGCAAATAAATTCAACCATTCGCGTTAACCTCAAAAACGATATTTAATTAAATTCAAAGAAACAGAGAATTGCAAGATGAGTAATTTAGAACAAAATCTACATGGTAAATATACAATTTTTATCGAAACAAAAGTATCAATTGATGTAAATAATTTACATTGTTGGCACGGAATGAGATTCAATAAATTGAATTTATTTGTTATTCTAAATAATAAAAGATTGCTTATTAGTTAGAAAAAAGTGTGTTTTTGTTTGAAAATAATACGTTTCTCGGTCGATTTTCGGTGTGGGGCTGAAAGCTGGCGCTTTGCAATTTCCCGTGAGCCCTCAGCGCCGGCGACGCCATCTTGGGGCCGAAGTAATACTCCCCGATCAGTCGTTTGATCTCTTGCGAGTAGTATCTCTCGTTCATGTCCCGTTTCATTTGCAGTTCTCTCAATTTTTGCAACTTCTGCATCGTTACCATTGCATCGGGAACGTTCGTCTCGGTGCAGTCATTGAAACGCGAATGTTTTCCACGCAGATTAGCGTTGTTATGGCGCGCAGGAACGTAGAGTGGCTCGTCTGGATAACCGTGCAACTAGAAAACAAAATCCAATTATTCAGACACTACAATTATTACTCGAGAGCTCCTTTTTTCGGAGAATCGTCCATTTTATCGAGAACTATCACGTTGGTCCATAGATCACATCGAATTTTTAAAATAGACGTTTCTTGTTTATTTTTTTCTATTACAAAACACCGTTTCTAACTCACAAAATGTATACATTCTGTATGGTGGTTTTATTTCCCATTTTCAATCTTTGTTTCTTGTATCAAACTTTTTTGAAAAATACTGAATATCATCGAACAAAAATTATGTGTTTAACTACCTTAAATATATAAGTATATATACGATACAAATTTAGTGGAAGAAAAACGAGATTCACAACGCATCAATGCCAATGATTCGTAGACGTTTGAACAAAGATGGCGGCTCGAAGTACCGAGTGTCGGTTCCCACGTCAGCTTTCGAAACAATACCTCGAATTCGTACGCAATTCTTAGCGAAATATAAAAAAGAATAGCCACAACGACGTTCCACGACAGGTTTACAACCTCGTAAAGTTCTTTTTTATGCTTTTGGTGGGACTTCGAACGAGAAACTCGACTGAAGAATCTTTTTACATTGACTACTATATTTTTAGACCAGAAATCAATCGTTTCTCGGTTACATCACGAATTACGATTTCACTTTTTTGTGCCAGTTAACTACTATATGACTATTTGCTCCAAAAGTAGAGAAATTTGAGAAAGAAAAGAATTGAGAATTTTACTGTATAGTTTCTAGCTTTTCCCCCATTGAAACAAACTAAGAGACTCGATATTGTACCACTATCCTAACCGTTGACTACTATATGACTATTTGCCCCAAAAGTAGAGAATTTTGAGAAAAAAAAGAATTGAGAATTTTACTGTATAGTTTCTAGCTTTTTCCCATTGAAACAAACTAAGAGACTCCGATATTGCACCACTATCCTAACCGTTAACTACTATATGACTATTTGCCCCAAAAGTAGAGAATTTTGAGAAAAAAAAGAATTGAGAATTTTACTGTATAGTTTCTAGCTTTTTCCCATTGAAACAAACTAAGAGACTCCGATATTGTACCACTATCCTAACCGTTAACTACTATATGACTATTTGCCCCAAAAGTAGAGAATTTTGAGAAAAAAAAGAATTGAGAATTTTACTGTATAGTTTCTAGCTTTTTCCCATTGAAACAAACTAAGAGACTCCGATATTGTACCACTATCCTAACCGTTGACTACTATATGACTATTTGCCCCAAAAGTAGAGAATTTTGAGAAAAAAAAGAATTGAGAATTTTACTGTATAGTTTCTAGCTTTTTCCCATTGAAACAAACTAAGAGACTCCGATATTGTACCACTATCCTAACCGTTGACTACTATATGACTATTTGCCCCAAAAGTAGAGAATTTTGAGAAAAAAAAGAATTGAGAATTTTACTGTATAGTTTCTAGCTTTTTCCCATTGAAACAAACTAAGAGACTCCGATATTGCACCACTATCCTAACCGTTAACTACTATATGACTATTTGCCCCAAAAGTAGAGAATTTTGAGAAAAAAAAGAATTGAGAATTTTACTGTATAGTTTCTAGCTTTTTCCCATTGAAACAAACTAAGAGACTCCGATATTGTACCACTATCCTAACCGTTAACTACTATATGACTATTTGCCCCAAAAGTAGAGAATTTTGAGAAAAAAAAGAATTGAGAATTTTACTGTATAGTTTCTAGCTTTTTCCCATTGAAACAAACTAAGAGACTCCGATATTGTACCACTATCCTAACCGTTAACTACTATATGACTATTTGCCCCAAAAGTAGAGAATTTTGAGAAAAAAAAGAATTGAGAATTTTACTGTATAGTTTCTAGCTTTTTCCCATTGAAACAAACTAAGAGACTCCGATATTGTACCACTATCCTAACCGTTGACTACTATATGACTATTTGCCCCAAAAGTAGAGAATTTTGAGAAAAATAAGAATTGAGAATTTTACTGTATAGTTTCTAGCTTTTTCCCATTGAAACAAACTAAGAGACTCCGATATTGTACCACTATCCTAACCGTTAACTACTATATGACTATTTGCCCCAAAAGTAGAGAATTTTGAGAAAAAAAAGAATTGAGAATTTTACTGTATAGTTTCTAGCTTTTTCCCATTGAAACAAACTAAGAGACTCCGATATTGTACCACTATCCTAACCGTTAACTACTATATGACTATTTGCCCCAAAAGTAGAGAATTTTGAGAAAAAAAAGAATTGAGAATTTTACTGTATAGTTTCTAGCTTTTTCCCATTGAAACAAACTAAGAGACTCCGATATTGTACCACTATCCTAACCGTTAACTACTATATGACTATTTGCCCCAAAAGTAGAGAATTTTGAGAAAAAAAAGAATTGAGAATTTTACTGTATAGTTTCTAGCTTTTTCCCATTGAAACAAACTAAGAGACTCCGATATTGTACCACTATCCTAACCGTTGACTACTATATGACTATTTGCCCCAAAAGTAGAGAATTTTGAGAAAAAAAAGAATTGAGAATTTTACTGTATAGTTTCTAGCTTTTTCCCATTGAAACAAACTAAGAGACTCCGATATTGTACCACTATCCTAACCGTTGACTACTATATGACTATTTGCCCCAAAAGTAGAGAATTTTGAGAAAAAAAAGAATTGAGAATTTTACTGTATAGTTTCTAGCTTTTTTCCCATTGAAACAAACTAAGAGACTCCGATATTGCACCACTATCCTAACCGTTAACTACTATATGACTATTTGCCCCAAAAGTAGAGAATTTTGAGAAAAAAAAGAATTGAGAATTTTACTGTATAGTTTCTAGCTTTTTCCCATTGAAACAAACTAAGAGACTCCGATATTGTACCACTATCCTAACCGTTGACTACTATATGACTATTTGCCCCAAAAGTAGAGAATTTTGAGAAAAATAAGAATTGAGAATTTTACTGTATAGTTTCTAGCTTTTTCCCATTGAAACAAACTAAGAGACTCCGATATTGTACCACTATCCTAACCGTTGACTACTATATGACTATTTGCCCCAAAAGTAGAGAATTTTGAGAAAAAAAAGAATTGAGAATTTTACTGTATAGTTTCTAGCTTTTTCCCATTGAAACAAACTAAGAGACTCCGATATTGTACCACTATCCTAACCGTTAACTACTATATGACTATTTGCCCCAAAAGTAGAGAATTTTGAGAAAAAAAAGAATTGAGAATTTTACTGTATAGTTTCTAGCTTTTTCCCATTGAAACAAACTAAGAGACTCCGATATTGTACCACTATCCTAACCGTTGACTACTATATGACTATTTGCCCCAAAAGTAGAGAATTTTGAGAAAAATAAGAATTGAGAATTTTACTGTATAGTTTCTAGCTTTTTCCCATTGAAACAAACTAAGAGACTCCGATATTGCACCACTATCCTAACCGTTGACTACTATATGACTATTTGCCCCAAAAGTAGAGAATTTTGAGAAAAAAAAGAATTGAGAATTTTACTGTATAGTTTCTAGCTTTTTCCCATTGAAACAAACTAAGAGACTCCGATATTGTACCACTATCCTAACCGTTAACTACTATATGACTATTTGCCCCAAAAGTAGAGAATTTTGAGAAAAAAAAGAATTGAGAATTTTACTGTATAGTTTCTAGCTTTTTCCCATTGAAACAAACTAAGAGACTCCGATATTGTACCACTATCCTAACCGTTAACTACTATATGACTATTTGCCCCAAAAGTAGAGAATTTTGAGAAAAAAAAGAATTGAGAATTTTACTGTATAGTTTCTAGCTTTTTCCCATTGAAACAAACTAAGAGACTCCGATATTGTACCACTATCCTAACCGTTGACTACTATATGACTATTTGCCCCAAAAGTAGAGAATTTTGAGAAAAATAAGAATTGAGAATTTTACTGTATAGTTTCTAGCTTTTTCCCATTGAAACAAACTAAGAGACTCCGATATTGTACCACTATCCTAACCGTTGACTACTATATGACTATTTGCCCCAAAAGTAGAGAATTTTGAGAAAAAAAAGAATTGAGAATTTTACTGTATAGTTTCTAGCTTTTTCCCATTGAAACAAACTAAGAGACTCCGATATTGTACCACTATCCTAACCGTTAACTACTATATGACTATTTGCCCCAAAAGTAGAGAATTTTGAGAAAAAAAAGAATTGAGAATTTTACTGTATAGTTTCTAGCTTTTTCCCATTGAAACAAACTAAGAGACTCCGATATTGTACCACTATCCTAACCGTTAACTACTATATGACTATTTGCCCCAAAAGTAGAGAATTTTGAGAAAAAAAAGAATTGAGAATTTTACTGTATAGTTTCTAGCTTTTTCCCATTGAAACAAACTAAGAGACTCCGATATTGTACCACTATCCTAACCGTTAACTACTATATGACTATTTGCCCCAAAAGTAGAGAATTTTGAGAAAAAAAAGAATTAAGAATTTTATTTTTTACTGATTGATAGAGTTTACTGATTTATAGGTATGTGTGAATTACAAAAGAAAGAATTGGCTCGCCTCGTGGCGATTACTCGACTCGCTCGCCACACTCTAACTCTCTCGCTGTCCGCCGCGTGGCGCTGCGACTACCCAGGACCGTGACTAGCCGAACCCACCACATAATTGAGTTTCAACGCATGTTCCACTTTAGCCTGTAAGGAGTGTTTAGTCTAAGCTAGAGTAGGTATCGTGTGTGGTGTTTAGGTTAGATCATTATTATAAGATAGGAATAAGGAAGGGTCGGCTTTGACTGCAGGAACGTCACTCTGTATCGAACGTTAGTAGCAGTCACAGTTTTACGTTTATGTTTTATGTCTTTCTTTTATGTTCTTTATGTTAAATAGTTAGTAAATATCAAATACTATAATTACATCGTTACGTTTAGTGTTCGCGTATTTGAATCCGTCCACACGCCTCTCTGACCATCCTCGACAATCCTTACAAGCCAGTTACAATTAGTTCAACATCGTACCGATATAGGGCGCTTCTTTAAATTTAAGCATCGAGCACAGTCTTACTATATATTCAATTTCTACGACTCTGATTACGTCACGATTTAGCTTGCAAACACGACGTGAAAATAAACGTAAATCATACTTTATTCTTATTAATTCCCGTTTCCTCCACCTCGACGACAGTTTCCTCGGAAGTTCTCTCTCCCAGAAATTTAACGTCGTGTTCGCTGGTGCAATCCTGTTGATAAGTGTTCGAGTCGGTGTACCGTGCGCCATTAGGGTGCATTTCTCTGGGCCAATTGTTGCCTGGCACAGTGGACGTGTACTTTTTACGACGATTGTCCATCTCCATCGGTGGCCTCCTTTAATTCAGACAGATTTAATAGAATTTTGAAAGTAAAGGGTTACAGGTTATGTGAGACAATTACTCGTCTGATAGTTTGCCACGAACGCGACCAGGAGGCAAGGCAGCCATTTTAAATTATTCCTTTAAATACGCCGTTTACAGGCGCGTGTGGCGTGTTGTGCATTACTACGCGGAATTTGTTGTAATGTTTCACTATTTTTCACATAACTCGCTCGTGTCTGATGGCGACTGAGACTCTCGAGCAACTTCAAGGTTTTCCACGACTGGGGTGAAACGCATTTTCATCGACGAAATTCGTTCGATGCAGTGAGGAATTTTTTTCTCCAAAATGCAATCGTTTCTGATTTTTAGTAATTTTGTTTGACATCCTACGGAAAAGTTGTCTAATACTTTTTTGTAGGTACTAATAAACTCGACTTCAGAAAAAAGTTTCATTGAAATATATTCACTATTGTAGAAATTATGCTTGTCTGAAAGTTGGACCATTTTTATGGAGTTTTTCTCATTTTGCGGGGTCAAGGATCAACTTTTCGAATATTTTTGGAATTTCTACATATTCCTCATCTAATTACGCGTTATTTGGCTTTTGAAACATTAACATCCTTCGATCCGTTCAGAAGTTATGACGTTTTAAAGATTCGCATGAAATTATTGAAGTGACATTGGCAAGGAATTTTTTTCTCGAAAATGGTAGGAATTTCGGGGGTATGTCTGTTCACCAAAAATGATTATAATTGTACCTCGTAACTGGAAATAATTTTTTCAGAACGATTTGAAATTTTTTTTTTACGAAAAATTTAACCACCTACTTCTTGTCGATTTTTCCCACAAATTAGTTTTTCATTTTTAATAAATTTGTTTGACGCTGTATGGAAATATTGTCTAATGCTTTTTTGTAAGTACCCATGAGCTCTATGTCAGAAAAAAGTTTCATCGAAATATATTTACTATTGTCGAAATTATGCTTGTCTGAAAGTTGGACCATTTTTATGGGGTTTTTCTCATTTTGCGGGGTCAAGGACCAACTTTTCGAATATTTTTGCAATTTCTACATATTCTTCGCTAAAATACGCGTTGTTTACCGGTTTAAACATTAAAATCGTCCAATCCGTTCAGGAGTTATGGCATTTTAAAGATTCGCATGAAATTTCAGGAAAGCCTCACGTTAGATTTTCGGTAAAGAATTTTTTTCCGCGAAAGTGCGTAGGATTTCGGGGGTATATCTATCCACCAAAAATTCTTGTAATTGACTTCTGCAACTGAATATAATTTTTTTAGTATCGTTTGAAATTTTTTAATTTCGTCTAAAAATTTCAGTACCTACTCGAATTTTTTTCTCGAAAATGGATAGGATTTTGGGGGTATGTCTATTCACCAAAAATGCTTATAATTGACCCTCGCAAACAAAAATAATTTTTTCAGAACGATTTGAAATTTTTTAATTTCGTCAAAAACATTACTGTCGATTTTACTTAAGAGGTCGTTTCTGATTTTTAGTAATTTTGTTTGACGTCCCACAGAAAAGTTGTCTAGTACTTTTTTGTAGGTACTCGTGAGCTTGACTTCAGAAAAAAGTTTCATTGAAATATATTTACTATTATAGGAATTATGATTGTCTGAAAGTTGGACCATTTTTATGGTGTTTTTCTCATTTTGCGGGGTCAAAGAATAACTTTTTCAATTTTTTTAGAATTTATACATATTCCTCGCTAAAATACGCGTTATTTGCATTTTGAAACATTGAAATTGTCCAATCCGTTCAGAAGTTATGGCGTTTTAAAGATTCGCATGAAATTTTGAAGTGACATAGAATTTATTTTCTGTGAGGAATTTTTTTCTCGAAAATGGTTAGGATTTCGAGGGTATGTCTCTTAATAAAAAATGATTGTAATTGATCTCAGCAATCAAAAATAATTTTTTCAAAACGATTCGAAACTTTTCAATTTCGTCGAAAAATTTAGGCACCTCTTCGAATTTTTTTCTAGAAAATGTTTATGATTTCGAGGGTATGTCTAATGACCAAAAATGATTATAAATGACTTCTGTACCCAAATATAATTTTTTTAGTATCATTTGAAATTTTCCAGATATTATTCTGTTAAATCCTATTTTTGTGAAATTCCAATTTGTGGTCTTTATTTAATACAATTTTGTCAGTCGTGGAATATTAAAATCTATTTCACAAGATCGCCATCGACCAAGTCGGAGCGTTGGCCTTCTTGTGATGAATTCTTCCTCTAATAATGGCGTGGCCTAATCTGCTAATGCTGTCTTGGTACTCCGATCGCCAAGCTGGTATTCGTGTCTCGTGACTGTCATCCTCCACCTTTTTCGACGTTTTCGTTCTCCCTCTCAGACCATTCTCGCGTTTAGAAAGTCGAGATCGAGTAGACGGACGACAATCTATTCGTATTCGATGTTTCATAGCAACGCATGGATCCTTATCTTCGTCCATCTTGCCCATAATCGCTGCAAACAATTTCCATTATCATGTTAACACTTTACCGACCGGTAACGGTCGATAAATCGGCTATCGGTCGGTAAGCGTTGGCCGGTAAAACAGTTGATAGGCTCTCAGCCGGTAAGCGTTGGTCGGTAAAACAGTCGATTAATTATCGGTCGGTAATGTGTTAATATTTAACTAAATGTCACCGTCCTGGTCAATATATTTACTAAAAATTCCCCAATGGAATTTAGATTGCAAATTTAGTGGTCTAATAAAAAAAAAAACAAAATGGAGTATATTCTTTGCTGGAAGTGTTTTTGAATTGTTTTCACTTTTCTGACGTTCAAGGTGAAAATTTATGAAGCGAAAAAAGATTGTAAAAATAGTGCAATGTAATTGACCGATAGATGGCGCTTTGCTGATGTATTTTTTTTATTCTTTTGATTTAGATGTTATTATTTAGATTAGTATGGATCCCACTGTTAAAAACGAGTACGATTTTTCCTCTTTTCTTCTCTCAGTGAGACATGTCTTCCAGCTTATATTTGTTTTAATACCATGAAACACATATTCTCTAGATACATCGCCATGCTCACAAAAATAAACACTAGGCCACGACATACAAAAAAAGTTCGCTTTCTTATCTATGATAACCATATCACCACAGGTACATCCAAACTTTTTGTTGTTACAGCCGAGTGCAAAGGGTTAATATATCGTGGATCATCGAAACTGTACCTTTGTCTGAATAGTCCATCTGATAGGTCGTCGTGAATCGATCCTGATCCACGCGTTGAATAATCTCGTCCATGGGCGAGCTCTGTAGAATTCCATAGAGATTAGGATACTTCTCTTCCAACTGAAACGAGCGTGTCTCCGGTTCAATTAACGCAAAAATGATTTCCATCGTGGAATTCTACTCACTTTTCTCATGTAAGTGCTGGGTTGATCGAATTTGGTTGTTTCTGTCTCAGGATGGGGGCCTGTTTTCGCAGGATACAGTTTAGGGTCCAGTAGGCGTCCCATGGGACCCAAACGACTCCATTCCTGATCATCACCGCACAGATCGATGACTTTCAGTTCGCGCGAGCGCGTGTCACATCGACAGGAACCGTCGCGTAACGTGATTGGCGCGTGTTGAATCCTTGTGGAAGGCCACGTGTAATCTTTCTGATACGTCGAAATAAACCGATCCATGCTGGTATTTCGCTTTTTTATTTTTGTACAGTGGAAACGTATGGACGCGGGGCTGATTTTGCTACTACGATACACGGTCCATTTATCATCTTTTCTCTGACGATCCAACCGCGGGAAGTCGACGCTTTTCAAACAGTTGCGTCAGAAACGTATGATAGAAAGTCTTGCAATCTATCGTGGAACGGAAAGGTTAGAGAATGATGCTTTCTTTTAATTAGAAAACAAACATTTTCGTGTCTTTTTCTGAGAAAATGGAACAACTTTGGAGCAAAGAAATTGTTCAAATTAAGCGATTTTTTAAAATAAATTATAGTTCGAATACGTATGAAATACGGATATAAGAAACATAAGAAAAGGTAATTCTTCTAACCCAGACTTAATTCAGACTTAATTCAGACTTAATTCAGACTTAATCCAGACTTAATTCAGACTTAATTCAGATTTAATTCAGACCTAACCCAGACTTCATTCAGACTTAATCCAGACCTAACCCAGACCTAGGTTTGAGTTAGCTCTGGATTAGGTCTGCGTTAGGTCTGCATTAAGTCTGGGTTAGGTCTGGGTTAGGTCTGAATTAAGTCTGGGTTAGGTCTGGGTTAGGTCTGCATTAAGTCTGGGTTAGGTCTGGGTTAGGTCTGGGTTAGGTCTGGGTTAGGTCTGGGTTAGGTCTGGGTTAGGTCTGGGTTAGGTCTGGGTTAGGTCTGAATTAAGTCTGGGTTAGGTCTGGGTTAGGTCTGAATTAAGTCTGGGTTAGGTCTGGGTTAGGTCTGAATTAAGTCTGGGTTAGGTCTGGGTTAGGTCTGAATTAAGTCTGGGTTAGGTCTGGGTTAGGTCTGGGTTAGGTCTGAATTAAGTCTGGGTTAGGTCTGGGTTATGTCTGGGTTAGGTCTGAAATAAATCTGAATTAAGTCTGGGTTAGGTCTGGGTTAGGTCTGCATTAAGTCTGGGTTAGGTCTGGGTTAGGTCTGGGTTAGGTCTGGAATAAGTCTGAATTAAGTCTGGGTTAGGTCTGGGTTAGGTCTGAATTAAGTCTGGGTTAGGTCTGGGTTAGGTCTGGGTTAGGTCTGAATTAAGTCTGGGTTAGGTCTGGGTTAGGTCTGCAAGAAAAATTAGATTTTTTAATTAGCAAACTCGTCTTTTTAAGAGTAAATTAAGACCTAACCCAGACCTAACCCAGACCTAACCCAGACCTAACCCAGACTTAATTCAGACCTAACCCAGACCTAACCCAGACTTAATTCAGACTTATTCCAGACCTAACCCAGACCTAACCCAGACCTAACCCAGACCTAACCCAGACTTAATTCAGACCTAACCCAGACCTAACCCAGACTTAATCCACACCTAATCCAGACCTAACCCAGACCTAACCCAGACCTAATCCAGACCTAACCCAGACCTAACCCAGACTTAATTCAGACCTAACCCAGACCTAACCCAGACTTAATCCAGACCTAACCCAGACCTAACCCAGACTTAATTCAGACTTAATCCAGACCTAACCCAGACTTCATTCAGACTTAATCCAGACCTAACCCAGACTTAATTCAGACTTAATCCAGACCTAACCCAGACCTAACCCAGATCTAACCCAGACTTAAAACCCAGACCTAACCCATAGAAAATATTTTGTAACGGAAAATAGTTTAATAAATCATAGAATGATAGTATCAAAATTACATCGTAAATTACACTTCACCTGGGATCCATTTTTGCTAATTTTGGTACTCGAATTTTTCCTGGGTCGAAGATTACGCCATGATGAATGTTGTTTTACCTAATTCTATTTCGTTTCATTCATGATTTTCGACGTTATTTTGCCATTGTTTGGAGGTTGTGAGACAACATGACGGAATTTCGCCAGTTTCGCGGTGGAATTCCGATGATTAAGATCGTGGCGACATTCAGGCTCCTCGCGTTCCTAAATCGCAACATTCAGGGACTCGAAAGTTCAGTAATTTCGTCAGTCCAAACAAATAACGCGACAATTCTAATTCAACGATTAAGTATGCATGATTTTAACACTTTACCGACCGGTAGCGGTTGATTAATCGGCTATCGGTCGATAAGCGTTGGTCGGTAAAGAAGTTGATTAATACGCTATCGGTCGGTAAGCGTTAGCCGGTAAAACAGTCGATTAATAGGCTATCGGTCGGTAATGTGTTAAGTTGCAACGTCGTGTAAACAATAAATAGTCCAATATAGTCCAATAAACAGTCGTAGCCCGATAGTATCAGGCGTTAACTTTAACAAAGACGCAAGATGGCGCCGTCCATTTGCAATTGGGTATTGTCTTTGGCCTGACGCCACTTTCAATAGAAATTATCTATTTCCCGGGTCAATATATCCTTCCAACGTAGTCAATCATACAAATTGAGAAAGAAAAATATCTTTACTAACGACTTCCTCATTTCCATGTTTTTCTTTCTCTCACTATATTTTTATTTCGTTGAGAAATTTCGAAATATTTCAGTAAACAGTCGACCATGTTGCAGAAGGCTGTTCACAATTATTTTTCGCGTCGATTCTCTTTTCCGACGGTTGCAAGGCATCAATCTTATTCCCCTACTTTTTCATCCTCGATTGGCGCGGTTCCAAGACCAACAGATAGTTCAATGCGGAGACTAGACACAGCCCACACGACTGCAATCGACAGTACACCGAAGTCGTGCTTTATTTCGAGACACATCGGTTCGAAAGTTCGGTCACTCCGCTTCCGGAATCCGTGGTGCCTTCTATGCTGCTCAGAGACACGGTTTTTAACCTCCTGGTAGGGATTATTTAACGTTAAAATTCAATTGTAACTATTTAGAGCAGGTAACTTCAGCTTTCTTGGTCTATGAGAGCAACACTAGGTATTGCATCAACCCTGGAAACACCGAGAAAGGTTGATGCATCCACCTAGTTTAGCAGGCCCAAGTTCTTTTCCTCGAAAAAAGGAATATTTTCAAGATTGAGGAGTCTTCAAGTTCGACACGATCGAACCGTACATTATTCAACGTTAGAATTCAGTTCGTAACTATTCAGAGCACGTAACTTCAACTTTCTTGGTAAGTGAGAGCAACACTAGGTGTTGCATCGACCCTGGAACACGAACAAGCGTTGGTACACTCGATCAACTTGGCAGGGCTAGTTTCGTTCCTTGAAAAGGACAGTTTTCGAGGATCGAGTCCTCCTATTGAGGTTTGATACGAACGTTAAAATTCAATTGTAGCTATTCAGGAAAGGTGACTTCAGCTTTCTTGGTGCGTGAGAGCAACACTAGGTGTTGCATCAACCCTGGAAACATCGAGAAAGGTTGATGCATCCACCTAGCTTAACACTAGAAAGACTGAAACTTAGTATATACCTATATTGCCCAAAAGCAGTCAAAATGACTGCATTGTGAAAGATTAACTAATTGTTTAAAATTAATTTTTAATATTATGTTATAATATTATGAATTCAGGGCGCAGAAATAAAATAAACAACTTGTTAGAACAAGTATCACTGCATAAAGATTCGAATAACAAGTACTACTTTAGCTTATTGAGAAACTGCAATTTATCAATAGGTCTGGGTTAGGTCTGGATTAGATCTGGATTAGATCTGGGTTAGGTCTGGATTAGATCTGGGTTAGGTCTGGGTTAGGTCTGGATTAGATCTGAGTTAGATCTGAGTTAGGTCTGGGTTAGGTCTGGGTTAGGTCTGGATTAGCTCTGGGTTAGGTCTGGATTAGATCTGAATTAGATCTGGGTTAGGTCTGGGTTAGGTCTGGGTTAGGTCTGGGTTAGGTCTGGATTAGATCTGAGTTAGATCTGAGTTAGGTCTGGGTTAGGTCTGGGTTAGGTCTGGATTAGCTCTGGGTTAGGTCTGGATTAGATCTGAATTAGATCTGGGTTAGGTCTGGATTAGATCTGGGTTAGGTCTGGGTTAGGTCTGGGTTAGGTCTGGGTTAGGTCTGGGTTAGGTCTGGAATAAGTCTGAATTAAGTCTGGGTTAGGTCTGGGTTAGGTCTGGTTTAGGTCTGGGTTAGGTCTGGATTAGATCTGAATTAGATCTGGGTTAGGTCTGGATTAGATCTGGGTTAGGTCTGGGTTAGGTCTGGGTTAGGTCTGGGTTAGGTCTGGGTTAGGTCTGGAATAAGTCTGAATTAAGTCTGGGTTAGGTCTGGGTTAGGTCTGGTTTAGGTCTGGGTTAGGTCTGGGTTAGGTCTGGGTTAGGTCTGGATTACTTAATAATCCAAATTATCTTAACCCTTTGCACTCCTATGTCGAGTGTGATTCGACATCAATTTTGATCTCAGGAACATCTTCGTCAAGTCTCACTCGACATTCTTTCAAGTCCAAACCAAACAGATATCATACACTTGGAAATTACAAAATACAACAACAGTGTAAATAAAACACTTATTTTAACAGGTAAATTTCAAATAAAACACTTAAAAGCATTGTTCGTCAAGTCCCATTCGACATTTTTCTAATCCAGACCTAACCCAGAGCTAACTCAGATCTAATCCAGACCTAACCCAGACCTAACCCAGACCTAACCCAGACCTAAACCAGACCTAACCCAGATCTAATTCAGATCTAATCCAGACCTAACCCAGACCTAACCCAGACCTAACCCAGATCTAAACCAGACCTAACCCAGACCTAACCCAGACCTAACCCAGACCTAACCCAGACCTAACCCAGACCTAAACCAGACCTAAACCAGACCTAACCCAGATCTAATTCAGATCTAATCCAGACCTAACCCAGACCTAACTCAGATCTAACTCAAATCTAATCCAGACCTAACCCAGACCTAACCCAGGTCTAGGGTCTGGGTTAGGTCTGGGTTAGGTCTGGGTTATGTCTGGGTTATGTCTGGGTTAGGTACGCCCAAATCGACAATTTATCATGTACTTGTATGTTATAATGTGTTGGTAATCGAAAAAAAATGAAAACTGTTATTTCAATACATAGTCGAACTGGTCATATAAGAAATTTACTCAATTCAATAATAAGAGTCATTTGATTATTTAAAATTTCCCAAGCAGTCAAAATGACTGCTTTTGATCAATATAGGTATACCACATATACCGGAAATGAAGGAGGGAGGAGGTAACTACAATTATTAATAAACGCATTTATATGTTGTGCAAAATGTCACAAAATTCTAAGTAATTGTGTCATTATATACATAATTGTTTTTCTAATTGAAATTAAAAAGCAGTCAAAATTACTTCCTTGGGCAATCTAGTGTTAACAGAGCTAGCTCTTTTCCTTGAAGAAGGAATATTCTCAAGGATTGAGTCTCCAGGTTTGGTTAGAGATGGAGAAGACTATGAGACCAGGTCAAAGTCGATTAAAATCTTGTCTTGGAAGGCGTTTGGGTTGGAAAGTTAGGGGATTTGGAGACGAAACGAGTCATCTTTTGAAGGAAAGCTCCGAAACGGACTGTACCGTTGGTTGCTCTAAAGATATCGCTGCGTCCACAGCCAGGAATAGAACAGTGACGTCGTCGTCGTCGACGAGCTAACAGCAGCTCCTCGTTGCTCGCCACCGACGGTCAGCCAATGAGACACGCTTCGAGGTCGATGCTGAAGACTCGTACGCCGCGCGGTTCCGATTTCGTCGCGGCCACTTCCTCGTTTCCCTCCTCGCGTTTTTAGTGTCACCGGTGATACTTACGAAGCGTCCAGTTATTCGTCACCTTGTTCCCCGGTTTTCTCGATTCTCGAGCTACCAGGTACTCGTGGGTGGTCCCACCAACGAACACAGCCTCTGGATTCCTCGAGAAGCTCCTCCTATCGAAGGTTTCATTTTTTAGGTTATATTTTACCAACTGTGAGCCACCAGAGGGCATTCTTGTGCAACAAATCTAAAATTTCATATTATTTTCACCCCAAATAGAAAATATTTTTTTTTTTTAAATAAGAGTCGTAGGCTAAATTCTGTTCAAATCGATGTTTAGGATAATTTTTAAAAAAATTTTCAATGCAATTTCCTTCAATTCGTTTCAAAGATGTTCAAACTCTTCTCGCGACCTTTATTATACTATAGAAAGACACCAGATCTAAAAACGAAGACGCGTGCAGACGTAGTAGCGTGTGTGTTACGATTCCACGAAAGAAAGGGCTTCCTAGAACGAAATTCTGGTTGCAGAGTTTTTCCGAGAATGGAAGAATGATCGAATCAAAGGCAGTCAGCGATAATTTACAGTCGAACCGTGTCTCCAAGTTTTTCGAGTTCAAAGGACGAATTTGAAACGGGGTGAAGGGGGAAAATAAAAAAATGGGGGCGACGCTGTCAGGGACGGAGTCGATAAAAATCGTTGACAAGGGGGGCGTCGTAAATTTCTTGGGGGGGGGGAAAGAATTATTGCCACCGGGATAAAGACGAGCAACGATCTGGCCAAAAGGTTGCACGAAACGTGGACTCGTCGAGCTCCTCGTTTTTGGAAGTTCTGGATTCCTCGCGTGTGACTCAATTTTTTCCGATTTTTCGATTCCAAATCCTGGCCGTGAAAAATCAAAAACGCAGAAAAATACCGATTTCGTACTGAAGCTTTCGAGACACTGGATTTATATAATTACCGTAAATGCGTATTGTCGTTGGTTATGTCCCTGAATTTTTTCAGATTTTTCGATTCGAAATCCTGGGCGTGAAAAATTAAAAACGCATAAAAATACCGATTTCGTACTGAAGCTTTCGAGACACTGGATTTATATAATTACTGTAAATGTATATTGTCGTTGGCTATCTCCCTGAATTTTTTCAGATTTTTTGGTAGGGTCTCTCAACATCTTATCCCCGAAAATCAATGATTTTTAATTCCTTCTCCACCCCTTTTAACATTCCAAAGGGAATTCATGAATCCTTTTCACACAACATTTCTAAGAATAACGATATTAAACATTAAATCAATAATTTAAGTTTTCAATTAATATCAGAATTCTCAGAGATTACTAATTCCCCTGTGGAACTAGAAAAATTCTCAAATCGAGATGTCGATTGAAATAAATTCTAACAAAACCAAATTAAGTACCCAAACAGATTTTAGGTTACGCTAGTTTACATTTAAAAAGAAAATTTTAGTCTTCCAGTTAAGAGCTGGCTCGAACAAAGGAACTGAACAACGTTTCATAGTTGAAGAAACTTCTTTTTTCGCGCTGTTCGCGTTCGCGCCAGTTTGTCGTCGAGCGCGCGTGCGCGGCGCAGCGTCGCGCGCATCCGCGAAACAGAGACGTCTGCCGCGTTCGGGATCGCGTTGAACGCGTTCAGGCTAGACAACGATCCTCGAGAACGCGTGTCTCGTTGAATTTATACGTTCACATTCCCGTCACACGACGTGCCACCCAATTAAACGTTTGATATAGGGTGGACCCCCGTGTTGTGACTTTCGCAAAAATAATCGCAGCGCGGGGAATTCGCGAGAGTTTCGTGGAACGAGGCGGTTTTCAAGCTGCCTTACAAAGTGTAAAATTACTGGCTCGAGGTAAGCTCGATCCTCGAGGCTTTTTTTTCTCTGCCATTTAACGTCACCGCGACAGCCCCTTTGATCGCTTTATCGTCCTCGTCCAGGAAAACAGTGAAGTCTTTTAAATAGAAAAATCATTTTATGGAATTTTAACACTTTTACGACCACATGTTTTCTCGAAACTGTACTCGAGGTTTTATAACCCCCAAATTATGGGGATTGGTAACGCGAAGTTTTTGAAATAGTACTTGTCATCGTGGATAAACTTGAAATATCAAATTATGGTTAGCTCTTGATATAAAATTTTTATACAAGACTCTG